TACACACACAATCACACACACAATCACACACACAGTCACACACACACAATCACACTCACACACAGTCACACACTCACACACACACACACAGTCACACACTCACACACATACACACACACAATCACACACACACAGTCACACTCACACACAGCCACACGCTCACACACACCTGGGAGGGAACGCTGACGCTCTTCCAGTGACCCCCGCGAGGCTTTGCTCGGATCCCCCATCCGCACCCTCCGTCCAGCGGCCAGGAGGCCGATGGGGAGGGGTCGCCGGCCCGGGTCTGCTGTCCCCTTTGGAGATTCCTGCCTGCCAGGGGCTCCGTGGCTGAGCACTGACCTAGGAGCCAGGAGGTCCTGGTTCGATTCCCGGTCAGGGCACGTGCTGGGTTGCGGGCTTGATCCCCAGTAGGGTGCGTGCAGGAGGCAGCCGGTCCATGATTCTCTCGCGTCACTGACATTTCTCTCCTTCCCTCTCTCTTCCTCTCTGACATCCATAAAACGTGTTTAAAAAAGAACAGGGAAGTGGCCTGGCCCCTAACCAGTCACCGTGCCTCCCAGAGGCTCTTTCTTACCACCCGCCCGTCGCTCCGTCCAGGCCCGAGCTCCCATTTCACAGACCTCCCATTTCGAGGTCTGAAGAGGCCGTGCTCGACGTGTGCAAACAGGCCTCCCACCCGAGGGTTCCGGAGCCCGGTTCCCTGCGGCCGGCCGGGGCCCGGGCGCTTCTGATCCCGGGCCAGCCTTCTCCCGCCCCCTCCCACCCCACCCCGTGTGGGACCCGCCACTGGGAGGCCCACCCCGTCCGGGCCCACCCGTCTCCGCCTCCACGGTCCCTGCCGGGCTGTGAAGCCGGCGGGGAGGAGGGAGTTAGTTAAGAAGCTCCCTAGTCCCTTTAATCTCCCAGTAATTGAGCTTCAATCACAGCTTCTCCGAAGCGATGTCTTAACACAGTGATTCCCCCAAAGAGGCGCGAGGGAGGCCTGAGGCTGCCACCTCCCCCACCACACCAGGTCGTGTGAGTCCTCGTGGCCGGAGAGTGGCCGGATAAAGGTGATTTCCCGCCCTCGCCCCTCCGGCGTCATTGGGAGAGGGGGAGGCTGCGCTCGGCTCTCACTCAGGCACCCGGCTCCTTCCATCTTGTGCCTCTGTCGCCGTCTGCCGCCCAGAGTCTGTCCCTGTCCCTGTCCCTGTGTGTCCCCCCGCGGCGGCAGACGGGAGAGGGTCAGCGGTCAGACCTGCAAGTGGCAGACGGCCCTCGGCCCTGTCCCCGGCCGGGCCTCCCGCCGTCCCTGGGCTGCAGGGGCCGAGCCCCACCTCCTCCACGGCTCCCGAGAAACACGCGTGTCCACCACGGGTCCTCCCGGTGGGATCCGGGACCGGGACCTGAGGCGTCACTTCGGAGCGGTGATGGCTCCCCTCGGCCGCCCACCATGTGACCCCAAAGTGTCTGAGGACCAGGCTGGCGGCTGTCGCTCCAGCAGTCAACCTCCAGGTTCAAATTTAAAAAAATATACTTTATTGATCTTTTACAGAGAGGAAAGGAGAGGGAGAGGGAGAGAGAGTTAGAAACATTGAGAGAGAAACATCCATCAACTGCTTCCTGCAAACCACTACTAGGGATGTGCTCACAACCTTGTCTGGAATCGAACCCGGGTCCCTTCAGTGCACAGGCCGACGCTCCATCCACAGAGCTACACCGGCCAGGGCTCCGGGTTCAAATGTTGGTGCCAAACCTGGGATGGGAGAAGGGGCTTCGGCTGAGGTCTGAGTTCACTCAAAGCTCTGGAGTGTGGGGGCCCGGCCGCCAGCCCTCTATCTGCTGTGGGAGGGTCCTCCCCCCACGCCCACACACACACACACACACACACACACACAGACTCACCGCTCTCGCGCGTGGGCGGCCCTCGGCTCCTGCCAGCTCTTTAAACACTCGCAAGCACAAAAGAAAAACACCCTTTTCTGGAAAAGGACCCGGGACATGTAGCAACACCTGGCGCCTGTGAATACAGGGTGTGGCCCTTATCTGAGCAGCCATGGGGGGGCGCCGCTTTGTTGTTTCTCTGAGGGGGAGGGAGGACAATGGGATGGATTCCTCTCTGCCCAGAAGCTGTGAAGTGGCCTGGTTCGGGCCTGCAGGGGCGGCAGCTCGGTGGCTCCCTCCTGAAGGCCCTGTGTGGGCTCTGGCCTCGGGGCGGGAGCGGAGAAGGCTAGCGAGGCCTGTTCCCAGGAGAGGGGCTCCCCAGACCTCGGTGTCGGAAGGCGGCCATCGGCAGGCCGTGCCTGGCACTGGGCGCTTCGTGTAGAAATGGTTTTCCTGTCCGGGTGCGGGTGGTGACCCGGGTCACTCCCTGTCTGACTGAGGACGGAGGAGCGTCCGCCGTGCTCAGGGGTCTGTTTCCCCAAGAGTCTTAGTCTGCCTTCAAACGAAGGACACCCGGCCCCAGGGGGTGGATCAGTGGGTAGAGCCTGGGCCTGCGGACTGAAGGGTAGTGGGTGGCACAGGCCCAGGCTGTGGGCACATCCCCAGTGGGGGGCGTGCAGGAGGCAGCTGGTCAATGAGTCTCTCATCATCGATGTTTCTATCTCTTCATCTCTGAAATCAATAAAAACATATTTAGCCGAACCTGGTTTGGCTCAGTGGATAGAGCGTCGGCTTGCGGACTCAAGGGTCCCAGGTTCGATTCCGGTCAGGAGCATGGACCTTGGTTGCGGGCACAAACCCGGTAGGGAGTGTGCAAGAGGCAGCTGATTGATGTTTCTCTCTCATTGATGATTCTAACTCTCTATCCCTCTCTCTTCCTCTCTGTGAAAAAACCAATAAAATATATTAAAAAACAAACAAACATATTTTTAAAAAGAGGGAGACCTAGATGCCGCTAAGTGGACGGCTCTGAGGTTGCCTCCCGGGACGTGCTTGGAGCTGAGTTCTCGCCGTGGCTGTGGCTGCAGAGGTTTCTGCGGACAGGTGGGGGTTCGCCAGGGAAGAGCGTCTTGAGCTCAACGCCAGCCGCATGGAGGCCCCTGAGCCACGGAGCTCCCTCTCTGTCCTCCCTCTCCCTCTCCCTCTCCCTCTCCCTCTCCCTCTCCCTCTCCCTCTCTCTCTCCCTTTCCCTCTCCCTCTTCCTCTTCCTCTCCCTCTTCCTCTCCCTCTGTTTCTCCCTCTCCCTCTCCCTCTCTTTCTCTCTTTCTTTCTCCCTCTCTCTCCCCCTCCCCCCATCTCTAAAACCAATAAAAATAAAAGTGTAAAGCCTGGGCAGCACCGCCCTATAGGAGCTCTGTGGCACTGGTGGCGGGGGCAAACGCTGGGCTCCCCGGTGAGGTCTCAGCCGGGCTGTGAGCACTCACCTGTGTCGGGGCCACGTCCGGGCCACGTTCTCCACGTGGACGAGGAACGTGACCGCTGGGCCCGGCTTCCTCCGCCCGCTCCTGAGACGGCGGGGGCGGGGGGGGGTTGTGGTGCCCTTGGGAACGGGTTCATAACCGTGAATTAGACCGAGGCGTTTGACTGTCAGAGGGAAGAGCGAGGCCCGTGAGAACCGTCGGTCGGACACTGACTTCTCCGTGTTTGAGGACCGATCCGCGTGGCCCGGGCTGCAGGGAGAGCTGGGTCCGGGCCCAGGTCCGTCCGCACCCTCAGACTCGCGCGCTGCGTGTGGGGCTGCGGACACGGCATCCGGTCCCTCCTGCAGGGGCTTCTGGGGGGCAGGGCGGGGGGAGGGGGACCCTCTGACCTCGCCTTTGCCCGAAGTGGTCCTGGGAGGCGGTGAAACCGGCCGGGCCAGACGTGTGGGAACCAGGAGGTTCGGAAACTGCCCCCCCGCCCCCGCCAGGGCCAAGGCTGCCAGCGCCCCCACACGCCTCCAGAAAGTCCCTGGCGCTGCTCCCGGCCACGTCAGGGCCTGAGGTGTGAGGAGGAGGAAAGGAATCCACCTTCCGGCCGAACCTTCCTTCCTCCTTCCCGAGAGGCCACCCGCCGGCCAGGCGTCCGTCCCAGCCCCAGGCCCAGGCCCTGCCCACCGGCCAGGCTGTTCCATCCCAGCCCCAGGCCCAGGCCCTGCCCGCTGGCCAGGCTGTCCCCCCGGCCCCTGGGGCCCAGGCCCTGCCCGCCGGCTGGACCGAGGGGGCGCGGGAGGAGCGTGTCGGAGGCTGAGGCTGTGACAGGCCACACCCGGGAGGGGGCCCCGGGGTCCCCCGGAGCAGAGGCCTTTTCTGAGCCAAATGCTCTGCCATGCAGGGCCCCTCTGGGTCAGGGGTCGCAGGGCCGGCTTCTGGGGGCGGGGGGGCCCGCCAGGGCTCCGGCTGCAGGACCTCGCTCCGTCCTCACATGGTCCGTCCTGTGTCTTCTCTCCTCCGGAGGACCCGCCCTATGGCCCTAAAGGCCGCCCACCCCACCCCTCACCCCAGTGACCCCTCAGTGCCGTCTCCAAACAAGGCCACGTTCTGAGGCCCCCGGCCAACGTGGATTTGGGGGGCACTGTTTTTTAAATATATTTGTTTTGATTTCAGAGAGGAAGGGAGAGGGAGAGAGAGAGAAGCATCAGTGATGAGAGAGAATCATTCATCAGCTGCCTCCTGCAGGCCACACTGGGGATCAAGCCCACAACCTGGGCCTGTGTCCTGACCGTAATCAACCTGTGACCTCCCCCGACCTGAGACCTCCCCCCAACCTGTGACCTCCTCCTGACCTGTGACCTCCCCCTGACCTGTGACCTCCCAACCTGTGACCTCCCCCCAACCTGTGACCTCCCCCAGACCTGTGACCTCCCCCTGACCTGTGACCTCCCAACCTGTGACCTCCCCCCAACCTGTGACCTCCCCCGACCTGTGACCTCCCCCAGACCTGTGACCTCCTCCCGACCTGTGACCTCCCCCTGACCTGTGACCTCCCCCTGACCTGTGACCTCCCCCTGACCTGTGACCTCCCTCCAAACCTGTGACTCCCCCGACCTGTGACCCCACCCCCACCTGCCTCTCCTAACGGTGACTGCCTCCCAGGCTACCTGACGAAGCTGCTGCAGAACCACACGGCCTACGCCTGCGACGGCGACCAGCTGAGCCTGCAGTGCCCGCGGCACTCCTCCATCAGCGTCCAGGCCGCCTTCTACGGGCAGGACGGCCGGGCGTGCGGGGGCCAGCGGCCCGCCCCGGGCGGGGACGGCGGGGACGGCCCGGCCTGCGAGGCGCCCACCACCTTCCAGGTACCGTGGTGGCGGAGGGGCCGAGGGGCCGAGGTCCTGTCCCTGCCTGTCTCTCTCTCTGTGACTCCTTCTCTGTCTGTCTGTCTCCTGCCAGTCTCTCTGTCTGTCTCTGTCTTTCTGTCTCTGTCTCTCTGTCTCTGTCTCTCTGTCTGTGTCTCTGTCTGTCTCTGTCTCTCTGTGTCTCTATCTCTCTGTGTCTCTGTCTGTCTCTCTCCCTGCCTGTCTCTCTCTCTGTGACTCCCTCTCTGTCTGTCTGTCTCCTGCCAGTCTCTCTGTCTGTCTGTCTTTCTGTCTCTGTCTCTCTGTTTCTGTCTCTCTGTCTGTGTCTCTATCTCTGTCTTTGTCTATCTCTCTCTGTCTCTCTGTCTCTCTCCCTGCCTGTCTCTCTCTCTGTGACTCCCTCTCTGTCTGTCTGTCTCCTGCCAGTCTCTCTGTCTGTCTCTTTCTGTCTCTGTCTCTCTGTCTCTGTCTCTCTGTCTGTGTCTCTGTCTGTCTCTCTGTCTCTCTGTCTGTCTCTGTCTGTCTCTGTCTGTCTCTCTGTCTCTGTCTCTCTCTGTCTCTCTCTGTCTCTTCAGCGTGGGCCCAGCCCCTGTCACAGCCCCTGCCCTCTCCTCCTGCCAGAAGGTGTTGGACGAGTGCCAGAACCAGCGGGCCTGCCGCCTCCTGGTCAACAGCCGGGTGTTCGGGCCCGACCTCTGCCCGGGCAGCAGCAAGTACCTGCTGGTGTCCTTCAAGTGCCAGCCGAGTGAGTGCCCGCCGAGCGAGTGCCAGCCGAGCGAGTGCCCGCTGAGTGAATGCCCGCCGAGCGAGTGCCAGCCCAGCGAGTGCCCGCTGAGTGAGTGCCTGCCGAGCAAGTGCCCGCCGAGCGAGTGCCCGAGTGAGTGCCCGCTGAGTGCCCGCCGAGCGAGTGCCCGCCGAACAAGTGCCCGCCGAGTGAATGCCCGAGTGAGTGCCTGCCGAGCGAGTGCCCGCCGAGCGAGTGCCCGATGAGTGCCCGCCGAGCGAGTGCCCGAGTGAGTGCCCGCGGCCGGCTCCTGGCCCCCATGTGGTGCCCTGGGCGTTGGGCCCCAGGAACACGTGTGTTGGAACGTGGCCCTCCTCTGGCTTTTCCTTGGGCGTGGGTTTGCGTGGATGGGAGTGTGAGTTCACACCCAGGTGTGTCCCTGTGCGTGCTGACCATGTCCCTGTCCCTGTCCCTGTCCCTGTGTGTGCTGACATGCATGCTGACCGTGCCTGTGTCCCCGTATGTGCTGACCATGTCCGAGTCCCTGTGTGTGCTGACCATGTCCCTGTCCCTGTCCCTGTGCGTGCTGACCGTGCTCCAGTCCCTGTGTGTGCTGACATGCATGCTGACCATGTCCCTGTCCCTGTCCCTGTGCGTGCTGACCGTGCTCCAGTCCCTGTGTGTGCTGACATGCATGCTGACCGTGCCTGTGTCCCCGTATGTGCTGACCATGTCCGAGTCCCTGTGTGTGCTGACCATGTCCCTGTCCCTGTCCCTGTGCGTGCTGACCGTGCTCCAGTCCCTGTGTGTGCTGACATGCATGCTGACCATGCCCGAATTTGGAAAGCCTTTCTGCGCTGCAGCCCAGCTGTCCTTCTCCCCGAGTGGCCCCTGTGGCTCCTCCCCCAGACCCCCTCCCGTCAGAGAACTGTGGGTCCAGCGAGGCTTCGGATTTAGGCAGCTCTGGGGTCTTTGTGTGTTTTTTAAATATTTTTACTGCTTTCAGAGAGGAAGGAAGAGGGAGAGAGAGAGAAACATCAATGATGAGAGAGAATCATGGATTGGCTGCCTCCTGCTCGCCCCACACTGGGGGTGGAGCCCACAACCCGGGCCTGTGCCCCGACTGGGAATCGGACTGTGACCTCCTGGTTCCTGGGATGATGCCCAACCACTGAGCTTGTCCTTGAGGCAGAGTCTGGGCCCCACCTCCCCCCTAGGGCCCTCAGGCTCCCCGTTGAGCCCCGAGGGGGCGGTGCTGCCCGAACCTCGTCCAGCCCGCGCCCAGTGAGCGCCCCCTGCCTGAGACACGGTCTCGTTCTCCAAGAAAATGAGGGTTGCATCCGTGCCCCGTGGTTGTGAGAACCCAGGAGGGCCACTCTCGGCCACGGTGACTCAGCACGTTCCCGAGGAACCGAGTGACACACCATCACCCGCCCGTCAGGGACACCGGCCCCCAACCCAGGAGGCAACCTGGGGCCGCCCCGCAGGGGTAGTTACCTGGGACGGCCTGGCTGGCTTCGCTGCTTCTCTGAACCTCAGGGAGGTGGTAGCCAAGCAGGCACGGCTCGCCTCCAAAACAGAACCTATTGGTTAAGATTCCGGAGGGAGAGGGAGGGAGCGGGAAAGGCCATTCCTGGAAGCTCCTCCGGTGCCCAGGCTGGCGCCCGGCCCCCCCTCCGGCTGCTCTGCCCGGGGCGTGCTTCACAGGGCTGGGTGTTCGCCCGCTGGGAGGGCGCCCGCCTCCAACCCGGGGCGTGGCTCGAGTGGAGGTCACCTGAGGACTGAAGGGTCCCGGGTTCAAGTCCCTGTCAGGGCACAGGCCCAGGCTGTAGGCTCGATTCCGAGGGGCTCTCTCATCATTGACGTTTCTCTCTTCCTGACCCTTCCTCTTTTTGAAATAAATAAAAACATACTGTGTATAGACACACACACACACACTCTCTCTGAATGGCCAGGTTATTATGTGTTCAGAGATCATAATAATCTGGCCACTCAGTGTGTATATTATTTATATATATATATATATTAATATATATTAATATATATTAATATATATTAATATATATGGGGGGGGAGGTGGCCTTGGGGCCTGGGCTGCCTTCTGTGTCGAAGGCTGCCGGCCGCAGCACCTGCTGAGCTACGGCTTCGGAGGACACTCTACGGGGTTCCGCGGTGTGCCGGAGGGCGGGGCCCGGGTGCCGGCACCCGTGGGCAGCCCGGAGGGTGGGGCCCGGGCGCCAGCACCCGTGGGCAGCCCGGAGGGCGGGGCCCGGGCGCCGGCACCCGTGGGCAGCGGCACCCGTGGGCGCCCCGAGCTGACGTGCCCGTTTGTGTCCGCGCAGACGAGCTGAAGAACCAGACGGTGTGCGAGGGCCAGGAGCTGACGCTGCGCTGCCACCCCTCCAAGTCCCTGAGCATCTACGCGGCTGCCTTCGGCCGGCGCGCCCGGGACGCGGACCTGTGCGCCTCGGCCGCCCGGCCGCCCCCCTTCGGTGGGTCTCCCCGCGGCCATTGTGGGGCTCCCGGGGGTGGGGCCCGCTGCGGCTCACACGGGGTTAGAGGGCAAGTCCAGGGCGAGGAGGTACCAGCCCCCGGCACCTGCCTCCTGCCCCCCACGCTCCTGTGTCCCCCCACGTCCCACATGGAGCAGCGATGGCGCGCCTGCTGAATGCCAGGCCCCGCTCCGGGCACGGGCACGCTGTGGGCCCCCCCCCCCCCGAGTCCACAGGAGCCGGCCTGCCAGCAGGGCGAGGTGGGTGAGGAGCAGATGGAGGGGCTGAGGGGCTGTGCTTTCGGGGGGGATGAACTCCCGGCACAGCATGGGGGGGAGGGAGGGAGGGAGGGCTGCAGGGAGGGCGGGAGGGCTGCAGGGAAGGAGGGAGGGTTGCAGGGAAGGAGGGAGGGCTGCAGGGAGGGAGGGCTGCAGGGAGGGAGGGAGGGCTGCAGGGAGGGCGGGTCAGGCAGGGACTGGCTGAGCGGAGCTGAAGGCCGAGGGCGGCAGGTCCCTGGGAGGGTGGGGCTGGGACCCGCCGTGCCCGCCAAGGCCGCTCAGTGTGGGAGCCGCAGGCAGCCCCGGAGGAGCCTGGGTTAGAGCCGAGGCCGCAGCCTCGCCGGCCTGAGCCCCTCACGTCCTCTGCGGCAGGATTAGCCGGGATTCTCCGGAGGAGCGGCCGGTGGGAGACTCGGGAGCAGCCCACTGACGGGTGCGGGGGTGGAGTCTGCTTCCGCGGGCGGCCAGGGGAGGAGCTGGGGGGCCTGTGTCCACCTGAGTCGGCAGCCCCGGGGAATCCAGTCCTTTTCCGGAATCCCCGTCTCGGCTCTCGGGGCCGACCCCGCTGGGCGAGGCCGCCACGCTGGAGGGCGGTCTGCCTCAGGCAGCCTCCTGTCTAAACGTCAGTCACACAAACTCACAGCGTAAAGAATGCCCTCCTGCCCCGGCCGGGTGGCTCAGTGGACAGAGCGCCGGCCTGCGGGCTGAATGGCCCGGGTTTGATTCTGGTCAGGACACCAGGTTGCAGGCCCGGCTCTGGTCAGGAGATGTGAGAGGCTGTCCCTCTCCCACATCGGTGTTTCTCTCCCCCTCGCCATTCTGCTCTCTCTAAAAATCAATGGAGAAAACGTCCTCCAGCCAGCTCTGGGCTCTGGATTAAAAAAACAAAAACCACCAAAAAAAAGTACCTTCTCAACAGCATCTGGACCTGTCTGACCAGACGGCTAACCCCACCCCACCTGGGAGGTTACCCCTCGATCTGTGAGGTTACCCCCCCCCCCCCATCTCAGCAGAGAACAGGCCCCGCCCGAGACGCCGGGGCACCGAGCTGCTCCATCAGCTTCTCCAGGAACCCGCTCATGCGGCCCTAAGGGACACTTGTGCATAAGTAGCGCGTCTGGTCAGAGAGGTTGGCTGCCCGGAGGCCCCGAGCAGGATCCGGGCACCGAGGCCGGGCCCCGAGGCCGGGCCGTGCCGGGGGGGCCTGTCCCCGTGACGGGTGCTGCGGTGTCTGAGGCAGGCCACACCGGCGGCCCGAGGGGCAGCGGCCGCGCTGCCTGAGGTCTGGGGAGGCCCAGGAGGGCCGAGGTGAGGGGACCCCGCGCCCAGGAGCGACCAGCGAGCCCTGCTCCCCTCCCCTCTCCGGTAACGGCGTGTCCGCGGCCGCCCCTCCTGCCTCTGCGTCAGCCGGGGCCCTCCTGGTCCTCACGGGCACCTGCCCCAGGCGGCCTCTGACCGGGGCCGGAGGCAGGTCCGCTCAGGCCCCAGCCCCCGCAGGGACCCCCACGCTGTCCCTCCGCTCACAGCGGCCGGACAAGGCGCCTCCTGCACAGGGGCTCCATTCCTTCTTTTTAAAAACTTCTTCAGAGAGGACCAGAGAGGGAGAGAGCAACGCCCATGAGGAGAGAGAATCATGGACCGCTGCTCCTGCACGCCCCCCGCTGGGGATGAGGCCGCAACCGGGCCAAGCCCCAACGGGAATCGAACCCTGACCTCCTGGCGCATGGGTCGCGCTCAGCCACTGGGCCCCCGCTGGGGAGGCGCGGTGCCCAGGCGGTGCCCGCCAGGCGCAGGCGGCTCTGTGCGGGGCTCTGCTTTGGGCAGGTGCACTCCGCGGGAGGGGGCGGCTGCGGCCGGAGGGCACGCTCAGCACCGCGGCCCCGTCCCCGTCCCGGGAGGCGGACGGGCTGCGGCCGCACGGGGAAGGCGGCGGCAGACACCTGGCTGGCCACAGGCCCTGGGTCCGAGGGGCCCCGGCCAGCCAGCTCTGGGCTCTGATGGGAGGAGGGCCCTGTGGCCGGGGAGGGGCTGGTCTGCGCGGAGTGGCGCCCCCTGCGAGTCTCAGGGGAAAACACCTGGGCATCCTCCTTCCACCCCGCCCGCCCCTCACCCCAGGCCCCCGAGGCGAGGGAGCAGCCTTGCCCTCCACCACGCCTCTGCCAGAGGCCAGGACCCCGGCGGCGGGCTGGGTGGGGCAGCGGGAGGGACTCGCCGGGAGCGGGCATCTTCCCCGGGACCTCCGGCTGGTCTCCGAGTGCCCAGCGCCCCCCACTCCTCTCTCACGAGCTCCCCACCCCCTGCAGTTATACCCTGGCTCCGCGGGGTCCGGCCCGTCCGCCGCAGGGCCCTGGAGCGCCCTCAGCCCGCCCGGGGCCTGTGCACGGCTCCGCCCTCGGCCGGGATCGTCTCAGTCCGCACGGCCATCGCGCCCTCCGTGGCGTGTCACCGAGGGCCCCCAGCCCCGGGCCGTGCTCTGTCCTCCAGACGGGCCGGCCCGCAGGAGGCTCGCCGGGAGGCGGCCCTGGGCCACGGTCTGCGGGCGGGGACCCAGGCGCCCGGCGCAGGATGACGCGGCCGGATGGGCCGGTGTGCTCCCCGCTCTGACCTCAGGGGGACCGGAAACCCTGTCTGTTTTCTCTTCGTGTGAAATGTTCCCACTTCCAGAACACGGAGTGAGCCAAGCCAAACATGCCTGCGGCCACACCCGAGGGCAGCCGTGTGTGTGTGTGTGTGTGTGTGTGTGTGTGTGTGTGTGTGTCTATGTGTGTGGCCACATCCGAGGACAGCCATGTGTCTGTCTGTGTGTCTGTGTCTCTGTGTGTGTGTGTGTCTGTCTGTGTGTGTGTGTATCTCTGTGTGTGTGTGTGCCTCTGTGTGTGTCTGTGTGTGTGTGTGTCTCTGTGTGTGTGTGTGTCTGAGTGTGTGTGTGTGTGTGTGTGTGTGGCCACATCTGAGGACAGCCATGTGTCTGTCTGTGTGTCTGTGTCTCTGTGTGTGTGTGTCTGTCTCTGTGTGTGTGCCTCTGTGTGTGTGTGTATCTCTGTGTGTGTGTGTGTGCCTCTGTGTGTGTGTGTGTCTGTGTGTGTGTGTGTCTCTGTGTGTGTGTGTGTCTGAGTGTGTGTGTGTGTGTGTATGTGTTCTGCTTGCAGCTCCCGCAGGCCGCAGCCCCACCCCGGAGGCAGGGCCGTGCTCCTACCTGGGCAGCAGGGCTTGCAGGAGGCCTGCCTGGGGCGAGGGGCGGGCCTCTCCCGGCTCAGAGAGGTCAGGGCCTCGGAGAGGTCACGGCCTCAGAGAGGTCATAGTGCTGTCCCCCCCCCCCCTCGGAGAGGTCACGGTGCTGTCCCCCCCCCCCCTCGGAGAGGTCACGGTGCTGTCCCCCCCCCCCCCGGAGAGGTCACGGTGCTGTCCCCCCCCCCCCCCGGAGAGGTCACGGTGCTGTCCCCCCCCCCTCGGAGAGGTCACGGTGCTGTCCCCCCCACCCCCGGAGAGGTCACAGCCTCAGAGAGGTCATAGTGCTGTCCCCCCCCCCCCCTCGGAGAGGTCACGGTGCTGTCCCCCCCCCCCCCCGGAGAGGTCACGGTGCTGTCCCCCCCCCCCCCTCGGAGAGGTCACGGTGCTGTCCCCCCCCCCCCCGGAGAGGTCATAGTGCTGTCCCCCCCCCTCGGAGAGGTCACGGTGCTGTCCCCCCCCCCCGGAGAGGTCACGGTGCTGTCCCCCCCCCCTCGGAGAGGTCACGGTGCTGTCCCCCCCCCCCCGGAGAGGTCATAGTGCTGTCCCCCCCCCTCGGAGAGGTCACGGTGCTGTCCCCCCCCCCTCGGAGAGGTCACGGTGCTGTCCCCCCCCCTCGGAGAGGTCACGGTGCTGTCCCCCCCCCCTCGGAGAGGTCACGGTGCTGTCCCCCCCCCCGGAGAGGTCACGGTGCTGTCCCCGGAGGCTGAGTGGCTCAGAGCCCAGGCGCCGGGCACACGGTGGGGACGGGCTGGGGGTTGGGGTCGGGAGCAGCGCCCTCAGACGGGGGCGGGAGGGCGTGTGTCCGGGCCTCGCTGAGGGCCAGTCGCTGGCCATCGGGCCTCCTGGGGGCGCCCCACAGGCCGCAGAGCTCCCCGAGGAAGAGGTTCCCGATTCCCCTCTTCCTGTCAGTCCCCACCTGCGGGCCTTTCCCGCTGGTTTTCAGAGAACGGAAGGGAGGGAGGGGAGAGAGAGAGACAGAAACGTGGACGTGAGAGAGTCACGGATCAGCTGCCTCCTGCACGCCTCCCACTGGGGATGAGCCTGCATCTCGGGCCTGTGCCCACGGGAACGGAACCCAGAGCGCCGGCTCGCAGGCGGTGTAACCACGGAGCCACCCGGCCGGGCCCTGGCGGCGTCCCAGGGACACGCCGTCCGCCGCAGCCAGGCTTCCTGGGTGGACGCCCAGGACCTGCTGCTTTCTTGACGAGGAGGGACGCCGCCCAGGCCTCGGGGCCGAGTGCGGGCAGGCCCGGCTCTGCGGGCGGATCCAGGCCCGGGGCCCCTGCCTCCACGGCCGCCTGGCGAGCAGCCGCCCGTCACCCACGTGCCCGCAGGTTTCGGAGAGCGGCTCCCCGCCCGCGCCAAGCAGCGGCCAGGAGGCCAGAAACCAAACGAGGGCCCCCTCGTCCGCCATCACGGGGCAGGGGGGCTCTCGTCCTCCATCACACGGGGGGGGGGGGGGCCCTCGTCCGCCATCACGGGGGGTGGTACCTCCTTCGCCATCACGTGGGGGCAGCACAGAACCAGGCTGGGACGGAAAGACCGCTTTGTTTTTAAAAAGCATTCTTAAAATGTATTTTATTGATTTCAGAGAGGAAGGAGAGGGAGAGGGAGTCGCTGACCACTGGGCTACCCGGCCGGGCGGAGCGGAGACAGACTCACCGAGGGAGGCAGTTCTGCCTCCAGGCCACGTGGCCGCGAGGGGCTCGAACCGGCGGGAGGGCGAGGACCCGGAGTGCGTTTTTCGGAAGATGCCAGGCGACCCGTCCGACTCGGGGCTGACACTCCCTCGGGGCCATTGTCCAAGACGGAGTTCTAAACTGGGCCCAGCCGGCGTGGCTCAGTGGCTGAGCATTCACCTAGGAACCAGGAGGTCAGGGTTCGATTCCCGGTCAGGGCACAGGCCTGGGTTGTGGGCTTGATCCCTAGTGTGGGGCGTGCGGGAGGCAGCTGATCCGTGATTCTCTCTCATCAGGGATGTTTCTCTGTCTCCCTCTCCCTTCCTCTCGGAAATCGGTAAAAAACATTTTTTTAAAAAGAGAGAAACTGTCCAGTCCTCAGGAGCGGAGGTTCGTGGCGGGAACGGATTCTCAATAGGAACAGTAAATGGTGCTGAGTGGCCGGGTCGGCAGTGAGGGAAAGCCTGCGTTCGGTAGGTGCTGGTTCTGCCGGTTCGGGGCCGAGCCGGGCACAGCGTGTGGGGCCCGTGTGTGCGATGTGCAGGCCTGGGCCCATGGAGCTGTGAGGGTCCAGCAGCCCTCCCACTGCCGCCCAGGAAGCCAGCATCTCTGCACCTGGCCCTCGGGTCGATCCTCCGTGGCCCCCAGGGGCCTGCTGCTCCGTGGCACATGGCTCTCTGAGGGCCGCTCCTCCGTGGCCCGTGGCCCTCTGGGGGCAGATCCTCTGTGGCCCCCAGGGGCCTGCTGCTCCGTGGCACATGGCTCTCTGAGGGCCGCTCCTCCGTGGCCCGTGGCCCTCTGGGGGCAGATCCTCTGTGGCCCCCAGGGGCCTGCTGCTCCGTGGCACATGTCTTGCTGGGGGCCGATCCTCCGGGGCCCGTGGCCCTGTGGGGCCTTCCTGAGACAGGAAGCCAGCAGAGCCTCTGTCCAGCGGAGACGGAGCCCGGCCGGTGTACGTGCCCAGGACGCAGCACGCCGTGGGCGCCGGTGGGGACCAGCCTCACGCCCTCCTGTCCCCGCAGACTGCCTGTCCCACTCGGCCGCCCACGTGCTGGCCCACAGGTGCTACGGGCGGCAGCGGTGCCGTGTCCGCGTGGACAGCCTTCACTTCGGGAGCCCCTGCCCGCCCGGGGCCAGGAAGTACCTCACCGTCGCCTACGCCTGCGGTAAGACGCCCCCGCCCGGCGGCCTGCCCGGGCGCTGCCCCTGACGCCCCGCCCGAGCCCAGGCCCTCGGACCTGCGGCTGTTACCACGCGCTCACAGCTGGGCAGCAGCACGCGGGCTGCAGCCGGGGGAGGCGGGGCGGGGGGGGGACCAGCGGGAGTGGGTGTCCTGGGAGCGCCGTCCTCCTGGGCTCCTGGGAGGCCCGGTTTACGGGAGGCCGTGCGAGGCCCCGGAGGTGGCTGCCCCTCTGCCGGCCTTAGGCCTCCATGACGAGTCCCAGCCCCCCCCCCCCCCCCCCCCCCCCCGCTCCCCGCTGAGTCAGCCGCCCCTCGCGGCCTGAGCCGTGAAACAGGCCGGGGCGCGGCGTTCCCGGTGTCTCCGGGGACCATGTGCCGCCGGCCGGCTCGCCGTCCGGCCTGTAACTCGGCTTAAAAGGAAGCGGCGGCGAGCTCTGGGAGGAGGGGCGGGGCCGGCGAGTGAGCCAGGGCTGCTGTTCTAAGGAGCAGGGAAGCCCAGGGCGAGCCGGCGGCCGGGGGGCTCGGGGTGGGCGTCGGCCCAGGAGCCAGGAGGTCAGGGTTCGATTCCCGGTCAGGGCACAGGCCCGGCTGTGGGCTCCATCCCCAGTGGGGGGCAGCCAGTTGATGGCTGTCATCGTTGATGCTTCTGTCTCCCTCTCCCTAAGACAGTAAATATAAATATAATTTTAAAGCCCCGGTGGCCGAAACCGGTGTGGCTCAGTGGATAGAGCGTCGGCCTGCGGACTGAAGGGTCCTGGGTTCGATTCCGGGTAAGGGCATGTACCTGGGTTGCGGGCACATCCACAGTGGGGGGTGTGCAGGAGGCAGTTGATCAATGTTTCTCTCTCATCGACGTTTCTAACTCTCTATCCCTCTCCCTTCCTCTCTGTAAAAAATAAATAAAATATATTTTTTTAAAAAGAGAGAAAAAAAAGCCCCGGAGGCTGGCGCGAGGAAGCCCCGCGGCCCTTCCCTGGGGCCCGGATCGCTGCCTGACCGGCGGCTGCGCAGTCAGAGGAGCAGGTGACGGAGGCGGAGTCTGTAACGCGCAGAATTCTCAGGGCCTGGAGTTCAACCTGCCGCTCCTTCCTCTCTTCCTCCTCCTCTTCTTCTTCTTCTTTAAATATATCTTATTGTTTTTTACAGAGGGGAAGGGAGAAGGAGAGAGAGCTATTATAGAAACACTGATGAGAGAGAAGCATCGACCAGCTGCCTCTTGCACACCCCCAACCAGGGATGTGCCCGCAACCAAGGCACATGCCCTTGACCAGAATCGAACCCGGGACCTTTCAGTCCGCAGACCGACGATCCATCCACTGAGCCACACCGGTTTCGGCTCTTCCTCTCTTCTTTCTTGTTTTCAATCCTCATTTGGGAGCATGTTTATTGATTTGAGAGGGAGGAGGAGGAGGAGGAGGAGGAGGGAGAGGAGAGGGAGGAGGAGGAAGAGGAGGAGGAGGAGAGAGAAAATCCATCGGTGCCTCCCGTACTGCCCCCAGAGACGGAGCCGGAGCTGGGTGTGTGCCCGGACCGGGACTGAGCCGCGGCTGGTGCCAGGGCAGAGGGCGCTCTGAGCAGAGCCCCCGGCCAGGGTCAGGGGCTCTTTCCTGACGTCTCCCTGTCCCCAGCCTGACAGCGAGGTTTCATTCGGGGAGATTCAAGGCTTAGTGCCGCCCAGACCCCCGAGATGCACGGCGGACGCCGGGGCGGCTGGGCCACACCACGGCCCTTGAAGGCCACGGGTTTTCGCTGGCGGCCACGGGGCCGGACTCCCGTCGGGCACCGGCCTCTCCCGTGGGCTGTCCCCTGGCGTGGCCAGTCCCGGCGGCTCCGGGTGATGGGCAGCGGCCGCGGCCCCTGAGGCCGTGCCCTGAGGCCGTCCCCGCGCCCGTGGGAACTGAGGCTTTACTCCTGGCTCTTCCCCGGCTCTCAGTGCCCAGGACCATCCTGTCCGCGCTGGACCCCGCCCTCGCCGAGCCGGCCCCTTCCCCGAAGCAGGAGGACGCGGACGGCGGCCACGGTACCGTGCGGGCGGCGGGCGGCGGGCGGAGGGTGGGGGTCAGCCCCGTGCGACGGCGGCTGGGGGGCCAGCGCTGTTCTTCTCTCTTTAAATCACCCCGGAATTAGCCCTCCTCCGGCTCCATTTGAAAGAGATCCAATCTGCCCAGGCCCCCCGGGTGCCTGCGGGGCGAGGGCTGCCGGCCCGGAGCGCCCTCTGCCTCCTGGAGGCCCTCCCGGCTTCCGTGCACGGGGGCCGGCCTCCTGCCGCCTCCTCCGCAGACGGACGGGACTGCGCCCCCGGGCTCCGGGCGGGAACCCTGAGCCTCCGCTGCTGAGCTTCGGGGGAAGGTTTTCTTTCTTACTGATGTCAGAGAGGAAGGGAAAGGGGGAGAGAGAAACATCTGTGATGAGAGGGAATCATGGACCAGCCTCCTGCACGCCCCCTGCTGGGGACAGAGCCTGCAACCTGGGCCTGGGCCCCGACCGGGAATCCAACCGTCACCTCCTGGTGCCTAGGTCACTGCTCAGCCACGGGCCCCGGCCGGCGGGCGCGGAAGGTTGAGTGTCGCTCCCAGAACACGTGTGAGGCTTGGCCCCGTGGTGGGGGCCTCGCCGGCAGCGCCAATGGTCACCCTCTCCGCTCATCGCCGGCTCCCGCCCGCCAGGCTGCCCGCGCTGCTCCACCCCCTGACCCCCCAGCAGCTGCTGGCCCCGAGCCTCCTTCCGCGGAAGCCAGGGCCTGTCTGACCCCGGGGTCCCCAGAGCCCCGCGGAGGCAGCCCCCAGGCCGGCACCACCGTGTAACCGGGACCCCGCTGTCATTCCCGAGAAGCGTGACCCCCATGCCCGGCTGACAGCGTCCTCGGTGCTCAGAGCGGCGGCGGCAGCGCCGTGGGGAGCCGCGTTCCTAGCTGTGGCGGCGCGTGTCCTCGGCCTGGGGGGCGGGGCGGGACGCTCCCTCTGAGGGCGGTGAGCGGAGCCACGTGGCTCACCTTCTGTTCCTCCACGTGTGCAGGCCCCGACCTGAGACCTGACGCGCTCTGGCTCTCCGGCTGTCTTCCTCTGGGTTCTTTGTTTGTTTTGTTAATCCTCACCTGAGGGTATGTTTTCCCCATGAGTTTGGGAGTGGAGGGAAGGGGGAGGAGAGAGAGAGAGAGGGAGAGAGAGAGAGGAGAGAAGAGGAGAGAGAGAGAGGAGAGAGAGAGAGAGAGAGAGGAGAGGAGAGAGAGAGGAGGGAGGGAGAGGGAGGAGGGAGAGAGGGAGAGGGAGAGGGAGGGAGGAGGGAGAGAGAGGGAGAGGGAGAGGAGAGGGAGGAATGGAGAGAGGGAGAGGGAGGGAGGGAGGAGAGAGAGAGGAGGAGAGGGAGAGAGGGGAGAGGGGAGAGAGGAGGGAGAGAAGAGGGAGAGGGGAAGGAGAGGGAGGGAGGAACATCGATGTAAGGGACACATCCACTGGTTGCCTCCCGCACGCACCCCAGCGGAGCCGGGATCGAACCTTCAAGCCCTCGACGGGGAACTGAGCCCACGACCCTCTGGCATTTGTGCGGACGGGCCGACCCCGGAGCCCGGCCCCACGGAGGCCCTGTCCCCCCGGGCGGGCGCCGAGCTGGCGGCTGCGCCTCACCGGCTGTTTGTCCGCTCAGGTGCCGGCGCCGAGGACCCCCGGGAGTCCCGGGTCCGGAGGAAGGAGGGCGTCATGGTCAGCAGCTCCCTGGCCGCCTTCGCCTACATCCGAGGTGGGTGGCCCAGGGCGCGGGGAGCTGGGCGCCGGGCGGGCGGGTGGGCGCCACTCGCTGGCTGTGGGAGGACATCACTCGGACCTGCCCGCTGTCCGGCTGGGACCTGGTTCCGCTCCGCCGGCCGACGGGGGAACCGGGGCAGGTGGGGGGACAGCCGCAGTCACGCCCGGGGGGGGGGGCAGCCAGGGAGTCACGCCCGGGGGGGGGGCAGCCGGGCAATCGGGCCCTGGGGTGGGGGGGGGCAGCCGGCAGTCACGCCCGGGGAGGGGGGTCATGCATGGCGTCCGGCGCTGTGAGACGTGGGCGCCCAGGAATGCGCTTCCCGCTCGGACGGACGTGGGAAGTGGGTTAGTGCATTCCGCCGCCCCCCGAGGCCACCGGCCAGCAGGACAGGCCGTGCCCTGCGCAGACAGAGCCCTGAGTCACCCGCTGCCTCACGGGTGCCAGGTTTCCCGCTAATCTTCCCGCCAAGGCCAGCGGGACGCAGCCTGCCGATGGCAGAGCCGAGCCGGCTCGGCGAGGGCGCGGCCCACGGCCCCGGCCACCTGGCGGGGTCCCGGCAGCACCGCCGGCCGAACGGGCCTCACCCCCGGCCCCTTTTATACAAAAGCGTTTTCACTGATGTCAGGGAGGAAGGGAGAGGGAGAGGGGAACATCAGCAAAGAGGGAGAATCCTGGGCCCTGATGGGAATCGAACCCGGTCCCTTCAGTCCGCAGGCTGACCCTGTCCACTGTGCCATGCTGGCCGGGCTGCATTTTCTTTTTAATCTAGAAGGCGTGAAGCTTTGCTTACGTCACACCCTGGTTCTTACATGCCCCTTTAAACTCTGTGTAAGTTAACTTTTCGGCGATGACTGCTACGGATAGCTGGCCGTCCACTACACAGACCTATTCTCCCCCCGCTCCCCGCCCCTGACTGTCCTCCCTGCCCCTGCCCCTCCTCTCCCCTCCCCCTCCCCCTCCCCTCCCCCCTCCCCGCCCCTGACCGCCCTCTCCCGCCCTCCCCGCAGCCCACCCCGACCGGGCCGCCCTGCTCTTTGTGTCCAGCGTGGGCGTCGGGCTGGCCCTCACGCTGTGCGCCCTGGTGGCCCGCGTGTCCTGCGCCCGGGACCTGCGGGCGCTGCGGGGGGCGCGGGAGCGCCTGGTGGCCGCCGCCGACGGGGCCTCGGAGGACAGCGAGGACGCGGACGGGAGCGAGGCCTCCTCTGGCTCCAGCCTCCCCGGGGAGCCGCCCGGCCTCCGCAGGACCGCGCACCCCGCGTACACGGCCCTGGAGGCCGCGGAGCTGGCCGAGAGGATCGAGCGCAGGGAGCAGATCATCCAGGAGATTTGGATGAACAGCGGCCTGGACGCCTCCGTGCCCCGGAGCGCTGGCCCCTTCTACTGAGCCGGCGCCTCGCCCGGGCCCTCGTGTCCCACCGAGCAGCCGCCCGGGCCCTGGTGCCCGACCGAGCAGCCGCCCGGGCCCTGGTGTCCCACCGAGCAGCCGCCCGGGCCCTGGTGCCCGACCGAGCAGCCGCCTGGGCCCTCGTGTCCCACCGAGCAGCCGCCCGGGCCCTCGTGTCCCACCGAGCAGCCGCCTGGGCCGGTCTGTCCCGCTGGTTCCTTCTGTGAAGGAGACTCTGTTATGCCGTTGGCCCCGGGGAAGCCGGATTTGCCCAAAGCACCCTCCGGGGTGGCAGCTCCTTTCCGAACTCACCAGGAGGGTGTCCTGGACACCCTGTTTGCTGAGGTTCTGTCTCCGCGGGGACACGGTTACCGTCCCGCTGAGGGAGCGGCCACGCCTGTGCCCATGCTTTCCCAGCGCTGCCATCACTCCCACGCCGGCCGCAGGCGCCGGAGCCACGGCCCCTCTTCCCGGCGAGCGGACGGGCCACCGCCAGCCACGTCCCTGCACTGTCACCAGGACGCACACGCTCGCTGTCACTGGATTGTTAAAAAAATATGTTTTTATTGATGTCAGAGAGGAAGGGAGAGGGAGAGAGAATCACGGACCGCTGCCCCCTGCACGCCCCACACTGGGGATAAGAGCACACAACCCCGGCCTGTGCCCTGACGGAATCGAACCCTGACCTCCTGGGTCAGAGGTCGACGCTCAGCCCGAGCGCAGTCACTGGCATCGCTGGGCAGAGCAGGGGCGGTGGCGACGCCTTCCTTCAGCAGCAGATGCTAGGATGGCCGGTGTCCGGCGCCGTGACTGCCCCCCCTGCTGCGGCTCCACGGCTGACCCGGGACGAGAGCCACGTGTTCCAATAAAACGTTATTTATGCACAAGACGGCGAGCTCACTGTCACATGCTGCTAAACTCACTGTCCTATGAGCTCAGAGGTCAGGACACGGGAGCTCCGGGGGAGGGTGGACTGGGCTGCCTGGTGGTTCCGGGCCGGGGCCGGGCGCCACCTTCAAGTCATCGCAGAAAACCCCAAACACACATGCACACACGCACACTCATTCACACTCACACTCACTCACAAACACTTGTGCGCACACACTCACACATGCTCACCCATACACATTCACACACACATGCATACACACACGCTCACACACGTACACACAAACATTCGTGCGCACACACAACACACATGCACACATTCACACACACACATGCACATACGAGCATGTGCCCACATGTATGCACACAATCCTCTTTTCTCCTCTGAGTGCACAGGGGGGCTGGGGCAGTGCTAACAGGATGACACGTGTGAGGGTGCGTTTCCCACAGTGTCTGGCCCCCCCTGCTTGGGTGATGATGGGACCCTCGGGCCCTGGGCCCAGGGATGGGGCTCCCGTCTCGTCTCCCTGCAAACGCCCCCCCTCACCTCACTGAGCTGCCGTCGGCGATCAGCAGCCGTGTGATGTGGCCCGTTTCCTCGGTGACGCCCGGAACACGGGAGCCGCCGAGAAGCCGGGGGTGGGGTTTGGGTGGGGGGGACACGGACTGGTGGGCTGCGCCCGGATCCTCCGTCGGTCGGGGGGGCGCTGTGCTCCTGAGAGCGGCCTCTCAGGAGGCCCCAGACCGGGAGCCCCTCAGGACGCAGGACGGGGGGAGGGCTGGGGACGGGGCCCGGCCTCAGGGGCTCAGGCCTGGGGGACACGGCACCGCCCCCCGGGCCGGTGGGGTCTGGGAAGAGCCGCTGCCTCACATTGGCGTCAGGCTGCCCCCGCCCTTCCCCACGGCCCTCGCCCGGGCCCTGGCGCCCAGGCGGGCAGGCGGACTGAGCACTCTCCCCCTCCCCCCGAGGCTCCCGAGAAGCACCCAGCCCTGGCGCCCTCCCCCCTCTGCCCCGCCCGGACCGGGAAGGCAGCCCAGGGACCCGCCTGGGTCCTGGCCCCGGGCTCCGGCCGCGCGGTGTGGCCCTCGGTCCCGGCCCCGTCCTGGCTGGTCTCGGCGGCCTGGCCGTGCCCTCGTCCCCTTGCCCCTCGCCTGTCAAGTGGGCTCCTTCCTGGGACAGGGGTGGGGGGGGGCTCAGGGGGCCGTGCTTCTCTCCAACAGGAGAGTAACGTTCGCACCTGCCTCCGGGGCGGCGCAGCCAGGGCCCGGCCACGCCGTCCGGCCCATGGCGGCGGCAGAGGCGGGGATGCAGGACGAGCTGTGGAGAGGCCGGGCGGGAGGCTCATGTCCGCTGAGCGCAGAGCGGCCAGGCCGACCTCCCCTCCGCTGAGCCCGGGACCCAGTCACGGGGGTGAGGAGCCCATTGTGGGCCCGGCCCCGGGCAGCACGGGCCCAGCTCCACCCCAGGCCGGGGCGGCCTTGAGAGCAAACCCAAAGGAAACTCTGCAGCCAGAGGCCGGTGGCGGGCGCCGAGGCCGAGCTGGGAGTGAGGCGGGAAGAGCTACGAGGACCCTCGGCTCCGAGAGCGAGGGGAGCGGCTGTCCCAGCCCCGCGTCCTCGGCACCGGGCGGCAGGAGCCCCTGGAGACACGCACCCCGCGGAGCGCTGGCCACCGGCCTCTGGCTCCATCGCTGCAGCTGAGCTTGAACTCACGGCCTGAGCTTCCAAAATATCTCCAATCAACATCTTTTCTCTTCGTTCTGGTTTTTAAAAACATATTTCTTATTGATGTCAGAGAGGACAGGAGAGGGAGAGGGAGAGAGACCATTAATGGTGAGAGAGAATCATGAATCGGCTGCCTCCTGCACGCCCCACACTGGGCATGTGCCCTTGGCCGGAAGAGAACCCGTGACCCGTCAGTCTGCAGGCGGATGCTCTATCCACTGAGCCACACCAGCCAGGGCTTCCTTCTGGTTTTCCCGTTTACTTCATTGTGAGAACACAGCCCGTGATGGACCCGGAATCGCACGCCTGCTCCTGCTTCCCCCAGGCCTTCAGCCAGCGGCAGCCTATTGGCGGTTCTGTGCTGGGGGTCAAAGGTTACGCGCAGACTTTCCCCGGCACCAGGTGGGCCCTGACCCCGCGCCTGCCAGGCCCCTCACCACCCGGTCACAGCACGGGGCTCAGGGCCCTGCCAGCGGCCGAGGGGCAGGTACGTGTGAGTCCGACACTGAGTCAGAGGACAGACACCTGCCCAGCCCCGGGCCTGCCCACCCCTCTGCTCACCTTCCGGGGGCACCGCCCGGCCGGGTCTCCGAGCCGAGTCCCTGTGCTCCTGCGCCTCGTGCCCGTGCCCACGGCCGGAGCCGCAGCCTCGCTCAGGCGGCCCCCCTGCAGCCCCCGAGGCCGTGGGTGGGCCCGGGCTGACTGCCCTGATTTTCGGGGCTGAGAGCGCCCGGCTGGTCCCAACGCCTCGGCAGTGACCCCAGTGCAGCCACGCCCCGTGGGAGAAGCGAGCCCAGCGCTCCTGGGCGGCGTGGCTCCTGGGCGGCGTGGCTCCTGGGCGGCGTGGCTCCGTGGCTCGTGGGTGGCGTGGCTCCATGGGCGGCGTGGCTCCGTGGGCAGCGTGGCTCCGTGGGTGGCGTGGCTCCGTGGGCGGCGTGGCTCCGTGGGCTCGGGGGAGCAGAGACTCCGTCAGTGCCCGCGGGCCCTCCCTGCAGGCGCCTCTGCCCTCGCCCCCTCGGCCCTCGCCCCCTCGGCCACAGCACGCCGGTCAGATTATCTGGAGCGAACAGGCGGCCTTCCTGATGGCGGAGCCGCCTGCGGGCGTGAACCCAGGGCGGGCCTCGCCGGACAAAGAGAGGAAAGCGGTCACTTCCAATTCCGGCTCCTGCCCCGCCCCGCGCTGAGCCCGAGGCCCGAGGCCTTCGTGAAGGAGAGCCTGTCACTTCCTCTCGTTCCAGACGGAGGCGGTGGGCGGCCGGGGTGAGGTGGGGCCGGGTTCCAGGAGGGACCGGGTTCGAGGTGGGCTGGTTCCTGGTCAGTGACTCAGCCTGACCCGGGGAGCAGGCGGGCGGGCGGGGCGGCCTGTGTTCAGCGAGAGGAACTCGGTCGACAATGAGCGGCCGGAGGACGTGCTGTGAGTCCACGGAGAACTCGCCAACCAGGGCGGCACCTGGTTCCGAGTCCGGGCTTCCTTCCTGAGCCGCCCCGAGGGGAAGGCGGGGGGGGGGGGGGGGGGCGGGATTCTGCCACACACGTGGGGCTCGCATCGCTCAGCTCGTGGGTGTGACAGATATGTGGAAAGAATTCCAGCTGCTCTGGGGACAAGTCCTGAGTTGCGACTTAAGGTGGACAAATTCTTGAAGCCAGATTATTAAATAAAAAGGGCAAATTAGCCTCGCCAGTGTGGCTAAGGGCTGAGCCCCGTGCAGTGCCCACCGCAGACCCTGTACCCCGGGAACTCAGTGTGGGTAAAGAAATTCACTGCCCAAGGACTCAAAGGGACGCTACACTGTTATCCTGAGCACACCCACGGCTGCTGAAACGGCACCCAGACCTGACTACATGACTCCCAGCTCCTGCATGGCCTGGATCCTGGCAACTAGCGGCCTCATCTGTGAGATCCCCAGCCTGGGCTCCACGCAGGCCAGGAGGAGAGCTGATGCCTGCAGGAGGGGAACTGGACTTCAGTGAGGACAATACTGATGGGAACTGTGGTCCTAAGGGTCTTGGTAACTCTATTTGTTGTTTATGCTGGAAAGAAGTAGGCTGAGTCAATGATTTGACTCATGCACGTAAGACAAGGGGGGAATGAGAGGGTAGGGCAGGGCGAGGATAAACTGACTCCACTGTGGGGCAGGACGGGGTTATTCTCCATTTGTAACTGGACCCCAGCCCTCACCCAACCAATCAGGGTCAGCCGAAGCAGTGACATCACCACCGGTACGAAACGCCTCTCGTCTGCCATGCTGCTGGCGTGAGTGGGACAGAGCCCATGTTAACGTGGAAGAGGCTCTCTTGTTAATTGCCTCGGACTTGGCTCCCTGCTGGTCTTGGGGATCACGGAATCTCACGGAATCTCACGGAAATCACGGAACAACAGGCCGAGCTCCATGCAGGGCTGAGCTCGGTGCGTGTGGCGTGAATAGCTCGCCCGCACGGCCACGCTCTGCCCCGCCCCAGGCGGCCGGCGCCCCTGGCCTCGGAGGCAGCGCGCACACCGCCGAGCACAGCACCGGGCAGGGTGCACTCTGGCGCTAACACTGACCCCGCTTCATCTGCTCCCCCCCCACCCCCACCCCCTCCCGCCCCACCGCCCGAGCACAGACACGTGGTCGCCCACGGGGCTCCTGGTCAGGAAGCAGCCACTGAGCTGGGTCCTGGCCACACGGCTCTGCGCCCCCTCACCGCCCTGAGGCGGCAGGTGTGGCCGGGAGCCGGGGGCCGGGGAGCCGGGGAGCCAGGAGCATCTCTCGGCCTCTGGACCCCCCGCTCGGCCTGCGGGCAGCTCGCTGTGATGCCCGAGCAGCCGCCTGGCAGGGGCCGCGGTCCGCTGGGCTGGGGAGCAGGGTTTGGGGGGCGCTGAGCACACCCATGGGGCCTCCGAGGGGTGCCCAGGCCCTGGCGGCCACACGGACCCTCAGGCCAACACGGGGGTGGGGGCTGCGGGGGGCGGGGCCTGCGGGGGGAGGGGGCGGGGGGGGCACTGACTCGCCCTCCGCCTCGCGTGTCGGCCGGCCTGCAGGGCACAGGGTCACGTCCTCAAAGCCCGGCCCTCGGCCTCCCGCCCCCACAGACGGCCGACAGCGCCCCCCCCCCCCAAGTCTAACGTCCTTTAAAAGAGAACGAGAGGCGGCGACCGGGCTGAAGCTCACCTGCAGCGAGCCCGGAGCCCAGAGGGAATGCTCCTTCCAGCAGAGCCGGCCCGGCCCCCAGCCCCAAAGCCACGTGCAAACGGCCCTCAGCCGGCGGCTCCCTTTTCGGTGCTCGGAGGTGGGGAGGAGAGGGGCCATTGGGGCTCCTGGGGGGTCTGGCACCTGGGCCCGGGGGGTCCCCGCTCGTCCCCTGTGACTCTGCTGGGGGAGGGTGCTGGCTGCCACATGCACCGAGCTCAGCCTGCAGGGGGCGCCTCTCCCTGGGGATCCGTCAGCGCCTTCCAATTCCGGCCCTGGTAGGACCGCCGGCCTGCCCTGCCAGGAAGGACTCCTTCCACTGCCTTTGGCAGCTGTTGAGGGACAAGCAGAGCACAGTGTCTGTGTGCACCTCTGCATGCACACGTGTGTGGCCGTGGTGGGGGAATGTGCATGTGTGCGCGCATGTGTGTCAGCTCCCTCAGTCCTGAAAGCCCCTGTGAGGAGGCCGGGTGAGGGCGGCCCCTCTGCAGGGGGCGCCGTGGGTGTGAGCGGGGCCGCGGGCGGCAGGGGCTCTGGCTCCCGGGACCCAGCTCCGGTCCCGCCTCGGCCCCTGGAGGCGTGTGGCCGAGGGACGGGCTGGCCGCCGGGGCCTGATTCTCTCCGGAAAGTTCCAGCAGTGCCCGCGGGGCCGCGGCGGGCAGGCAGAGGGCAGGGCTGCCGAGTGCTGGGCGGGAGGTGGCAGCCGGAACCTTCTGGGCACTGGAGAGAGCAGTCACCCCACCCTCCTCCGCCCAGCGGCTCTGTCCCAGGTCCGGGGTCTCCACCAACGGCGAGTCCCTCTCTCCGGGAGCGAGGGGCTGCGTGCCCCCGTGCCCACTCCCTCCGCCCGGCGGCTGCGGGGCCTCAGGGGCTGGTGGGTGCCGCCCCGCCCTCCTCGCCGGCACCAGGTGCCCCGTCTTCCCCTCGCGGGCCGCTCCGTGCGGTGGCTGAGCCGGGCCACCGAGCGTCCGGCCGGTGCCCGGAGCCGGAATCGGGGGATCGGGGGGGCCTTTAGGCTGGTCTGTTCGGCTCTGGGCGGGGGCCCTGGGTGGTCAGTGGGGCCAGTTCAGTGGGTCACTGGGAAGCGGACGTGAATGTCCTCTCACAGCCATGTTTCTAAGAAGCACCAGTGGGATGTCCTTGGTGAGGACTGACCCTGACCCCCCCCTACCCACCCGGGGCCTCCTGAGGGGTGCGGTGTGTGGGGCGGCGTGGGGGGGGCTGTCGGCCGTCTGTGGGGGAGGCGGGACCGCTGCTGGTCGGGGCGGGCGGCTGAGGGCCGGGCTTGGAGGACGTGACCCTGAGCCCTGTGGGCCGGCCGACACGGCTCCCCGTGGAGCAGAGTGAGCTGTACGAGCGTCTGCTCGGCGCTGCGCGGCTGGAGCACCCGGGCGGGTGGGGCAGGACAGGCCAGGAGCACCCCGGCTCCAGCCGGGCCCAGGGCCTGGGAACCGCCGGCCTCCGGGCCCACGGGCCGTGATGAGCGCTCGGCGGGCGGGTCTGCAGCAGGACAGGCCGCTCCCCACGCGGCGGCTCCTCCGAGGGCGGCCCAGGCGCCGGCTCCCGGGGCTGAGCTCTGAGCTGCAAGCACTCCGCTCCCCAAAGAGGCTGGTCACCGCCCCTGCCCGCCCGGGGCCGCGGGGCCGAAGGCGGAGTCCGGGGAGGGGGCGCCCTCAGTGCTCGCAGGGGCCCATCGGAGGCCGGAGCGTCTGCGTCCGCTCAGAGCAGACTCCCCGACAGCTGTATCACGGCCGACCGCGCTCGCCAACGTCAGCCGCCACCTTTATTTCCAGACGTGTTCACTACGTTAGCCTTCCATCGACATAAAACTATGGGAATCTTAGATCCGATAACTTAAGTCGTATTTCCCCCCAAGGAAACATGTAAGCCACCCCAGAACGCAGACTTCCTGAGCCTGAACCCGAACCCCATCAGGTGCAAGAAAAGGTGCACCCTGTCCGGGTGGCCGAGGGCGGGGAGGGGGAGGGGGAGGGGAGGAGCAGGGAACAGGGAGGAGGAGCAGGGAGGAGGGAGGGGGAAGAGGGAGAGGAGAGGGGGGAGGGGGAGCAGGGAGTAGGGAGCGGGGAACGGGGAGGGGAGCAGGGAGCTGAGTTGAGGGCAGGGAGAAGGAAGCGGGGAGGGGGAGCAGGGAGGGGGAGGAGGGGGGAGTGGGGAGAGGAGGGAGAGGAGAGGAGGGAGGGGGGCGGGGAGCAGGGAGCAGAGCTGGGAGCAGGGATCAGAGCCGCGCGCTGGAAGCCTGGGAACACGAGGTTCCGGGTCCGACTGCCCCCGCTGCCCTGTGTGGTGGCCCCGGCCAGGAGGTCACCACTGGAACCCAGCCGCAGCTCCAGTCCCTGAGGCTGAACTTGGCCTTGGAAAGGGGCAGGCGACGGCGCCCTCTAGTGGCCACTGGCGCTGAGCTTCCCCGAGGGCCACACGGGCGGGTGGGACCAGGGGGCAGGCCCTCAGGATCGGCCGCAGGAGCCCCAGACGCAAACCACAGGAGCCCCGCGAGGACGAGGTAAGTTCTCGGGCCTTTAATGAGCTCAGAACACGACGTGTTCCCCAGGGTGAGCGGCCCTCCGGCCGCCGCCTGCCTGCGGGGAGGAGGGGGTGCCTCCGGCGTCAGCGCGGCCGCCACCGGATGTCCCTCACGCCCTGGAAGTGCCGCTTCAGCGCGGAGCCGTCCGCCCACGGGGCGTTCAGACACGCGTCGTCCTCGCTCTCCTCCAGCCGCTGGGGAAACATGCCCGAGCACGCTCTCACACGCGTGCAACACGGGACGGACCATAGCCGCCCCAGGACGCCTCCCTTCTACCCGTGTGTGATATGTGTATAGATGTGCGTGTGTGTGTGTGTATGATATGTGTATAGGTGTGTGTGGTGTGTGTGAGGTGTGGTGTGTGAGGTGTGTGGTGTGTGTATAGGTGTGTGTGTGTGTGTGAGGTGTGTGGTGTGTGTGTTGTGTGTATAGGTGTGTGTGTGGTGTGTGTGTGTATAGGTGTGTGTGTGTATAGGTGTGTGTGTGGTGTGTGGTGTGTGTGGTGTGTGTATAGGTGTGTGTGGTGTGTGTGTGATATGTGTATAGGTGTGTGTGTTGTGTGTGGTGTGTGTATAGGTGTGTGTGTATAGGTGTGTGTGTGGTGTGTGTGGTGTGTGTATAGGTGTGTGTGTGTGTGAGGTGTGTGTATAGGTGTGTGTGTGTGTGTGTATGAGGTGTGTGTATAGGTGTGTGTGTGTATAGGTGTGTGTGTGTGTGAGGTGTGTGTGTGTGTATGTGTATAGGTGTGTGTGTGAGTATAGGTGTGTGTGTGTGTGTGTATAGGTGTGAGTATGTGTATAGGTGTGTGTGTGTGTGTGAGGTGTGTGTATAGGTGTGTGTTGTGTGGAGGTGTGTGTGTGTGTGTATAGGTGTGTGTGTGTGTGTGAGTATAGGTGTGTGTGTGTGTATAGGTGTGAGTATGTGTATAGGTGTGTGTGTGTGTATAGGTGTGTGTGTTGTGTGGAGGTGTGTGTGTGTGTGTATAGGTGTGTGTGTGTGTGTGTGAGGTGTGTGTGTGTGTGTGTGTGAGTATAGGTGTGTGTGTGTGTGTGTGTGTGTGTGAGTATAGGTGTGTGTGTGTGAGTGTGAGTGTGTGTGTGTGAGTGTGAGGTGTGTGTGTGTGTATAGGTGTGTGTGTGTATAGGTGTGTGTGTGTGTGTGTATTGGTGTGTGAGGTGTGTGTGTGTGTGTGTGTGAGTATAGGTGTGTGTGTGTGTGTGTGTGTGTGTGAGTATAGGTGTGTGTGTGTGAGTGTGAGTGTGTGTGTGTGAGTGTGAGGTGTGTGTGTGTGTATAGGTGTGTGTGTGTATAGGTGTGTGTGTGTGTGTGTATTGGTGTGTGTGGTGTGTGTGTGTGTGTGTGTATTGGTGTGTGTGGTGTGTGTGTGTGTGTGTGTGTGGTGTGTGTTGTGTGAGTGTGTGTGTGTGTATAGGTGTGTGTGTGTATAGGTGTGTGTGTGTGTGTATTGGTGTGTGTGTGTGTGTGTGTGTGAGGTGTGTGTGAGTGTGTGTGTGTGTATTGGTGTGTGTGTGTGTGAGTGTGTGTTGTGTGTGAGTATAGGTGTGTGTGAGTGTGTGTGTGTGTGTGTGTGAGTGTGAGGTGTGTGTGTGTATAGGTGTGTGTGTATAGGTGTGTGTGTGTATAGGTGTGAGTATGTGTATAGGTGTGTGTGTATAGGTGTGAGTATGTATATAGGTGTGTGTGTGTGTGTATAGGTGTGTGTGTGTGTGTGTGTGTATTGGTGTGTGTGGTGTGTGGTGTGTGTTGTGTGAGAGTGTGTGTGTGTGTGTGTGTGTATAGGTGTGAGTGTGTGTATAGGTGTGTGTGTGTGTATTGGTGTGTGTGTGTGAGTGTGTGTAAGTGTGCGCGCGCGCGGACCCGGCCCCGCACCTTGAGCGCCTCCTGCCGGCGGTGGAAGAACAGCATCAGCTGCTTCTGCTCCTCGCTGCTGATGAGCGGCTCCCGGGCGGGCGCGCCCTGTCCCCGCTGCGGAGAGAGGGCGGGGCTAGGCGTGCGCCGGGGACGGCCGTGTCACCGCCGAGCTGACAGGCCGCCCCCAGCCCCGGGGCCTGGGCTTCGGCCGCCGCGCTGGCCCGTGGGGACAGGCCGGGCTGGTCCACGTCCGCCAGGAGGCCTCGGCCGCCGCCGCCGGGCAGGCGTCACCCCCTCCCAGGCGGCGATGCATTTCGAGGAGCGTTTTCACTCACCGTAGCCTCCTCCTTTAAAAACGAATTCTTTACTAGTTTCAGGGCGGGAGGGAGAGGGACAGAAACATCCATGACCCGAGAGCCATTGACCGGCTGCCTCCTGCTCGTCCCACGCGGGATCGAGCCCACGCCCCACACTGGGGATCAAGCCCGCAACCCCCATACGGGCCCTTGCCCGGAATCGAACCCGGGACCCTTCAGTCCTCAGGCCAAAGCTCCATCCACTGAGCCTGACGGTCGGGCAGCCCTGGCTCTTAGTGTTGGAATCAGCACGGCAGCCCAGTCCCCATCGAGACGAGCGCCCGGTGCTGCCCGCTCTCCGTGCTCCCTGCGGCCCGGTGGTTACAGCAGGTTTCCTCCGAGTCCAGACCGCCGGCTGAGGAGCCGAGGCCGCAGGGGCACGCGCTCACCTGCTGGATCTTGACGATGATCTTGGTCTTCTCGTTCTTGCCCACGTAGTCCGACAGCCGCTTCGTCCTGCGCAGCTCCTTGCCCGCCCACCACAGCTGCGCGTCGGGCTCCGCGATCACGCTCAGCGCCGCCTGTGTGAGGGCCCTCCGGTCACAGACCCACCGTGGTCCCCGCGCCGGAGCCCGGCCGGTGCCCTGCACGGGGTCCCCTACCAGCCCCCCTGTGCCGGGAGCCCGGCCGGTGCCCTGCACGGGGTCCCCTACCTGCCCTCCCTGTGCCGGGAGCCCGGCCGGTGCCCTGCACGGGGTCCCCTACCTGCCCCCCTGTGCCGGAGCCCGGCCGGTGCCCTGCACGGGGTCCCCTACCTGCCCCCCTGTGCCAGGAGCCCGGCCGGTGCCCTGCACGGGGTCCCCTACCTGCCCCCCTGTGCCAGGAGCCCGGCCGGTGCCCTGCACGGGGTCCCCTACCCCCCCAGGTGTGAGCCATGTCCCCGGCCATGCTGGCCACCCACCCGCCTCACCCCCTCCCACCCAGCTCAGAACTCCCCTCTGGACAAAAGCTGCCCGGAGGAGGAGGGTGAGACCGGGCCGCTCAGGGGGAGTGCACGGGCGGAGCCACACACCTGGGTGCCCGACAAGTCCTCCTTGTTCTCAAACTCCATCCGGATGGGGTCGTAGGGCGGCAGGCCCATGGGGTACACGATCATCACCGCCCCCCGCAGCTGGTCCAGGGCGTCCTGCACCATCTCCATGGTGACGCAGACTCCGGCGTCCACTTGTTTCTGAAAGCGGCAGCGGTGACATCAGCCACCAGCACAGGCCTTCCCGCTCCGGGATGGGGAGGGCCGGGCCACGGGCACCGCGGGGGGAGCCAGGGCCCCCCCGCCCAGAGCTCAGAGCAGCGGGAAGAGGGAGGCCGGGGCGGGGACCAGCGCACCTTGGAGACGATGGCCTTGGCTTCCTCCACCGTCTTCCTCAGGACTTCCTTCATCTTCTCGTTGGGAGCTGCACACAGGGAGGGAGACGTCTCAGAGCGGCCGGCCCGCATCGGGGCTCCGGCCTCGGGGCGCACAGACGCCGGCCGTGCAGACGGGGCGGGGGGGGGGGGGGGGGGGGGGTGTCGGGTCGGGGACGGGGAGGGGCTCACGCACGGGGCAGAGGCGCCGAGCAGAGCAGGGCTGTGAGGCCAGCACACGTCAGCTGCGTGGGCCGTCTCCCGGCCTCCGCTCAGCGGGACAGGCCCAGCCCCGGGCGGTGTGAGAGGGCTGGGCGGCCCCGCAGGAGCGCTCACCGCGGCCGTTCCGGCGTCCCACGGTGTCCTTCTTGAACCCGGCGCCGCCGCTGGGCACGCACCTCTCCCCCCACTCGTCCCGCAGCTTCAGCTCCTCCACCTGCTCGTCCGTCAGGCCCTGCATGTTGGGCGGCAGGAACACGCCGTGCTCCGCCAAGTCCTCCATCTCTGAGCACGGGAGAGGGCGCCGGTCACACGGGCACCGACACCGTCACCGACACCGGCGCCCATACCGGCGCCGTGGCCAGGGGTCTGCCGGCGGCTCCAGGTTTCAGTTGACACTCCGCTACCTGACACCGGCCAGGCCCCATGTGACCTCCAGCACGTGACCTCCGTCCTGGTCAGCGGAGGGCAGACCAGGCTGGCCGTCCAGGCGGCGGGCGGTGGCGGGCGTGGCCTGTGTGCGGGGCTGCCCCCGGGCTCGGAGACACAGTCTGGAAGCGTCCGCCAGGCTGCACCCCGCCCGGGCCTCCGCTCCGCGAGTCTGTGCCCACCGACCGGTGACTTAGGCGCCCAGCCCCCCCGGACTTTAGGAAAACACCTTACAGGTTATTTAAGGAACCCGGCAGCGGGGGCTGGAGGCGGTGCACCCTGGGGAGCGGAGACAGGACCACGCCGGGTCTCTGGTCCCGCTCGCTGTTCCGATGAGGCTTCACGTTTCCTGTCCCACAGGCATCCACACTGCAACCTGCCGGTATTTCCTCCCCCTCCATCTCCCCCTTCACCAGCCGGCCCGGGCCCTGGGCTTCCGGAACCCGGTGGAGACCCCGGAGGCGGTGTGACTACACGGAGTGGCCGTGACCCCCTCACAGCCCCATCTGAGCCCCGGAGGGAGCGGCGGGGCCGTGGGACGCCTGGGCAGGGGCCCCTGAGAGCCCTGAGGGACTCAGTGCGGACAGGCCGGCGGCAGCGCCACATCCTCACGGACCGTTTTACAAACATGAGCCGAGCCCCTTCCTCCCCAAACGCCGAGTGAAGTGCCATCTGCTGGGAGGGCAGTTCACCGGTTTGGGAAGGAAGGACTTCAGGAACGGCAGACGCACCCTCCGGAGGCCACGCCGCCCAGGGGCCGCCGCTCCCTGGACAGCAGCGGAGCTGAGCGCCGCCCGCGGAGGGAGGCGGCCCCGGGCGGCCTGTCCGGTGTGATCGGTGGGACCCGCGGAGGCTCCGCTCCGCTCCGCTCCGCTCCGCCCGGGGCCGGCCGGCGCCCCGGGGGCTGGGGGGTGAGGCATGGGGGGGGGGAAGGGCCGGGGCGGGAGCGGGGGCCCCGCAAAACGCTCCGCTCGGGGTCTCGGCAGCGGCCGCCCCGCCTCTGGGTCCGTGTCCCCCCCCCCCCCCCCCCGTGCTCTTCCCTCTCCACCCGGAGGCTCCGGGGCTCCCGCAGCGCCAGGCCCCGCCCCCCCCCGCGCCCCCGGCCGCGCCCCCCGCCGCCCCGCCCCCCGGCCCCCCGCCGCCCCGCCCCGCCCCCGCCCCCGGCCCCGCCCCCCCGCGCCCCCGGCCGCGCCCCCCGCCGCCCCGCCCCCGGCCCCCCGCCGCCCCGCCCCCGCCCCCGCCCCGGCCCCGCCCCCCCGCGCCCCCGGCCGCGCCCCCCGCCGCCCCGCCCCCCGGCCCCCCGCCGCCCCGCCCCGCCCCCCGCCCCCGGCCCCCGGCCCCGCCCCCCGCGCCCCCGGCCCCCGCAGCCCCCGCCCCGCCCCCGCAGGCCCCGGACCCACCGGAGCACAGGCGCTGCACCTTGAGCCGCGCGTTGTGCACGCGGGCCGCCCGCTCGGTGAGCGCCCCCAGCTCGGCGTCCGCCGGCGCCCGCAGCAGGAACTGGCTCTCGTCGCCGCGCTTCACGTGCAGCAGCACCATGGCCGCCGCCCGCCCCGGCCCCGGCCCCGGCCCGCCGCCAACCGCCGGAACGGCTCCGCGCCCCGGCGGAACCGCGCTCGCCGCCGGAAGTGCCTGCTGCCAGGGGCAACGAGGAAACACAGCGTCTTGGGGGTTGGGGGGCGGCTGCTCACGTCCAACCCGGGCCGGGACGCTGGGTGCGCGGGAGCCGGGAGCCGGGAGCCGGGCAGGAGCCGCGGCCAAACCCGCAAGGACCGGCCGACCGAACAGCGGCTCGCCCCGCCCCCGGAAGTGGCTGTTGTCCGGGCAACGCCCCCAACAGACGGAGTCGCGGAGGCAGCGCTCGCAGGTCCTCCCGGGAGGGCGGGCGGGAGGGCGGGTTTGTGTGAGGCCTCGTGCCCCGGGGTCAGCTGCACTTCCGCCTCCTGCAGCGCCACTTCCGGGAACGCCCCGCTGCTTCCGGCCCGGAGCTCGGGCGGCGAGCTGGGGTCGCCTCCCCGGTGGGTGAGTCCCCGCCCGTCCCGGGCGCCGGGGCCGGGCCTGCCCGCCGCGGACACACCGGCCGCGCGTCCCCGCATCCCGAGCGGCTGCCGCCCGCGTTAGAGGAGCCCGGGCCCCGCTCTGCCGGCACCTGCCGCGGCGCCGCCGCCCACTCCGAGCCCGGCTGCCCGTCAGGCTGCTGGCTGCACGGCAGCCCAGCGGCGGAGCCGGGGGAGAGGGCTCGGGGCCGCCCAGACCCCGGGGCAGAGGTGCCCCGCTCCTATGGGGAAGGCCCGGCTCTGGGGACACTGCTAGCAATAAAGGAAGTGCCTGTTGGTACACACCCTGGAGGGATCTCCCAAGGGCTGTGCTGACTGGAAAGGCCATCTCCAAAAGAGATGGATCCATGCCTTTATTTTCTTATTTTTAAAACTATTTTTATTTCAGAGGAGGAGAGGGAGGGAAACATCGATGATGAGAATCATGGATCGGCTGCCCCCTGCACACCAGGGATCAACTCCTCAACCCTGACCTGGTTCATAGGTCAGTGCCCAACCACTGAGCCACACTGGCCAGGATCCATTTACATAAAATTCTTGAAGTGGCAAAACTACAGAAATGGCCCAAACCGGTGTGGCTCAGTGGATAGAGTGTCGGCCTGCGGACTGAGGGGTCCCCGGTTCTATTCAGGTCAAGGGCATGTACCGTGGTTGCAGGCACATCCCTAGTAGGGGGTGTGCAAGAGGAAGCTGATCAATATGTCTCTCTCTCATCGATGTTTTCAGCTTTCTGTCACTCTCTTCCTCTCTGTAAAAACTCAATAATATATATATATATATATATATATATATATATATATATATATATATATATATATATATATAAATTAGAGAAATGGGGAATAGACGTGGTTACCAGAAGTTTCAGACAAGGGAAAAAGGGTGATGGGATGGGAGGGAGTGGGAAAGGGCATGTGAGGGAGGACTGCAGAGATGAAATGTCCTGTCTCCTTGCCAAACGCATCCACTAGAGACAAATGGGTCAGGGTGCCTGGGATCTCTTATTTCTTACAGCCGCATATAGAACTCAGATTATCCTGAACTACAGAGTAACTGCACGCCTTCTTGATGAAGATCACTAATCTCAGTGTCTTTCTTCTCGGAGTATTGGGAAGGAAAATGGACGGAAAGAAGGTCTTGAATGAAAATGCCCGATTTGACAAGAGTGAATCCCCAAAGGCTACCAACTTGACATGTCAATAAAGGTCAGGGAAGACGGCTGACAGAGTCTTCCCTTCGAGCAGCGTGGTCGGGACGGTAGAGAAGGTCTGTTTATTTCACATGACAGCACATTTCACAGGACCTGTACGGGATGTACACCACTGACTGTAATACAGACTCCTAGAAAGTACATTATAAATATCGTGTGCCACATACGCAATAAAGTTCTTACATATGAACAGCAATCTGCTGTGGAGATTGAGAACTCCTCGGTGTCTAACTTGTTCTTAATGGAACTGGTGAAGGTTTCAGTAAGAGCAATGGCTGTTCTCACAGCGTGCCTTTGGCTCCCACAGCTGTGCCCTGGCAGCACCCTGCCGAACAGTGTCCGGACTGAGGCCGCTGCTGCTCGGTGTGCTTCAGGCGGTGTGAGGGATCGCCGGGAGCGCTCGCGAGCTGCCGCCGTAAGGAATTGCTTGGCTAATAGAGAGCAAACACCGCACACGGGTCACAAAGAAGCTAAAGCCACCGTTTGGACAAGGTAGTTCACGTGAAGCGTCCCGCTTAGAGGAATACTGCCGTTTATGATACACTGATGCTGAAATGCTTAGAACCTCAAAAAGCACAAGACTCACAGGCGTTACTGGCTGAGGACGGAGGATGGCGTCTATAACGGAGTATGCTGGTAACATGTAAGCAGCCAGAAAAGCACTTTCCCCAGGAGTTTGCTTTCTGTGGCCGAGTGCAGTGCAGTTCTGTGCTCTTCCACTCTCCCTGCGGACCCCGCTGCCTGCTATGCCCCAGGCACCCCGGTCAAGGTTCAGTGAGGACTCGGGGTTTAGGGGGACAAACAGAATGCCTGACAGAAAGGAGCATTAATGTGTGTCTTACTGGGTACCGATGACTTCAGCTTAAATTTACAACAAAACTACCACCTAAGGATTTCCTGGTTGGGATTACTTAATGATATCAAAATACTGCATTCTGTGAAATCCCACGTGCTTCATGAAGCGGGGTCATGGACCAGCAGAGCAGGAGAGGGAATCCACCGCCTGGAGGGCGCCCTGCGGGCCCACAGCCTGCGCAGGGAGACACCTGCAGGGGAGACGCAGTGCAGAGCGCCCCCCTCACCCCCCAGCTGCTCTCCCGGCTGAGGAAGCTCCAGAGGCAGAGCAGCCAATGGGAGGTGGAGGGAGCAGCACACACTGTACAGAGGAGACATGGTGCTGAATTTCTCACTGAACCCACGGCATGTGCCTTGCAGACTCACATGCAACCCGCTCCTCAGAAAGGGCTGGAGTGTCTGCAGGACAGGGACCTGGACAGAAAGTGCCAAGGGGTGTGAGTGTGTGTGTGTGCTCGCACACGAGCAAGTTCCTGCAAGGAGAGAAAATGCTGTTTCAGGAGTGAGGATTATTCTAGTTTTGGAAAAGAAATTAAAGAAATGTCCAAATTTCACTAACAGCCACCCTTCTGATAATGAAATATTGAAGAGAGAACTCTCAGCGCCTTTAGATACAGATTTGATCTGGGTCATGCCCTCGAGTTTAGGTGATGAGTGTTAGAATGTGAGTGCACATACCACACGTGTGCGCATGTGTGCCCTCACTTTCCTTAAAGCGATGCCTCTCAGAATCCCGTGTCAGCGCCACGCGGCCAGCTCTTGGTGACTGCTCGGGAGCGCAGAGCCAGGCCACGGCGTGGGGCCTCCTGAGGTTCTGGGGAGACTCGGGAAGGGGCTGAGTGGGGTCTCCTTTCCGGAGTGGTTCTGAGCTCTGTTACCCCCACAGAAACACACCGGACGCAGTGATAATGAGGAGGTTTCCCTATTCCAATATACACACACTCCCACTCTGTACACAGGACACGGTGTTTCTGGACGTCAGTGCAGGAACAGGGACTATTGCACGTAATGGGGAACAATGCGGGTCTGGCTCTGCCCAGCCCCGAGCGCCGGGGGCTGTGGCTATCTTTCTGTGAAGTCTGGAGCGGGAGCCACCGGGGCCAGTGTGGAGAAAGGGTCGGCTGGGGGGGCAGGGCCAGTGGGGAGCGCGGAGCTGGGAGGCGGGGGCGGCCTCCGCGAGGGCAGCGCGCAGAGGGGGACACCTGCCCCTGTCCCCCAGTCATCGCCAAAGGCCACGCCCGGCCCGGAGGACGGGCCTGGCCAAGGGCCCAGGGGGTCCGGACCAGCTGCCTTCGCCTTGGCTCTCACCCCGAAGTCCTCTTCCTCGAAGGTCACCCACCCCCGCGGGGGGCTGGGGCGCGCGCTGTCCTGGAAGCCGTGGGGCTGGGGAGGAGGCGGGCCGCTGCTCTGGCCCTGAGGCCCGGGAGCGGGGAAGGGAGCGTGGGGGACAGGCTCCAAGGGCCGCACGGCCGCCTCTGCGTCCCTGGATGGACCTCTGAACGGGTTGGTCCTGTCGGCGGAGAGGTCTGTGCCGGGGAAGGCCGGGGCGAACGGGTTCAGAGCGCCTCCCGGGTTCTCCTGGGATCTGCTCCGCGCGGGAAGTGGAGGCAGCGCCGGCATGCAGCTCACGGAACTCGAAATGCTGATGTTATTGTGGATGGCAGGAGGCAGGGGGACCACCCCCGTGGGGACAGGGGTGGGGTGCACGGGCGGCTGGGCCTGTGGCAGGGCAAGCAGACTAAGTGACAGGTCTTTAAACGGGTCGATCTTCGAGGGCGATTCCAGCCTGGTAGGGGGGACGCCGTTGGGGTTCACCTGGAGAGAGACAGCACGCAGTCAGAACCACACACCTGCAGGGTTACGCTCACTGCCCACACCGCCTGAGCTGGCTTTCTGTCTAACTGCTCTTGTCGGGGGCAGGCATACAGGCTTAGAGAACAAAGAGCAGCTTAGTGTCCTTATTACTCCGGTGGATTGAGATAAAACAGCTAAAACCTTACTCTTGAAAAACTCCCAGCTAAGTAAATCCATCTATTCAATACGGTTGTTTCGTCGATGCAAGTATTGACCTGGTCCACGGAATTGTCCGGCATCGGCGAACGAGCACTGTTCAGGCCCAGCTGGGATTCATTCTCCTACGTTCAGTACGGCTCACGTGCCAGGGAAATCAGGGATGAGCACGAACTGCCAGGGCCCTGCAGCCTGAGCGAGACCTGGCGCTTTCCTTCCCAGGGAACGGGCGTGCCTCCTGTGCTTTTGGTGTCTGTGGGTCCTCTAGAAGGAGCTGAGTGACAGGACAGCTAACTGACCCGCCTCCTCTGGTAAAAATGTCCAGAGCGCCCTGCTGTGCTTGGTAACCATCCCATAATGGTGACCTGACACCTATCTTCATAAAGGTCCCGTCTACTTGGTGCGTTAACTCCGTGACCACAGCGAGCTGTGCCCGGCGTGGTGCCCAGCATGGTGCTCTGTCTGGGCCCAGGCCGGGGGTCAGGTTCACGGCTTCAGTGCACCACGGTGGCTCGGCCTGTGCACAGGAAGCGGGGAGGGAAGCGCAGCCGGACTGAGCTCTGCCCGTCTCCCAGGGAACAAAGCCAGGGTCCCAGCCACAGGCAGAGCAGCTGCCAGGCACTCTGTTTTAGGTTGAAAACAAGGTGGGCGACTCAGATGCCAATGCCTCATTTAAACATAAAAAAGCCTCTGGGCGGAGAGGAGGAGAATTCTAGCGCAGGGCGTGCGAGGTAACACGATGGAGTGCCACCATCATGAACGCAGCTGCTAAGCCAACAGCTAAACGTTCATGGGCCACTGCTCGCCTGGGCGGGACCCCTCCACGCCCCGGCCTCCGAGCAGGGCCTCGGGCCGAGGACAGGGACGGCCGCGCCTCTGGAGGGACGGGGTGGTCAGTGAGCAACTTCACGTATATGAGCGTCTTGTCCAGTTGGCCTACCGCGTACTTTACACTTGAATAAGTGTGTTTTTCTCCGAACAATGACAATAAATTTGTAGAAAATGAGAGCATGTCTCAGACTATATTCTGAGACTAGAGGTAAGCGGGCTCATACGTGGAAATCCCTTCAGAGACATCATGCAGTTCGTCAGCTCCATGTGTCAATAACGTCTGGGTGGCACATGGAGCTGACACAACAGAACAGAACAGGGCAGGGAGCCGGTCTCCATGGCGACAACAGTCCACACACAGATGCCGCATGAGGAGAAGTGAAGGGCCAGGCGCGCAGCGGGGTGTTTTCGGAGGAAGGCATGGAGACCTTTGAACGGCCTGATGGGAACTGACTTCCATCTTCCTGACCCCCGAGGCTTCCTCGCTAAAATCCACCTGCAGCTACAATTATCTGAAAACATTTTCCCAAAAGAAACCTAAGAAAAGGATTAATTATGCCAAGAACCAATTTAGTTTTGCCAAATGGACTTTCATATACATAAAACTTACCTTATTGAAGTTGTAAGTTTTAGTTTTGTTAATTTTAATTAAAAAATAAACACAGAGCAAAATATAAAGCATAAACAAGAACAATTAAGATGGTTTCTAAAAATTCCACATACTAAGAAAAAAAGCAGGTCTGATGACATGAGAACAGTTATTAAGGTGACAGGTGTCTTAGAATGGGTGGGACTTAGATGTATGAGGCAGAAGACCCATACATCCACCTATGAGCTGCGACAGACGAGAGAGAAGCAGGTAGGAGTTGAGAAACAGTCCGATACCTGTTACCCTGACGGCCGCTCCTGCTTGGAGAGAGGAACAGACAGCAGAGGAGAGAGTTAGGAGGCACCGGGCCTCTGCCCCGCGAGGCGCCCCCAGCGCCCATTCAAGCAACAGTTCCAACTTACTTGTCATTTTGAACAAAAGATGTGTTGCTGCGTTAGGGCTCAAAGTTCAGTTTTATCTGTGGTAGATTACTAACCAACGCGTTTCAAGTTTACTCCAAAATAATAATCCAAATAGGTTATCAAAGCTCTAAAATATTCTAAGCAGCCCATCATGGGTGAAATGTTTGCATTCCCACCTCCCCTTACCCCCACCCCCCGGATTCAGTGATGAGAGAGAATCATTGATCTGCTGCCTCCTGCACCCCCCCACTGGGGATGGAGCCTGCAACCCGGGCCTGTGCCCTGACCAGGAATGGAACCCTGATCTCCTGATTCCTAGGATGACACTGAGCCACACCTTTTATGTTTCAAATACTTGCAGATTTGGGACAGAATTAATAAAGCATAAAAGTTACTAAATGTTCAATGCTAAGGCTATTTCATATTATCAAAATATCCAATACATTGTATTTAAAAATCTCAAATCTCATCCTTTTAAACTTATGGCCACTGCAGAAGGTTTTGAAGTTATAGATGTTCATTATGTCTCGACCAGGCATTATTCTTATGGCTCCAAGTTCAAAAGGAACACGAGGTAAAGCACTTCCCCCCCTTTCCCTTCAGCATGTTCCTCCCAGGAGGCCCTGGACCCTTTGCCAGCCTCCACAGGGACAGGCTACACAGAGCAGGACCCTGGGCCCCAAGGTGTGGCTCCGCTGGTTGAGCATTGCCCCGTGCACTGAAAGGTCACCGGTTCCATGACCGGGGTCAGGGCACATGCCCAGGACGGTAGGCACCCCCTCAGTGACATCAATGTTTCTCTCTCTCTCCCTCTCCCTGCCTCTCTCTAAAAACCAAGTAAGACATTTAAAAAGACATATATATATATATGTCTCATTCATTGATAAAATACATTTTCATTATCAGAAACGTAAAAGAAAGTGTGTCTGTGTATATAGTGTCCACAGGAGTTAGACATCAAACACTGAGGCAGAAAGGACACTTAGAGCTTAAAACCAACACCTTGGGTAATTTCTGAGGAACCGAATACAAGATTCCAGAACGCCATCTACCAGGCCCACAGAGCACGGGCTGCCTGCCACCAACCACGGCCACGGCCACGCCAACGCCACTGGAAACTAGGCTCAGAGCCATGAAGAGGACCAGAAAATGGCCTCAGCCTCCTGTCCTTCTGTCCCGGACCACCTTCTGCCAAGACTGACCTTCCCGGGCAGCTGCTCCGGGCGTTTTCCGGAGCAGCGAGTCCTCACCACGTGTGGCCAGGCTCTGCGACCGTGAGCAAAACTGGGTCAGAGCGAGAGGCCAGTCTACCCACCACAGGCCCCTGGCATGCAGAGGCCGTGCCCCGGCACCCGAGGGCGTGAACACGAACCTACTGTCACTGTTGAAGAGCCTTCAGGGCCACGGAGCTCCAGGAGGGAGGTCACGTCGCTCTGGGGCCGTGCGTGCCTCTGTCCTGAGACAAGGCCAGCTCCGCCGCCGAGCTGGAGTGAAGCAACGCACAGCACTCTCCCCGGAGGCTCAGACACCACTCCAGGGTCGCAGCACCCGCCGTTTTCTGAACAAAAAGCTACGGCCACGTGGAGGTGTTAACTAGCGTAAGAGCATGCTACTCTCTTGGTTGTATGTCCTGCTTCAGCTTTCACACACGTGACCCATGGTCTGAGTACGCTAACTGCTGGCAGTGTTTTCAATCTTAAGAGTCACATTCACTTTAGTGTTTTTTTCACTACATAGAAGCATAAACTTAACTTCTGCCAATTAGATGGACACACTCAGACCTCTGTAAACATAAGTGCAAATACAACCATAACTCTGTTGCAGGGACACTGCCAGTACGGACCAGTTCTGGACTTCAGTCCCTCCCAAGCTTTAACAGCAGATTTAAAACTCACACATTTCTTTGGCCTTGATGGTCTTTCCCAGTTAAAGCTTTAGGATAAAATGAAATGTAAGCCCACATAACAAAAATGTTACTTACTAAACAAATTTTATTCTAATAATTTTGCTGAAAAGATGTAACAAAAACCAAGTAAAACAGCACCCAAATAAAAACGCACAATCCAACTCACGTGGCGACTCCATGTTAGAGTGACTGAGATGGACATGTCAGCTGCCTGCAGGTGCCACCCCTCGGGCACACGCGAGTCCCTGTACTGCTCTCATCCATTCCAGCGCCGGGCAAGGGCACTGCTATACGCGGGGCAGAGTTGGATGGGGTTGCCTTGGTGACGAGGCCTGCTGCCACACCCGCTACCTAAACCCCAACAGGACGACTGCCTCAGCTCCCTGGGACCCAGGCTCTCCGCGAGCCCGGGCGGCAGCAGCAGCAGGAGTGTTCTTACGAGACATTAACCCACGCCATGGTGGGCTGCTCCGACGTCTCTCTCCAGGAGCGAAAGCCCAAACGAATCCATGGGCTGTGAAAGCAGTACGGGAGCCCGCTCCTGCCACCCGTCCTGACATACTCCCCCCCCAGAGTAACCTGTGCATTACCAGTCACAGACACCGGAAAAGCCAACAAGCCCCTGGAAGGTCCCTGAAGCACCACTCAGGCTCACGCTGAGAAACTCGGTCTGAGCCACGGGTTAACCACACGGCAAACCTGACGCCACTGTCCTGGACGCCTCAGACGTAAGGACACTCACTGGCTGCGGTCGTTCCCGGGGCGGTTCCTCCAGAGACAGCCCCGAGGCCCGCCTGCTCCGGAGGCCCGCAGGCTCGGGACGCTCGGACTCACCTGCGGCTGCGCCGGGGGCTCCGAGGGCAGGCTGTGGGAGGACCTGCTCCGCGGCGGGGGCTGCGGGGGCGTCTCCAGGCCCGGCTGGGGGGCGGCCTGAGGCGGCGGGGCTGCTGTCGGGACCAGGGGCTCCTGCATCTTGGGAGCCGGCGGGGTGGCCTGCGGCTTCAGGGGCTCAGGAAGAAGAGGTGAACCTAGAAAGTCAAGTTCCGAGTCATGCTTCCTGGGGGCCGTGCGGAACCTCTTTCCCCGAGGCCGGGGCTCTGGCAGGTCTCGGGGCCGGGCCTACCTCTGGGGACCTCGGAGGCTCCGCCCTGGCTCTCGGCAGCCAGCCTCCCGGCGGACGCGGCGGACGCCCGGGCCAGGCTCTGCGGGGCGCTGATGACCCCGGCGCGGGGCGGGATGATCTGCAGGGGAAGGAAGCACATGCCTCAGCTCAGACACTCGCTGCTCTCAGCAGGTGCGACTGGAACACCGCCTCTGCACGCCTCTCCTTCCTGCACCCGCCTGGGCGGCTGGCGTTTCCAGCCCTGTTTACAGTCTGCATGTGTGTCCCGTTAACGACGGGCCGGCGCTCATGGAGGCCCTTCACCTGCAAAGGGCCGCTCGGCGGGAGACATGCTTCTCGTCTCTATTTTGAGTGGAGAGCAGGCATGGCTGCGCTTCTCAAGGCCGCAAGCTGCAGCCAGAGAAGAAAGCTGGGCCAGCCGCAGGGAACAGTGCAGGGCGGCCCCTCCCACAGGCCAGGCCCAGGCCAGGCAGGCGCAGACCCCGCTGAGGAAGGGGCTTCTCGAACCCCAGCGAAGGGAGACTCCATTCCAGCTCAGAAGGAAGAGGTGCCGGGACCGCTGGAGCTGGCTGTTAGGTCTACGGCAGGCACTGGTGAGAAGCAGCTCTTAAATCCTCATCGAGAATGTGTTACACTGATCTGAGGTGGGGCGGGAGGAGTGTGGCAGAGTCAGCGCAGAGCCATCTGCCATCGTTCTGAGCACAGGAGAGCGGGCAGGGAGTCCCACAGACTGAGAGCGACCTTAGGTGGATGGTAAACAGCGCTACAGGGTAAAAGACGGCCATCTCCAGCTTAGTGGTTTTAGGAGGAGTCTGATTAGAAACGAGACGTGGCTTGTTAACTTCTAGTTATTGTAACAGGTCCCGGTTCCCGCTCTCTGCCGAGGGCTCCTGCAGGCCGGGCCACTGACCACTGGCCACTCCCTTCCTTCTCCTTTGCATGTCTCCCACCTAGGAGCATTTTCCCGGGTGAATGATGGACAACTGTGCGAACAAGGGAAGGCTGATGCGCCACCGTGAGAGCCAGCTCCAACACGACTCCTTCCCCTGAAGTCTTACTGCATGAGGGACGGTAACACCCTCTCACTGAAGGGGGCCACACCCTCATTAGCCCTCAGGAAGGAGGAGGAGAGTGGCCTGGTACACTCCCTCAGAGGAAAGGCCTCGACAGTAACCCTTGTGGCTGGAAGCAAACTGGGACCTGGAACCCAGACCGCCCGCCCTGGCAGGTGCTGCCTACCGGTCTGGTGGCACCGTGTCCAGCGGGTGCTGGCCCCATGAGTCCCGCTGGAGGGGAAGGCTGGCTGCGGCTGGGCACAGGCATCCCACGCGCATCTGAGGTTAAAGCAGAAACAAGAAAGCGTCACGGACACCCGTCTCGTAACAGCTCCACTGAGGAGAGGGCTCCGCCAGGTGCCTTTCCCTAGGCTTTCTCTCCGCGCCGTCCCGGGGCTGTGGGGGGCTTGCAGCGGGAGAGGAAGACCAGTGGGAAGGAAGTGAGCAGCGCAGCACATGGCCGGGCCGGGGCTGCTGTCTGCCCGCGGGAACGAAGCTCAAGTGGTGACAAGCATGTGGCTTTGGCTAACGGTGAAGGTCATCAGTCCTGAACGCCCCCAGAGGGCTCCTGAGCACACAGACCGCATGCTCGGGGCGTCTGCTGGTAGAGGGCCTGGGAGGAGCCCTACGGGGTGTCTAACAACCCCACGGCGAGGCGGGGGCAGGCGGCCTCCTCGCTAGCACCTGCCGCGGGGAGGCAGAGCTCAGGCTGACTCTTTTGAAAGGAAATGTTAAATGAGACACATCGGCCCTCAGTGACTGTCATCAGAGCTTCTACTCTTAAAATAGCGCTGTGCGATACCTCCACGCCCTGAGCGGACATGAAACATGCCAACAGCACGGCAGGCCCAGGAGCCGCAAGGAAAGGAAGGCGCCCTGGACCCGGGCGCACGGAATGCGAGGAAAGGAGGCGGTGAGGTGCAGAGGGGGCGCTCCTGGCTGGCTGGTCTGCCTGCTGCCCACAAGGGAGGGGCTGCCTGAGAATGTTCGGCCCACACGCAGCCCAGCCGCCCTGGGACAGGGAGGGCCCACAGCTCCTTAGAGAAAGAGCAGGAGCCGGAGCTGTTTGGGCCACAGCAGAGCGGACGGCACAGCGTCTGCGTCCAACTGACGTCTGCAAAAAGGCTCTTTGTCTACGGTGAGCGCCTTCTATCGTCAGGACAAACCAAGTGACCAGACACCTCCCCCCCCCCCCCCCCCCCCCCGGTCTCCCCTGGAAGAGCGGAGGGAATAGGCCTTCTGTCTGAAGGCCACTGCAGAGGAACGTATGCGGGGACAGCCTCTGCCACTGCTCATCTCGCCCCGGTCAGAGCTGAGCCACAAGGAAGAGCTTCAGAACTCAACGGCCAAACAAAACACTCAAGTTTGAATTTTTTAAATTTTCTGAGACTACATGAGTCTCTCAGAACTTCATTTTGCTCCCTTATTTCTAAAAAACTCTAAGAGTCTATAGTGACTTTCTCTATGTTTCCTGCCTTAAAAGAGTTACTGGTTTATAGGGACAAAATGCACAAATACTGCCTACCAAAGAAAGATGGAGAGGCAACTTAAAAAAAACTAAATCGGATTTCTAAGTTGGTAATATGATATACCACTTCACAGATTCATTAAAAATTCGCTTCCTTCTGGTTGTTTTCCTCATAGCAGGAGAATAAAAGCAGGATTATCAAGGAAATAAAACTAAAAGCAGGAGTTTGAAACAGGAAAAACTAACATTTCTTTGGGTCCACGGGAAATGACCACCTGGCAGTATTTTGCAGCTATAATGCTGAAATAATTTAGCAATCGAATATATACCTTCCACTGAGCTCTGGACTTTTCACATACACCAAATAAGCTATATTTAAACCCAAAGTGACTCATTTGCTAATAAAAATTGTCCTTAGGTTTAGAAAACGGAGGCATGAGATCCACGACAAGGCCAGGCAGATGGGAGGCTGAGTCCGGATGGGATCCTGCCGGAAACGGAGCTCGGGCTGCCCTGCCGTCACGGCGTGTGTGCTGCTGCACAAGGCCGCCCGCAGTCCCTGAGCTGACCCCCAGGCCAGCACGGCTCTGGGGAGGGAGCCTTCACAGCCACATGGACTCCTTACGGAGGGCAGGTGCCTGCGGCCCGGTGAGTAGCCGCTCCGCCCGGCAATGGCAGCCCGTGCAGGCTCCGTCGCTGTAACACTGAGCTCTGGGCCTTACTGAGCAGGAACGAGTGGAGGTTTGGAGCCATTAAAAAATGAATGCCATCCACTCTGACTTTCATCAAACAAACCTAATGCCTTTCAGTTACAGGGGTCAAACTCCAAACGCCATGGCCACGTGTGCACGTGATAACAAACATGACGGTTACCTCCAAGCTCCTTCCTGGCAGGCGCAGGACTCCTGGCCCCTGGGCCACCCGGACACGCAGCAGAGAGGAAAGACAGAGCAAAACATGAGACGCCCGATCGGTCAGCCCTGGCCCAGCACCACGCAGGAGCCATGGATCAGCAGCTTGGTATCACAAGAGCTGGTGTTTAATGCAAGCACTTCTAGTAACGCCCGCAACGACACCTGCTTATTTAAAAGCCCAGTGAGCCTTCCTGATGTGGCTCAGTGGGTAGAGCGTCGGCCTGCGCATTAAAGCAGTGGGTGCCAACTGGTGATCCGCAGACCACTGTGGTCTGTGAGGGCCGAAAGGTTGGTGACTGCCGGACTAAAGGGTCCCAGGTTCGATTCCGATCAAGGGCACATGCCCGGGTTGCGGGCTCAATCCCAAGTCGGGGACATGCAGGCAGCCGATCCATTATTCTCTCTCATCACTGATGTTCCTATCTCTCTTTGCCTCTCTCTCCGAAATCAATAAAAAAAATTTTTTTTAATAAGTAAAAAAATATTTACACAAACACGTAAAGCTCCACAGTACATATGTGTGTTCTCTGGGTCTGACTATACAGAAGTCAGCACCCTGCGTCCGTCAGCAGCAGCGACGCGAAGAGGTGGCTATGGAAGCCTAGCGGGCAGCCCACCCACGACCGTGCCTGCCACATTCTGCAGAGAACAGCGAGGAAGCAGCAACAGGACAGGAAGACAGAAACATCTAGAAGCTGAGGCCTGATGCGTGCAAAGCTTTTTAGTTGCGTCAGGGCTTTCTGTCCAGCAGAGGCACGGCGGTCTGTTACCTGAAGGCGGAGGTGGTCGCTGCGGGGGCACTGGCCGTGCGGGAGGGGCCCCTGGGCGGGGAGGCGGCGGCCGCTTGGGCTCCAGGGCCTGCGGAGCGTCCTTCTCGGGCTGCGCAGCTGGCGGGGTGTCCACGGGAGAGCCTGGAGCAGCACCTGGGAGAGGAGAGCGGGGTGCAGGGGGTGTGAGCACGGGGACTGTGCTGCCTGCATCTGTGCTGCCGTAAGACGACATGCGTGTTAGTGTCAGTAACACGTGCAGCCATGCCTGTCACAGCGCTCCGGTGCCGCGGGGCAGCGATGCCGACCCTGACAGAGCGCCGCCGTGTGGCCACGGCAGCCCTGGCCGCAGAGAGGGAAAGGGAGGCTGGCTTTGCTCTCTGCTTTCACTTGAACTTACTTCGAGGGTGGAATGGGCTAACGGCCGGGGAGATGATGCCAGCGTGGCCAGCCATTACTCAGGAGACAGAGACAGCTTCCAAAGATGGGCTTCCCACCCTGGGGGACTGACTACAATTTCAACGTGAACATTTGCTTCGTCGCTTCCCGTTTTACATAACAGAGGCCACGGGCGGCTGCAGCGCTAAGCAACCAGCAGGGCTCCTCCTGCCCGGGGACAGGCGTCACTTAAAGACGGGCCCAGGCAGGCCCAGGACCGGGGTGAGGACGAAGTCTGGTACTGTTCCCACCGGGCGCTCCTGCAAAGCGTCCCCTTGCGCACGTGCGAGCCTCCGACCATCTGCACGGATACAGCCCTGCAGTCTCCCCTGAACCCGACCCCGCGCCGGGAAGGCCCCAGACCCCAGACCCCAATACGCACTCTGTAAGGGCACTCTGTGATCCGGAGTCCTGGATGCGGTCCGGCTCGGCCTGACGGGCAGGGAGGGCAGCGGGACGTCCGCTATGGTGGGCGACTGGCAGGGGCTGGTCCGCGGGGAGGAGCTGGGGGACGCGCAGAGGCCGGAGCCGGGGGACGGCTGCAGGTGCTGGGGGAGCGCCTCCTCCACCTCGGCGTTGTCCTCATCCACGTCCCCTGGGGAGACGGGAGGTCACCGCTTGCCTCACGGTCTCAGATGTGCGTGCCCACCTGGCTTCAGGGTCAGGTTCACAAAGAAACGCTGCTCTCTGACACGGAGCCTGCCCGGTTACGCATGTGGGCATGCATAGAGACGTGTGGGTACGGAACTAGAATCAGCACCGAAACCCATCTCAGAGCAGCAGGCCTGGGGCAAGACTGGCCTGGGCTGGCCCGGGCCTCCACATTCCACTGGGCAGAGGACCATCTACTGCTGCCCCTCCACCTTCCACTGTGTGGGCGTCCCTTCCCCGCCCGCCCCGCCTCCCCGGAGCCTCCTCACTAGCCTCCCAGTGGCCCCCCCCCCCCCCCCCCCCCGCTTTCTTCCCTTTAACTGCACTGGTTCTCCTGCCTCCGGGTCTCCTCCCCTCAGGGCTGCCAAGTGGGGCAGGGTGTCCCTTACAACCTCATTCGAGCTGCAGAGCACGCATCCTCAGGGGCTAAAGGCTGCTTCTCTGCGGCCGGCCCCGCCACCCGGAACTTACTGCCCACCCTCTGCCTCGCGGCTGCCGCCACTCCAGCCCCGCCTTCCTCCACACCGCCCCGCTCAGGGTGCTGACAGAGCCGCACTGTACGTGACATCTTTCCGGGGAATCAGAGGCCACGGGGACAACCCTCCAGCAATCTACACACCCTGTGTAGGTTGTCCTTCTGCACCAGACACTCCCTCCACTCCACCCCCCCCCCCCCAGCCCCGCACTCCCTGAGACAACAGGCCCCACACCCCTCCGACCGCCACCTCCCGCTTCTCAGTCTCCCCGTTTCTCTCCTTTTTAATCCTCACCCAAGGATATGTTCCCACTGGTTTCTAGAGAGAATGGAAAGGAGGGAGCGAGGTGAAGGGAGATAGAGAGCAAGAGCGCGAGAAAGAGTGAGAGTGAGCAAGAGAGAGTGAGAGAGAGAGAAGCATCAATGTGAGAGAGACACATCAATTGGTTGCCTCCTGCACACGCCCCAGTGGGTCTGGGCCGGAGATGAAGCCTGCAACTGAGGTACGTGCCCTTGACCAGAACTGAACCAACTGCGCAGCCAAACAGGCCAGGGCTGAGCCAAACGTCTTTAAGGAGCATCTGCAGACCCTGCACGCCCTCCACCCACACCTCCACTCCCAGCACCTGCCCCCCGTGGCTCTCAGCAAGGCCCAGCCCCTCCGCTGTCTGCTTCAGGGACAAGCTGCCGCCTTCCCGCCTCCGCTCTGCGACAAGGACACTAGGCCACTGCCTCTTGCTGCCACTTCGTCCTGCCCTTTCTCAGCCACCACTTCCTCTCGGCTCTGCCGTTTCTAGAGGTTTCCTCGCATTTTCCCTCCGGCAGCCCTCCTGGCCTCCCTTGGTCTGTTCCTCGGCAGGGACTCCAGGCCAGCTCTCCGCGTCCCTGCGGTCCCATGGCCTAAAGCACGAGCCCGTGTCCCACCAACAAACCTTCCAGGTCGAAGTCCGCCGCCACCTCCACGTCCTCGCCCAGCAGCGTGGAGCTCGTGGACGAAGGCAAGGGCACGCTTATCTTCTCTAAGCTGATTTCTTCCTCCAGATTCTTGGTCCAGTCGGGGCTTTTCAAAGTGATGGTCACAGCCCGGCCCAGGAACTAGATGAGGGGAGACAGAAGACGGCAGTTCATGGCAGGGCAATGAGCTCTCTGGGAACAAGGTTCACGCAGACCAAGGCAGCGCGCCTGCGCCACACACGCTGACCCCGAACCAGTTCCCATTCTCCCGTGAGGAGCTCGTGCTGCTACGGCTCAGGCTTCTCCCCGGACACAGGGCCGTGCCCTCTGCGTGGCAGGTCTCCCCCGGGTGCAGGTTCGCCCACAACTGCCTCAGAGCTTGGTGCTTCTCTGGCTTTGGTCCACATGGCCACCATCTGCCCGGGGAAACAGCCACAGAAGAGACAGTACAAACCGCCACCTGCTCCAACGAGGTATCTGAGTTCCAGAAGGAAAGTGAGCCATTACCTAACGCGCTCCACAAACAGTTTTACAAAACTTTGAAAGCCTTGTAAGGGACCTGAGTTGGATGCTTTCTAAGAGTATGACATAGATGACGAGACCTGAGGGTGAGGGACAGAGCTAAAAGCGGGGGGGGCCGCGAGGGGAGAGACAAGCAAAATTAAATAGTCAGGGAAAGGCAAAAGGAAACTCAGTAAGGGAATAAAAGAAATGCCAACACAGAAGCCGCCCTTATACATCACGTGGGATGAGAAAGGGTTTTCAGGAGACAGAGCTGGAATGACATTTAAGAGTCAGAAGTTTCCAGATGGCAAGGACACGGCGGTCACGACGCACACAGCAGGGGCTGTGACAATGACGCCTGGGGTCAGGCTCAGACAGCACAGCGCCACAGCGAGGACAGCGCCGCCAACAGGTGGGATGACGTGCTCCTCCTGGGCTTTCCGATGGCGAAGCCGAAGGCCTCCGGGGCTTCCTGCTCACTGGTGCACGAGTGTGTCACCATTACATCCGGGAAACAGACAAGACACCCAGAGCCTACTGCAACAGCAATGCATGTGCGTGTGCGTGTGTGTGTGTGTGTGTGTGTGTGTGTGTACACGTTCTCTCCAAAGAAGCGGAAGTGATAGAACCGGAGGAAGCTGGGGTCCATCCTACCTATGAGCACACATTCAAACACGCAAGGTTTGTCCAAAAGCACTAGAGACATGGAGAAAGCGCTCCATGGAAGGAAACTCTCCAGGCCACTGACACAACCCCACCTGACATGTCAGATCACGGGGAGCAACATCTCCACTGATTAAGATTTCTAAAGCGGTTCCATGGGATGGTAAATCACCCAGCGGGATTATTATTTTTAATTTTTAATTACACTTGACATTCAGTAGGATTTAGTTTCAGGTGTAGCAGACAGAGGTTAGGTACTTATATACCTTGTGAAGTGATCGTTAAGTCAGAACCCACCTGACACCATACGCCGTTATCATACTAGTGCCGTGTTCTCGGTGGGAATGACTGGCCCTGTGCTGTGTTCTCGGTGGGAATGACTGGCCCTGTGCCGTGTTCTCGGTGGGAGATACTGTCCTTGGGCTTGAAGAGGGGGCCTGTCCTACTGTCTAAGGCAACCCTGCCAGTTTCTAGGAATCATGAGAATCTTTTCCTTGTTTTCTTGTCAATAAAGCATTTTATTCATTTGACAAATCTTCCCTACTATATAGATGAACCAGAATATCTAATTCAAAAGTTTTTAAGAATTTAAAACATTTTACATAAAAACCAAATTAGCTGGTAAACGTGGTTTCTTCTTAATCTATATCAATGGTTAATATCCCTAGGGACAGACCAAAATAATCCTGAACTAGTCAGACACCTAGTCTTAAGTAATAAATATTAAAGTTCTCCATAAGGTCTTTCCTCCTTCGGAAATGGAAATACATTTAGATAATCTTGCTGCGTTTGTATGAAAACATAACCCTCGGTCACTTAATTCCAGAAGAACGTAGCGCCAACAAAAGCTACTTACCTCTTTACCGCTGAGGCCCAGCACACTCAAGGCCGAACTTCCCTCCAGAAACGTCACCCACATTTTATCTTCTACAAACCTTCGAGAGAGAGAACAGCCAACAATAAAAACCATGATCACTGCCCCAGACGCAGCCAGCCCAGGGCTCCTCTGGTGATGAAGGAGGAACACGGGCCTGTGGAGGCTGGAAGTATAATACAAGCTGGAGAGCGCAGCAGGCGGCGGCCTGGAGGGGGCGCTCCTCCCCAGAGATTCCAAGTCAAATGGCTTTGGCTTTCAAACACAGGCGAACAGGCGGCCAGAGCGGTGGCCTATGGTGATGGCCACCTGTGACCCCCACTCACCGGCTCTGCCACCTCACCGGCCAGGGAAAGGGGTGACCTTACAAGGCAAGCTCGTTACAGGACAGCGTCCGAGGCTCCTGACCCCACAGACCAGCGAGAGGCACGTGGACCCCCCGAGCAATGCCCCTGCCAGGAAAGAAGATGGGGTGTTCACTGAACCGACCTCGGACCTCCCCAAGAGCCTGAGGTTCCGGTCTTGTCTGTTCATTTACTGTCGGGGGACTTGGACGGCCTTGGCTATGATTGTTTCCGATTTTGAAATAGAACCCCATGAGTAAAAAGTGAAGGACATCAGGACAAGCCCTGACGATGGCCACTGACATGTATTAACGTCGTCACACAAAAAGGAGCAAAGCAAACCACAGCACCACCAGCTTCCCTGAAGAAACAGTTTGATGAGTTGAAATACTCCCAACGGTATAAGTCAAGTCCAGAAATCCTTGGAGATTTTTCAAAGATGAGAAAATACATACATCTATTGAGGTACACACACACACACACACTCTCGCTCTCTCTCTCTCTCTCCCTTAACGAGGATCCAAAAGCATGCATATGAACATTAAGAGGAAAAGGCTAAAATAAAAGCAAACGGGTGCACAGTTACTTTGCCAGCTTACAGCAAAGGCCGAAACAGATTCCAGTCACTCAACGTGACCAGCTTCTCTGGCCCAGCGGCATGAAGCTGCAGGACCCTGTCCTTTCAAAGACGGAGAGAAGCCATCCTGCGAAGTCCCAGGAAGACCTTCCCTGACGGGGGGTGGGAGGGGGGTGGGGGAGGGCGCCCTCCTTCCTGTGGCTGCACTCAGATGCCACTCCCGCGTCTGTCTCTGACGGCGGTTCCAGGCATCCAACCCTGACCTCCTGGTTCCTAGGCCAACGCTCAGCCACTGAGCCACGCCAGCTAGGCTGACAAACGTTTCCACAGCATAGTTCCCACAGTTTGGAAAGAACAACATTCAATACTATTCAAACCCTAGGCAAGGCCATTCCCAATACAGAAAACGTGATTTAGGAATCATGAGCTGCTTTCGAACAATAAACAGTTCTCTCACCTTATGAGAATTACTTCACCAAAATTCGCAAACTGCTGCAGAAGCTCGTCGATCAGAGCGTCATCGAAGAAGCTGCTCTCTGGCCCCGAGCTCCGGACGGAGACCAGCACCGTGGCGTCGGGCGGGCCCTGCTCGGCCAGGACCTCCCTGTAGACGCTCTGCCTCTCCTCGGCCTCCACCTCGAAGATGTCGATGTCGATGAGGGCGACCACGGGCCTGAGCGTGAGGAGACAGGTTAGGGTGCCTCAGGGAGGACGGGGTCCCCTCCGTGGCCAGCCCCGCGGACGCGCCGCGCACCTGTGGTCGGAGGTCTTCAGCTCGGCCCGCCCGTAGTGCAGCAGCGTGCCCGGGGTCCACGTGTAGAGGATTTGGCTTCCGTCCTGGAAGCTGGCGTTGATCAGATCCAGGTCCTCGGCTGCAGGAGACAGCGGGAGAGGGCGTGAGGGCGTGACGCACCCAGCCCCTCCTCGCACGGCCGCCTCTCAGGCTGCCGCGCGGACGCTCTCGCCAACAGGCTGCAGGTCTGCACCCCTTCCAGTTAGAAAGGCTTTTGGTGAAGTCACGGTCTGATGCTTACGTAACAGGAAGTGAGAGGCGGCTTTCCCTGGTCACTGTGGGGCCTGTGCCCGGCCAGGGCGAGCAAACAACTCCACAGAGAAGCGGCGGCTCCGAACATGTCAGACAGCTGCCTCCTGTCAGAGCCTCAGCCGACGGCCAATACCATGTCACCAAGTGCGTTCTCGCTTCCCTTCAGTGAAATAATGTCACTGAGACAGACCCTAACCTTCCATGTCATTCAGGGTTAATCTGAGGACGTTTTTAAAATCTGTTTTATATCTGCCTTTTACTTATTCTCTCCTAGATAACCTTTGCTGAAAAACAGCACAGGGCAATGGGGTCAAACAGGTGGTGACAGAAGGTATGGCTGTGAGTGGTAAGCACGCAGGTGGTACACGGACCACGCACCATAGAGACGGACACTTGAAACCTCCATGAGCTTATTAACCACTGTCGCCCCAATGGATGGAGTGAAAAACAAACAAGACAAAAAAAATGAGAAGAGCAAAAACCAATCAATCCGTCTGTAAGAAGCCTCTCCTCTGACACTCACACCCCTTTCTCATCTCTCCCTTTCCCTTCCCCCTCCCTTCCCCCCAAAATCTGCACCAACTCAGTGACATGAGGAGCCACTTCCCGACCTGATCGATCAAAAGGCCACTTCCTCCTCCTCCAGAGGACGCGGTCGGTCCACGCGGGGGTGCGGCACTTTTCGCTGGTGTCATAGTCTTCAGAAAACAAATCATATTTATATGTCGGAGCAAAGGTTACTTTTCCTTCTAAAAATCCTCTAAAAATCTACAATAAACATATACAAAGTAAGTTACTTAGGTACAAAGGAAGCTGCTCACAAAGCACAACATTTTCACTGAACAGCTGCTCACTAGTCTAAGTGCTGGGGCCTCGCCACGCCTGTGAGCATCGGGTAAGCAGTCCGATGGGCAGACAGAGCGCGGGGAGGAGCCTGACCTGGGCCTCCCGGCCGACCTGCCCTCGCACTAAGGACCTTGGCGCTGTCGGCACTTTGGAAGCCATGTGGTCTGATGTCTGATTCTCAGAGGAGGATCGGGGCCCTAGACAGGCAAGTGGTCTGAATGCAGGTCTGACCCCCATCAACAGCAGTCACCAACCTCTCAGACCTCACGGACCCCGATGGTCCGCACACCACTGCCCATGAAGGCACCAGAGCAGGTGGCCACAACTGCCTCCCCCTGAAAACACTTTAACCTCATTCTCCCAAACGCTGTGGTCACATGTTTTAGGAAATAAGTTTCAAAAGGACAGATGAGCCCAGCTGGTGTGGCTCAATGGTTGAGCATCGACCTATGAATCAGGAGGAGTCATGCCCAAGTTGGGGGCTTGATCCCCTGTGTGGGACATGCAGGAGGCAAACAATTAATGACTCTCTCCTCACTGATGTTCCTATTGCTCTCTCCCTCTCCCTTCCTCTCTGAAATCAATAAAAGATATATTTTTAAAAAGGGAGTCGATATGTATATTCTTCTTTTTAAAAGTTAACCTAAAAAAGACACAATATATTTTACTTCCGGTGAATTAATGTGGGTTTTCCTTTCTCTTTTTCTTTTTTTTAAAGGGAAGGCAAGTCTGTACCCGTTAGACTACATACATATTTATTAAGTGTAAAAAGAAGCCACGCGATTGACAAGGCAGCACGTGGTTAAGGCAGTGGTCAGCAAACTGCGGTTCATGAGCCACAGGCAGCTCTTTGGCCCTTGAGTGTGGCTTTTCCACAAAACACCACGGCCTGGGCGAGTCTACTTTGAACAGCGGCGTTAGAAGAAGTTTAAGTTTTAAAAATGTGGCTCTCGGAAGAAATTTCAATCGCTGTCCTGTTGGCATTTGGCTCTGTGGACGGATGAGTTTGCCGACCACTGGCTTAGAGCGCGCCGCATGGCCAAGGCCCCTCCTCGCGGTCCCGTGCCTCACCTGCCCGGCGTTCTTCTGGCTGATCAGCTGGTCCCCAGCGATGAGGGCGTCCCAGTTCTGCTGCCTGATGAGCTCCTTCACCTCCTCATTCGGGAGGTCGATGCGGTAGTTGAAGTCGCCGCACCAGAACACGTAGTCGTGGGAAAAGAGCATCCTTCCCTGGAGCGGGGAGAGGGCGCCAAAGTCAGAGCTCCACTCACCACGGTGATGGCTATTCTTGCCCAGCCTCCGCCACGCTCAGACATTTTCCGACAGTGAGAGCACGTGGAGTTTGTTAGGTGAGCGCTGTTGGCACCGGAGCACGGCCCCCACCTGGGAGGACGGGCACTCACCATGGGGAAGCTCAGCTTGCGCACGATCTCCACGTAGTCCTCGTTCCGCTCTTTGACCTGGGACTGCCCGGCCGCGAAGTGGCTGCACACGAAGCAGAGGCTGGTCGTGTGGAACAGCATGCGGATGGCCACCGCTCCCTTGTTGCCCGTGGCGCCGCCCATTCCCGTCTTCACCGTGTCCACAGCGACATCCCTGGGACACGAAGAATCCGAATCAAAGAGGCGCCCCGGACAGTGCCCGTCCGCAGGAGTAATTGCAGGAGCTCGCGCCCCGGCCACAGGGGTGAGGGGTGACGGCACAGTGTGCACGTGCCTACGGGGGCCGCCTCCCTCACACCCCGGGGAGCAGGAGGGAGGTCCCACCTGATGAAGGGCGCGTGCTGCGGGCGGATGAAGACGAACAGGCAGACGCCCACCAGCTGCTCGGAGGCCAGCAGCACGTACTTGTTGTCCCGGGAGATGGTCTTCTGCAGCTCCGCGGCCCACAGCTTCTGGTTCGTGGTGCTGCAGGGCGGGCCAAGTGGGACAAGCCATCAATGACCCTAGACAGCTCCCATCTGTACTCCAACTTTTAAAAATGTTTTTATTGATTTTTAGAGAGAGAGAGATAGAAGCATCGATGAGAGAAAGATCATCGACCGGCTGCCTCCTGCACACCCCTACTGGGGATGGAGCCCTCGAGCCGGGCCAGCTATCTTAAGCCAGATATGAAAGAGATTTGTAAAAAATTCTTTCAGATTTTCAACGTTATTCAGAGTGCAGAAAAGATCCTGATACCAAGGCTGAGAACTGCTCTCTTAGTTTAAAGGGACCTTCACGTACTTCCTCTCAATCTCTATAAGCAAAGACTACTGACGGATCTGCTCCCCATGCCGGGCTCCCCCCTCCCCCCCCGAAGTAGGTGCTGCCTGCTGGCTTACCTTGCATTCACGATGTTCCCTGCATTCAGCTCCACCATCTCCTCAAACCCAATCGCAAATATGTCTGTCGGCTTACTTCTTCTCTCTGCAATGACGCATTCAAGAGCGACCATGAAAATGCAGCCTCAGCCAATGGCACCCTGCCGCCAGCTCCCCACACAACCAGGATCGACAGCAGATCTCACAAGATCCACGTTTGTGTTTTCAGTTTAACCAAAGTCAAACTGAAGACAAAACCCAGGCGTGGAGCAGCATTGCTTTAAATTTACTCTCTGCTCGGGCACGCTGGGGTTGCTTTTCGCAGACTGTTATTCTGGGAGGCCCGGAAGTGCTCTCACAGACCATTTGGAGGAATTCTCGCTCCAGTTCACACCAGGGGCAGCAGAGAAGCAAGCCCCTCTGACGGGCTAACGTGAGCCAACACAGGAGGGGGAGGGTCTTAGAAAGGCTCAGACAACACCTGGCTGAGAAACGGCTAATGCGAAGTAACGGTTGGGAGATTTTCCACATTCAAATTCGAAAACCACAGGCTGGTCCTTTGTGCTGCCCAGAAAGTAAAAACCCAGCAATAAAGAGGATGGGGCTTTTGATGGATTTGAGCTATAAAATGTTGGGCTTCCAACTTCTGAGCCAGCGACCTTTAAAGTCACGCATAGTGCAAAGCGCTCCCTTGTCTCCAGGTGAAGACACCAACCGGGACGCGTTCGTTACACCGCACGGTCAAGGGCCAACCTTGAAACTCCTGGATGCCCGCCAGCTTGGGCGCGTCGAGCAGCCAGTCGGTGAGCGTCTGGTTCTTGAACGCTATGCTGCGGAACTGCTTCCCGCCGTTCACGTTCCAGGTGCCCACGCACACGCGGATCTTCTTGGGCCTGGAGTACTTGTAGAAATTCTCGCACATGCTCTTCAGGACTTTGGAAGAGGCTAATCAAAAACAAAACACAGGAGTTTTAACTGCATTAAAACGACGGTGGGACGGGCTGTCACCACTGACAAGTGGCGCCGGCACGCACAAGCATCACGTAAACAAGCACGAAGCACGTGGGCACATGCAGAGGCGGAGAGCAGCCCTGACAGAGCCCAGCCCGACGCAATCCACCGACACACTTAAAGGTCGGCCGCGTAGACACGGGAACCGTGGTGAGGAAAGCCACGGTGAAATTACTGCAGCACACAACATGCGGAGCGAACGGTTCTTCTCCATTAAATGCTACTTGTTCTCTAAGGCATGAAACTAGAGACAGTCAACTTTTCAGAAGCACAGCAACTGACATCCATATACGAGTAACTTTCATTCAAAGGTTGGAAAAATATAAAACTTACTTTCTCCCCAGACAACATTTAAAAACATTACATGTAAGATTCCAGCTACTGACAGGGGGCTGCAGAATTCGGGCTCCCTGGATGACGAGGGGTCATGGTGAAGTCACTGATAAGTGCTGCCCATCTCGCTCGGAGTGAATGAAACTTCCTTGAACCACGTGCCCTGCCTTGTGCCCTCTCCTGCTACCCATCCGTTCCCTCACTGCTCAGCCACTGCCCGTCCCGCTGTTTCAGGCCCGCTCTGCCACAGAGCCTTTGCACTGGCTGCCTCTACTGCCACCACACTCCACCTCCCTTCCTTCATCTCTACTTCGCACGGAGGCGCCTCATTACAATCTGCACTCCGTCCTCCCGTGCTTTCTCTCTACTGCTTCTCACCAGTCACCAGCTACGCGCTTCACTTGTTGATCTGTAACCGTCTCTTCATAAGAATGAAAGCTCCGGGAGGGCAGGAATGTTGGTCTGGGGCACCACCTTAGTGACGAGAGGCCCTGGCCCGCAGGAAGTGCTCAGTGAGTGACTGGTGAGTGAATGAATGCCCATACGCCTGAGACCCCCGACCTCCTGCCCTATACGCCTTCCTTCCACAGCGCACTTCCTGCCGGTTAAGTTAAATTCTCCGCACTAAAAGTGCACGGAGCCGAAAGAGGCCCTCCATCTAAACCAGACTATGCTCTGAACCGGCCTCACTGGCAGAGGAGACGAAAACCAGATGGTTCTCGCCTTTCACCATGGGACACTGTTTCATTCTCTTACTTATTTATGACACCAAGAGACCACAGTTGGTGACAGAGGAGGGACATAACGTGTTAACACAGCTGATCCCAGGGGCCGATTCTCCGCCCTCTTACTGCTTGGTCTGACAGCTCGCGCACAGGCGTGAGGCGGAGAAAGCGGATGTGTGCTCTGGCCTGCTGCTCTGGGTGCTGGGAGCTGGCTGGCCCCAGAGAGACTCTCTGGTCTGTATAACTGTCACTGCCATGTGGGAAACAGCGTCTGCATCCTTTCTGGACCTAAACACCGGGCCTGTCATGGCCTGCTGCTGAAAATCATCAGCAAGACAGTGAGTTGTGTGAACAAAAACATGTCGCCATGGGATGGACTTAAAAAGTCAGTTTATAAGTGGAATCAACGTTTTAAAAAACCCTAGCTTTTCCTTAACGAGTCTCTGCTCCAGCGATGTCCCCCTCAGCACCACGCTGTCCCTGGCCAGTGCGCCTCAGGACGGAGGCCAGAGAGCTCGGGCGTGTGCCCATCCTCCATCCTTCTAAAAAGCACACGAAGTCTCTGAAGCATCCAGCACAACCACGCCAAACAAGCCTTAAGTGACACTGAGTCCGAAGTGAAGGGAAAAGGTCTTTCCCACTAAAATGCTGGCACGAGTTTGGCTTTGGTTCCCTTCACCACCCACTTGGGTTTATAGAAAGATCACAGACTCGGACCAAGAATGAAGGCATGAGACTGCCATGAACAGGAGAGGTGAGACAATAGCCACTGTCAGGTCCTACACACTCAGCGCCTCCCACTTTGTGGCAACCTCGGTGCTTTCCTACAGACTCCAGATCAGGGTGGTTCGGGTTTATAAAGACAATATTCCACCCAGGTTCGGGCTTATACAGGCAATGTCTCACCTGGGTGAGAGATGAGCCGATGCCTTTTCAAACGCGATGAGTGAGAGGCGCTGCTGGGCATCACAAGTGTCATGGACGGAACTCTGGAGTCAACCCCAACGGTCCCACCTGGGCTTCCCCCTCAGCGCCTGAGAGTGAGGCCGCCATGTTTGTTCAGTGACTCTCCAGTGACAGGAAACTAGGAGCTCTATCTACCTGGAATTTAACAGTTGCTACCGGATGGCAGAGAGCATCCTAGAAGAAGTTACTCTGCTTTCTCAAATCTACTGTTTTTCCCTCAGGTTAAAATGAGGTGCCCATTTGTGCGGCTAGAATCTGAGGGGAAAGAGCGAGTTGCCATGGAGGTGGCTCTAGCTGTTTACAAATCACCCTTAGAGAAATAAAGGAACAGTAGCTGTTATGTGCGGGTCTGTACTGTACCTGACTGCAATGTCTGCTCAGAAACTACGGATGCATGAGGAGGAAACAAAGCATCGTTAGTCAACAGCAGGCAAGGGTCAACCCAGAGGCTGACCACTGTTCTCGGCGCCGCCCCTTCTCTCCAGCCCACGTGGCCACCTGCTTTCTCGGGGGCTGCAGGGCACAGACACCAACTGAGTGACAGCGCAGCACGCGGTCCGCACTGATGTCAGCACTGAGGGAACCGTGCAGTGCTTCTGCTGTCAGCGCTGGGCCTGCTTCTCAGGCTGCTCCTGTGTGTGAGTGTGTGTGTCTGTAAATGAATATGTGTGTGTGTGTATGTGTGTGTGTGTCTGTAAATGTGTGTGTGTGTCTGTAAATGAATATGTGTGTATGTGTATGTGTGTGTGTGTGTCTGTAAATGAATGTGTGTGTGTGTGTCTGAAAATGAATATGTGTGTGTCTGTAAATGAATATGTGTATGTGTCTATAAGGTAGAATGTGTGTGAGTAAATGAATGTATGTGTCTGAGTGTATGTTTGTGTGTCTATGAGTGTATGTGTGTACACATGTGCACACACATGTGAATGAGAACATGCACCCAAAAACCTGAGAAGCTGGAGGATTCTGAGCATGGGAAGACACTGCCCTAACATACACCATTTAGAATCATTTCTGGGACTCACCAATTGATAAGCTCAATCAGCTCAGTTATAACAAAACACACGCATTCCCAAAAACCCACCATGCTGTGCAAAACTGTGCAATGTCCCAGCCACAGGCTTATGGGAAAATGGGGTTCGAGGGAAATAGTCGCTTTGGCGGTGACGTCCCCCAAAAAGACAGGAGCCCAACAAAGACAGCAGCACAGCTGTACACGTGCTCAGTGGTTCAGGGTGCCTAACTCCTCCTCAGTTATGACCGACATCGGCTCGCAGCGACAGCCGCGAGAAGACTGAGCCTGAGTCGCTGTGTATAGGAGGCGGGGCCTCTGAAATGGACAGAAGGCAGCACCAGTGATGGGAGTGGCTCTCAGCACAGCTGGGGACCCGAGGCAGATAGGTGAGAGGTGTGCGCACAGGTGTATGTATGTATTCTAAAAAGAAGTTTTTGATTTTTAGAGAGAGAGGAAAGGAGAGGGGGAGAGAGAGAGAGAGAGAAACATCGATGAGAGAGAATCATGGAGCGGTTGCCTCCTGCACACCCCCTGCTGGGGACTGAACCTACAACCCAGGCATGTGCCCTAATGTGGAAATGAACCGGGCAAACTCCCGTTACATAGGTCGATACTCAACCACTGAGCCACCCGGTTGGGCTGCATGTGTGTGTTTTATATTCGACTCATCCTGCTTCTGCTGGGGGGAGAAGGGGTTCTGTGTGCGCCTGGCACCACTGCCAGCGAAACTGTGCAGAAACTAAAGCAGAACTGGCATGCGCTCACGTGTTCCCGAAGATGCCAGCCATCTCAGGACAAGAGCTGCGGCAGAACAGGGCTTGTTTTTAAGGAAATGTGCAGGAAACTAAGCCGGTGATTAAGTCTAGGAAACTTGGGGTCCCTCACTTCTCCTTTTCTTTCCTTCGCTGCTTCCTTTTGGTGGTTCTCAGTGATGTCTGCACATCTGGGCAGCCCAGGGGAGCATGGGGGGAAGAGGTGGAAGGATGCAAAGCAGCTAAGTCTCTGCTGCTGGAAGCAAGAAGGAAGCTTGACCTTAAAAGTGTAGGGATAGCAGGATTTTAAAAAAATGTTTGTTTTTTTAATTGATTTTAGAGAGAGAGGAAGGGAAAGGAAGAGAAGGGTGAGGGAGGCATCAGACCCATTGGCTGCCTCTTGCACCTACTGGGTATCGAGACCGAAACCCATGCATGTGCCTTGACCAGGAATCGAACCAGCAACATTTTCGTGCACGACACTCCACCACTGAGCCACGCCGCGAGGGCCAGACGGTGTGTTAGAGCTCCCAACAGGCAGAGCTCCAGCAGCTGGCTGTAATGGCCGCTGCCATGCCAGAGCCTGACGAACCCACAGAACCCACCTGCCAGTCATTCCCAGGAGGAAGGTTCTCGGGAGGGACACTCTCTCCCCAGGAACAGGGAAAACTGAAGGTTTGGTTTGGAGATAACAGAGGAAATAAAAATGCTGAGTGCTAAAAAGTTAAAATAGAAAAAAACTTAGAGTGAGGAAGTCTAATTTACTAAGTTTTACAATGAATGCTGAGTTTTCCCATGATACCATTTAATATATGTTCCTGACAGGAGCTCCAGTTCTAGTGGTTTAAATTAAAGGCACAATAGCCATATATTTATGTCAAATGTTAAAACTGGAAATAGTGGTGTCCAATAATAAGCAATATTTTAAATCATTAGTCAGTATTGATTTATACAATTACTTAGTATTACTTCAAGCAATAGCAATGAAAAGGTAAGACTAAGTGATAGGAACTTTTGGGTGGTGACTAGCAAAATACCCATTAGAGGATGCAGGCACTGATTTTCCAGGAAAGCATTTGTCTGCTACATAGCTAGGCTACTGACGGCTCTACTAGCTGAATGCCTTTTGTAGTTGGTGTACTTCAGCCATTAACCCCCATCAGAGCCTATCAGAGAAAACATGCCTGGGCCTCAGTTTATGGCTTAATAACACCTCTGATCCCCGGCCGGTGTAACTCAGTGGCTGAGGTCACAGTTCAGTTCCTAGTCAGGGCACAGGCCTGAGTTGAGGGCTCGATCCCCAGTGTGGGGCGTGCAAGAGTCAGCCGATGGAGGATTCTCACTCAGTGTTCATGTTTCTAACTCTCTCCCTCGCCCTCCCTCCCTCTCTAAAAATCAACAAAAACACATTAAAAGAAAAAGTCTATTTAAAAAATCAAGTTGGTAAAAAATCCTTCCAAACTTAAACAACTCAACCTAAAAGTTATTTACGTAAATAAGTTTACCTTTATCTCTGGGCTTTTAGAAGGAGTGTAAGTGACACCAAGCAGGTAGAATATAAAGTAAGTACGCCTACCACGCAAACTTCCAGTGGTTAAAAGTGCTCGCGCTTTGTCAGCTAAGTCACTATTTAGAGTGTTTCCCAGGAGCAAAACGTCAATGGCCTCTTGCTTGGAGCTGTCAAAGAAGTTATTCTGAATCGTTCTAGTGACAGAGCGAGCACCATCTTTTAACTTCCCAGCCTGTTGGGGAAAAAGGAGCAAGGACTTTCATTCTGATCGTGTCATTGTCACGCAGTTGGTATTCTGAAACTTAAGGCGACATAACTGTATGCAATAAAGGACCTCATCCTTCTATTCTGGATAGCCAATCAGCACGTTAAACGGCTCAGGTGGCCACTGCTTCTCTTTCCCTGTGAACCACAGCTCTGCCCTGAGAAGGAAGCTCAGTGCCACCACGCACCCTTCGACACTGGGCGCTGGGCGTCTAGCTCTGTGGACGGGAAGAGTGGACCGCGTGCACCCGGACAGGAACTCACTTCCACGTCATCACTGCAGACTCGGGGCGGGGCGGGAGCAGCAGGAGAGAGGGGATACACTGCACTCACAGGCTTTTATGAAAGCTGCAGAGGGCTTTAATAGTAGAAAATAAACCGGAAACTATTCCCTAGTAACTTCATTAGTCACAGCTATAACTGAACAGAAGAATGAAGGCATAGTCTAAAAAGAAATGTATAAATATAGTTCACATGTAAACTACCATCTACATTCTAGGCCACTGAATTACCTGTGTATATGTAACTAACAAAAATAATAAACCTGGACTAATTCCTAAAGGGAATAATATAATGTTCAATGAGCATATACTTACTTAGTACGTTAGTTACCAGAAAGGTTTATTTTGATCTTACAGATTTTGATAATTGCTTTAAAAAAAACAAAACTTTTGCCTTTTAGGAAAATAGTTTAGTTTACAATATATTATTTTAATTCCTTAAAAAACTAACAGTAATTGAGGCTTCAAATGTTATTCCCTCCCATATAATTTCATACATAAAGGACATGATTTGAAAAGACACTCACCATTCACATTATCAGGCAATTAATCAAAACGAACCCAGAGAAAGGAAGAGAAAGAACAGTGCAGAGGTTAGACTTTAGTTCAATGCAGATGAGAAATTGACATACAAAACTTCCTATCTATCAGGTTAGAGTCAAGACCACTGACAACAGGTGACCTCTGTACGTATACTGTCATGGTCGCTGCAGAAACAAAAAGGCAAGAGAACACCGAAGAGAATCTTAAGGAACAGTTGTAGAGCATCAGGTTGGAACAGCAAGAACTAGGTCCTTTGTGTAAAACGAGTAAGTACAGTTTAACCATTTTAGGCTTTAAAAAACAGGATCACTTAGAAGACAATATTGAAACGTCAGTACGTGTGACGCTATGATTTGAACAAAAGGCACTGGCAGGCGGGGCCCCTCTGGACCCGCAGGGCTGCTGTGACTCGGAGGGAGGCAGAAGTGGGAAGGAAAGCACTCAGAGGATGAGTGTCTCAAGGAAGGTCACTTGGTGCACGAAGAGGCCTAGTGAGAACTGGGGTGACTGTCCTGGTTCCGATTCTGAAGTAATCTGAGGAACTGCAGAGATTTAAAGTTCACCCGGGGTCATGAGCCTTAAAAGGTCAATATTATACTAAAAATAATGAAAAATACTTCAGGTATGTTTCCAAAGTTCCTCAATATGGGCCAAATACTTGAGTGGAAAATAGTCTGTAGGTAATACCAGCAATTAAAGTGGAACAATGAGGCACAGAATTATAATTAATAATTCTGCATAATTAATAATTCCACATCTCACACTTCTTTTGACATTTTCTTAAGTCTCATTTTTAAGGCAACATAAGTTAAGCATAAAAACATAGTCATTAGGCCCTAATAATGTTGGGCTCATGGTAGGTGTTGCACACACTGTCCACTGATTTATCTGTCCATCCAGCATGTGTCATATGTTTATTCAGTAGCAGGCACTGTGTCAAGTGCTGGGGACCCAAAGCAAATATGATAAGACCCTTTATTACGAAGTCCATGGTTAAAAATATCGTTCTTATAATACAAACTAGAGGCCCGGAGCATGAAATTCGTGCACAGTGGGGATCCCCCTCAGCCTGGCTGGCACCCTCTCACAGTACGAGACCCCTCAGACATACCTCTTGCAATCAGGGACTACTGGCTAGTAACCACTTGCCTACCTGCCTGATTGCCTCTAACTGCTTGCCTGCCTGCCTGATTACCCCTAACCATTCGTCTGCCTGCCTGATCACCCCTAAGCACTCTGCCTGCCTGTCTGCCTAATTGCCTCTAACTGCCTCTGCCCCCACCGTGGCTTCATCCAGAAAGACAGCCAGAAGGTTGTTTGGCTGTCTGGCCTAATTAGCATATTACACTTTTATTATTATAGATAACAGTATAAAAAATAAAGCCAATATGCAAGGGAAGAATAATTTTTAAAAATGTAAGCATATTACATACAGGCCTCGGGATTCTCACTGAGTAACTTCCTATGTCTGTCATACAGCCGACCCTGCGACCTGGGAACAAACTAGCTCCTGCTGGATTGGGCCATGAGAGGAGGAGAGTGAGGGAGGAGAAAGGCGCGGAAAGGCAGAATCCTAGCGCGGGGCCTTGAAAACCCTCTTCACTGACCAAGAGGCACTGGAAGGCCTTCCCAAGAGGGCAGGAGGCCTGTCTAATGCGCCAGAGCCACTCACCTTGGCCTTGCCTTCCAGAGCCCCGGTCCCGGCGTAGATCTTACTGATGGAGTCACCGTTCACCGACCACATGGAGCGGAAAACCTCCTGAAAGCGCGTCACCAGCTGGGGCTTCTCAGCCAAGCCGAGGGCTTCCAGCTGCTTGGCCAGCATCTGGAAGAGCCCAGAGTGACATTGTGAGTGTACTGACCTGTTCACTGTGACGTGCCTTTCTAGGAACGACCAGAAGTAAACTGAAAACCTGCAGCGATACGACTCTGGGACTGGATTCTGCAAACGTAATAGTTTACCGGGCTGTGTTGTTTCCACCATTTCTATTTTTAAAGTAAAAACCACGTCAATGAAACTTATAAAAAACCTAATATTCCCTTGTAGTAAGAATAGCTTTCTGGTTAGATGGTAAAATCATATTAAATTATCCCTGCAAATCATACTAACTTTACTTTGTTCTGTTCATCTTACAGTGTCTCCCCAAGTGTGGTACGCGTACCCCCAGGGGTACAGGAAGAGTTTGGTGGGGGTATGCGTTGCACCGGAGTTTGGTGGGGATATGCACTGCACCGTGCACTGCAACGTGCTTAGCTGCGCCTAATTCTACGTTCTCATGAGTACGCATTTTCTATGAAAATTATAGAAGGGGTATACATATGTCAAAAGTTTGGGAAACACTACAAGAACGAATTATTCAATAGCATGGAGCAGAGCAGAAAAAAATACTGACCTAGTTTATCTAAATGTGTGCAGAGTAACTAAGCTCCTTTAGGTTTTAGTCTTGGTTCTGTAAGTTTGGATAACAAGGTCCAGAGATTACTAGGAAAAAGAGCTGCTCTTGAACTATCACAGAGCACACAGCAGGCAAGGGTCTCTGGCCCCCACTCCCCTCTTCACAGGTCGTAGTGAGAGTGTCAAACCATTGCTCTTTCTCAGGATGAACTGCAGCCTCGAAATCCGCAAGTCTGAGCAGTGCACAGCCCCCCCGGCCTACTTCTCTTATTGGAGTCCAGACCTAATGTATGCCTCGAGTTTTCACTCAACTCCGTCCTATTCGAGTTTTCTTTAACTTCACCTGTAAGTGCGGGTACTACCCATAAATCTCAAGGATTAAAACCAAAATCCTACAAAAACCCTACACCGGGTTTGACTGCCGGGGCTGATACCAGCACTGCCCCTTGCTGGCAGAGAATGAGGCAAACCAAGCCGGGTCGCCTCGTCATTCAGACCGCTGTGCCTTTAAGAAGGTGGGCAGCTGGTCTCACTGCTAGGCTGGCTGTGCCTGCTTTACTAGTACACTTGGTAACCACTTGGCCACGTTCTCACCCTGACGAGCAACAGTGGCGAGCCACTGAGTCAGGTTCTGAAAAGTGTATTACAAATCGTTAAAGGGCCTCAGTCACTCCCTCTCAGAATCCACACCAATGCATCCAACCAGCTAAAAACAGAGCTAGCAGCACCAAGCCGCACAAAAACTCCATCCACAAGGCCAAGTGCCTGCTTTCACTTTTCTTGTTTGTCCTATTTTCTAAGTAAATTAAAATCTCAAAGCCAGATTTCAGAAAAGGCAAGCAGTAAAATGTATGTAGTTACTTGAGAAACGTCTCAAAAGACACTTCTGTAGCGGAGCACTCTGCACACCACGGTGTCATTTGTGAGACATAAAGGACCGCAGCTGCCAGCAACTCATTAACCAACATCCTGGCCCCCCATCCGAGGATGCGCAGAGGAAACAGGACCGTGGGGCTTTCTGTTCCTTTTCCTGTCCCCACGCCTCTGAGGACTGCGCTCAGTGCCTGCGGCTCTGCCTGCGGCTCTGCCTGCGGCTCAGTCCCTGCGGAAGGAATAAATGAAGACGCCCCCAGCCGCAGCCCTCACTGCACAGGACAGGAAGGACTTTGCCAGCAGGGGGCAGTGGGTCTGTGCTGACACTGTGTCTGTATTTGACTGAACCTGACGGCAAGGGGTAAAGAAAAGGGTCTTTACACAAAAACCACTGGAGAAGCCGAATCTCACACTTTCATTCTCGCTAACACAGCCCAGTCCTTAGAGGCACTGACTGGCAGGCGCCATGCAGGCTGCACTGGGGATAGGCCGTCCACGTGCACCCTACAGGCTGGGCGCGGTCACAGAGCCTCCCATCCAAGAAACCTTTAAAGGCCCGCACAGAGAATGAGCACAGCGCAGAGACAGACGTATTTCTTCTTCTGCTTCCAAAAGAGGCAATTACTGGACCAGCAGAAGCAGCAAGGCTGTGTTTATAGGAAAAATTAATAACGGAGGAAACACAGCTATACTTAGAGAACAGGAAAAGGGAACTAAAAAGACAAGGGATGTTGGGGGGGAAAGACTAGAAGAGAAATGCCTTTACTGAACCTCACTGCTCTGGGGCGGTCATGAGAGCCACTGAGAGGTGCCAAGCCACGCACAGGGCGGCCACGCACAGTATGGTCATGCACAGGACGGTCACGCACAGGGCGGCCACGCACAGGGCGGCCACGCACAGGGCGGCCACGCACAGGACGGCCACGCACAGGACGGCCACGCATAGTATGGTCACGCACAGGATGGCCACGCACAGTATGGTCACGCACAAGGCGGCCAGGACGGCCACGCACAGTATGGTCAGGCCCAGGATGGCCATGCATGCACGCTGGTCCCTTACCTCCAGGCCCAGGAAGGCCTGCACGCTGTTGGTCCGGTCCAGGCAGTCCAAGCAGTTGGTGCGGACAGTCCCACTCTGGCACCTGCAACAAAGTCACTCAAGTTAAAGAGCTTGTTTGAGGCAAAAACGACAGAACTCAAACAAACTGGAAAAACTAAGGTGATTAAAAGGTAGCATCCACTTTCTCCCCCAACTTCTTACCATTACAATTTTCAAACATACAGGAAAGGTGAAGGAATTTTACAGTGAATATCCATCTCCTCACCAGGCCCTACAACTGTTCACATTTTGCCTCCTGTTCTTTATCACACACTACCTGCTCCTCCACCCACTTCCTCTTTACTAGGCCAGCAGCCAGGAGCTAAGTGTACATTCAGACTTACAACACCGTGGTTCTCTGCACATAAAAGATACCACACGTTTAAGGGATAAACTTTGAAAACCTAACATCTCTTATCTCTACTGACTATCCTATGAAGTTTCCATAGCGTTGATTCTAAATATTGTACGCTGAAAAAAATGTGCAGCTTACCTCAACCTGTATTCTTTTTTCTTTTTTTAATATATTTTATTGATTTTTTACAGAGAGGAAGGAAGAGGGATAGAGTTAGAAACATTGGTCAGCTGCCTCCTGCACACCTTTTACTGGCAATGTGCCTGCAATTAAGGTATATGTCTTTGACCGGAATTGAACATGGAACCCTTCAGTCTGCAGGCCAATGCTCTATCCACTGAGCTAAACCGGTTTCGGCTCAACCTGTATTCTTAATTTCAATCTCTCAATACTTACTTCCTCCTCTACTTAATATGCAAAAGCTAACACTAAATTACACTGAAGTAGATAATATGTAACGTCTTTCACTTCTATTTGCACTAGTTGTCTTTACCAGGTCAAAAACATTAAAGCATCATTTTAAGAGAAAAGTGGAACAGCCTCGCAGTAACAGGCTGGGTTCAGGAGCCTGAAGGATTCCAGCTCTCACACACTCTGATCACATGACAAAGGCAGGCTACGCCAATGCCTCCATTTCCTCCCCTGCAGAAAGGGGTAGGATAGAACCTCACATGGAAACCCAGGGGCACTGCCTGGCCACAAAGTGACCTATTATTATTACTAGAGGCCTGGTGCATTTAGAGATTCATGCCTTTTCCCCTTGGCTTCCAGCACCGGTTTTCCTCCAGCACCCTTCGCTCCGGCCAGAGTCTGCCATCTTTGTCTTCGCTGTAGCCAGAGTGTTGCTCCTGTAGATCCCTTAAGACCCCCATTCCCCCACCCTCCCTCTCTGCGCTTGGAGCAGCTGGGTGGCCGCCAACTTTATCCTATTTGCATATTCCCTCCTGATTGGCTGGTGGGCATAGCAGAGTGATGGTCAATTTGCATGTTTCTCTTTTATTTACCTGTTGAATTCTCAAGAAAGGAAAACAAACCTAAAATCAAGTATAACCATTATAGACTTTGATTTTAAAAGACATTTAAGGGTGTAATGTTCAGAGTCATTTTTAAATTATAGCAAAGTTCCAATTTAAAGGAGAGAGAAACAGCAGGCGAACCTTCGAACGTCGTTTCCATCAAAATGGAAGAAGCCATAATCAAGGAACTTCTGGACCTGAGGCCTGAGGACGCTGTGCAGCTTCTCAGCCTTGCCGCCCTTCACCATCTGGTGGTAGTCGAAGCTTACCATCTGCACGTCGGCGGCATGCTCCGAAGCCTTCAGGTGGCTCTGGAAGGGAAGGCAGGCTTCACCCAGGGTGACGCAACCTGCCCCGGTGTGCGCGGTGACGGGAACCCTAACGGCGCCAGGCTTTCAGCCACGCCGCAGCCACGCATCGGGCGCCATGTTTCTCCTAGCCCTCCTGCCTGTCCTGAGAGCCCTGGTGATGGGCTGCCAGAGAACTTAAGTCACATTCTCACCTGGTTTAGGAAATGAAAAACTAGTTCATCCACTCACATTTCATGTTTACAATCCAAATTTAATAACTGTTTATATCTACCATAAATCTCAAAATAAAGTGGTTCTTTTTTCAGACAAAGACTAAAAACATAAAATTATTTTTTTATATATTTGTTCAATACATAAAAATACTTTGAAAGTTTACCATAAAAAGTTATTCCCAAATGTATAATCTGTTTATAATATTTATTTCACAAAGTTAAACAAAATAGCTGAATAGTTCTGGAGCTCGTTAGATTGATTTAAGGAAATGTTTTCTAACCATTCTGTTTAAGCTTATAATTCTACTAACATCATTGTTTATATAAATTATTGAATTGGTGTTCATGAAGAACATGTTTTCTTTCTTTTAAAAAAAATTATTTTTTATTTTTTACAGAGAGGAAGAGAGAGGGATAGAGAGTTAGAAACATCGATGAGAGAGAATCATCGATCAGCTGCCTCTTGCACACCCCCTATTGGGGATGTGCCCGCAACCAAGGTACATGGCCCTTGACCGGAATCGAACCTGGGACCTTTCAGTCCGCAGGCCAATGCTCTATCCACTAAGCCAAACCAGTTTCGGCATGGAACATGTTTTCTTTAGAAGGCTTATCTTTCACTTGAGATTCTCACATTCCTCTCATCAACGTGAGCAGGTGTGCTCCTGCTGTATGTCAATGCCTTCGTCATCACCTCAAGCGCTAACACAGTGCCCGGTTTCCAGCAGCGGGTGAGCGGTCCCGGGGGGAGGAGCACATCAGGGGGAGGAGCACACCATCTGGGTCTGGGCCCCAGGACAGAGGGGCACTCGAGGGAGGATCTTCTGCTCCTCCACCACAGCATAAGCCACTTCGGGACAGGGTCAACTGCCTTGAAAACTCCCCACAACCCCAGCTTCACAACATCACCCCAACTGCTCCCTACCAGCCCGCAGGCTGCTGGCTCCCACAGGCCCATCCTTTCTCTAGGAAGCCATCTCCCTCCGGCAGAGTTCCAGGCCTCTCCTGCGAACTGTTCGACACCTTCTTACCTGGAAGGCCTTGCTCAGCATATGCTCCCCTTCCTTGGAGCCAAGCAAGTTTATTACTATTTGTTTACCATACAGCGTCTTCAGTGTTCTAAAATGCCTGTTAAAAGAAAGGAAACAGGCACATGTCAGCTGATAAGGTGACAATTCTTTCCAATAAATAAGGATCCAGTATTAATGAGAACTTACATGGTCCTGTCTAAGCTCACAGAACCAGTAAACTGCATACAAATTCATTCCACGTGGTCTTCTCGTGAGCGTATGAGAACCCCGTTAGTAGTATCCTCTCTACTATGGGTGCCGAGTCCCTCCCCCCGGGGAGCCTGATGCTGGCCCAGCACAGAGAACACATGCACAGAGGGCACAGGGCTGCCCCTCACACCGAGGACATCCCAGCCTCTGTGAGATTTAACCCCGTGCAACCCAAACCCCATCTACATGTGATCAATATACTTAAAACACGTGAACACTGTGCTAGGCACTTAAATTCTTCTTTTTGCACGAAGTGCCTGAAATCCAGTGTCCACTTCACACTCCAGCGCATCTCACTGCGGGCCAGTCATGTACCAACATTCCTCTTATCAACGTGAGCAGGTGTGCTCCTGCTCCCCGGGCTCGGGGCCCGGGGCTGCTGTGCGGAGACCAGAGTGTGACTCCAGTAACACTAGGAGTCACTGTCCTCCAGTTAGGTTAGGAGTCAGGAGGAATTTAACTGGAGCCACAAAACGTAAAATGAGTCAGTAAGTGTAATTACAACAGGTCTCCCTGCTTAACAAGTTCAAATCCGAGAGCACCGTGTGAAAAGAACCAGCCTACCTGTCAAAGGCGGGCGCGTTGGCCTCAAAGCCCCTGGACATCCGGACCCGGTGCGAGCCCACCTGGAACAAGAAAGAGGCGTCACACAACAGCCACCTGAGCTCACAGACAGACCTGAACGCGCACCAATGCATTCGCTCCACTCAGAGAGGACGCCCCATACTGACTGCCACTCACCAGTCTCTTAAAGAGACAAGTTCTTAAAAAAAAAAATGGGCAAGTTCTAGGAATTTCTCCTCCCAGTTTATTTTTTAAAATGCAACCTCATAACCAAAGAGCTAGAAGTCAGACCATTATGAAACACTTGTGAACTAAGAGAAAGTTTTGGTTGTGAAAGATATTGTTAAGCAGAGACCCCTCACACAGTGCTGACCGTGTGCCAGGCACTGGTCTGCGGGCCCCTCATTCCATCCTCACGAGAGCTGAGAAGCAGCTCCACTACTACCGTCTCTCCCGCGCAGAAAAGAGTGCTAAGATGCTGAGACGCCGCAAGCCAACGCCCCCACCCCCGCCCAGGCCGCAGGAGCAGAGGGAGAGGAAAGACTATTCAGAAGCTTTGTTTTTAGTGACGGCATCTTCCTGCCCACAGAGGCCAAGCTATTACGTACTAAGACACGGAGAGAGCAAATACGGGAACTAAAAATCAATGCACTATGAAAGCATCCAATCTTTATTTATAAAGCATCAAACACAGCAGCTCAACTTCTACGGATGTTGAAAAAACATCACAGGAAAAGAATATCTGATATAATTCCAGGAACTCTGCACTCAGACCTGTATTTATGAATCTAGCTAATATTATTAGATTGAGTGAACCAACAAACGATCCAGTGAACCAACAAACAATCCTGAAAACTTAAAGCACATGGAAATCTTCAAGAGACTGAAACAACAACATGGAACACCTACCTGCAAGCCTGGCTGCTCCCAGAACAACGGAACCGAGCCCCGGATCTGGATGAAGGAGGAAACAGAGTCATCCAGGTACACGGCCTGCAGAGAGAAACACAGATAAACAGTCCCGCAGACACAGCTGTGATCTCTAGTTAGGAGATAAAACTTAACTAATAGTGGAGATAAAATAGTGGAGATAAAACTTACTAATAGCGGTTGCACAGATGGTATCTTATGACCCACCTCTCACACACAAATTGTTCTAACAAAATATTCCCTGTATATATAGATTGGGGCAAAAGTGGGTTTATAATGGTTTGTGTGGAAAATAATACAATAATTAATAAATAATAATAACACAAGATTAAACTCTGTTGCGCGTACTAACTGTAAGGCACTTTTGCCCCAACCTATATTAACCAGAAAAATATCCTGTATATTAAAAGGCTAATATGCAAATTGTCCCCTCAACTGGGAGTTCAAACAGGGTGCGGGGCCAGATGGCCAACCACCCCTGAAGCTTCCCCCCGAGCCAGCCTGGCCCGATTGGCCCCTATCGGGGTGGACTAGCTAGACACTACCTATGCACAAATTCGTGCACCGGGCCTCTACTTAGATATATAAGCATTGGAATTACAGCTTTTTAAACATTATATACCTTTCTATTTTTTATACACATACCTTTCTATTTTCACATATTTTTTCTTTAGTTTTTCATATTTTTAAAAAATTTAAATTGTGAATTGGGCTTAAAGCATGGACTAAATTTGCAATTATCTAGTTTCATAGCCAAAAGTATCACAATGTTTAGTTTAGATGGTTCAAGTATCTACAGATGAGAGTCGGGATTGACTTGATTCGCAGAAAACACTTTCCTGAGTGTCTAGCTCTGTCCACGAGGATTTTAACTTCAAACCAAAGGGCAGGCCCTGTGGCCATGCTGAGCAGGGAAACGCCTGCTCCAATTTGAAGAGTGTGCCCACTCCAGGCAGGGCGCTCAGGGTAGCTTATCTGAGCGCCAAGCTGTGAATAACCAGAAAATGGCAGGCCGATGTCAAACATGGGTTCTGAGCCTTAACCGGTTTGGCTCAGTGGATAGAGCATCAGCCTGTGGACTGAAGGGTCCCAGGTTCAATTCCGGTCAAGGGCATGTACCTTGGTTGCGGGCACATCCCCAGTGGGGGGTGTGCAGGAGGCAGCTGGTCCATGTTTCTCTCTCTATCCCTCCCTTTTCTTCTCTTTAAAAAATCAATAAAATATATTTTTTAAAAATGGGCTCTGAGTCCGAGAAGCACCTGCTACCCACTGTGTCCGCGCCTCCCCGCACACAGAGGAGCAGTAAGCCCGCGCACCTGCTCTGTTTCCACAAAGTTGGCGACGTGGCCGTCGTCGTTGGTGCCCCGGACGTTGAACCGGGTCCCGGCGCGCTCGCAGCTCAGCCGGGAGATGAGGCAGGCCTTGGCCTGCTTGTGGGCCGCGTAGATGGTCCTGACCTCGACGCCGCCGCACATGAGGCGCAGCAGCCAGTCGTCGCAGCTCACGCCGTAGTGCTGCAGGTGCAGGTGCAGGGACTGGTTCCTGGGGAGAGGCGGCCGTCAGCGGAGCGCAGGCAGCACGCGCCCCCCCCCCCCGGGACCCGCGGTACCAAAGGCACCGGGAGCGTGCAGCGAGTGTGGTTTCCCACGCCAGGCCTCAGGGCTGGGCTGTGAAACCACAGCCCCGGGCGCGATCTACGGCCCAGCGGCAATGCCTGTCTTTACCTTTCCCGGACGTCTGAGCAGCAGAACCTGTCCCTTACCTGCGCCCTCCCGCCCTCCCACCCCATCTCCTCCACTGCTCCTTCCCACCTATTCACAGCACTGACTGTACCCGCATCCCATTCCTACTGAGTCAAATAACATTAAATAAGGGAACGTTGGCTTAGGAAGGCAATACTGCCAGAGACAAGACCTCAAAACTAAGAACAAAGTGAGTAACACAATCCTATCACAACTGATTTGCTCCCGATTTAACTGTAGATCTTACAGCTATTTCTGAAATGAGGGGTCAGTCGAGATCAGGGGGAGCAAATGGGCTTCATGTCACATGACAACTTCCATGCAGTGTCAGTGGGTGCCTGCCCTGCCCTGCTGAGGATTCTGGGGCCGGGAGGGTGTGGCCGCATGCCCACGCAGCGTCTCTGGAGCAAGCGCTGGCCCACGGAGGCTGCTTCTCGGACTCACCAGAAGAACCTCTTATCGGTCGTGTGCTCCTGCATGCTGCGATGGGCGCTCAGACTCAGGTCCAGGCTGGCCCCCGAGGCAGACCACGCGAAGTAGAAGTTCCCCGAGTTCAGCACCTTGCGCACTTCTGAAACGCGGTCCTCCTCGGAGTCGGCTCGCAGGGATATGAATTCCGTGGAAGTCACTCGGAACACTTCAGATTCCTGAATTTTCCCCACAGACATGCATCCGGTGACGAGGACCAGGTAGTGCAGCATGGTGTCGCCTGCAGGGAGCAGACTGCGGTGACTAAGCGTTTGAGAGACGCCATCTGTGAGCTTCCGGCGCGGTAACGTCTTTCAACCTGTTACCTAACCAGATGATGCCGGCGGGCGAAAGGCTGGCCGCCTGTTCAGGTTAATGATGCCGGTGATAAACTTACCCAGATTGAGTCGTAAGACACCGAGGAGTCCATACGCATCCAGCACTTTGGAGTATGTACCCTTGATTGCCTCCTTTTCTGCAGAAGCTACAAAAAAGGGTTCAGGGTCAGAAACAAGACTTAATACATCATGTTTTACTTAGCTATAAAGTCAGAGTTTTAACCAAAAAGTTCTAAATCTACATCAGATTCTTTTTTATATATATATACTTTATTGATTTTTTACAGAGAGGGAGAGGGATAGAGAGCTAGAAACATCGATGAGAGAGAAACATTGACCAGCTGCCTCCGGCACACCCCCCACGGGGGATGTGCCTACAACCAATGTACATGCCCTTGATTGGAATCCAACCTGGGACCTTTCAGTCTGCAGGCTGATGCTCTATCCACTGAGCCACACCAGTTTTGGCCTAAATTGGATTCTTAACAAAGGTGTTGTAAAGATACTTTCTCTGACTTGAAGCCTAAAAGTTCTTCCCAGAGAGTGAGCCCACGTGCTCCAGCACTGCCTACTGGCCCATCCCTCCCACCAGCGTGAGCAACAAGACCTGATAACCTTTGTTTGGGTTGTGATTTTCTCTTCTCCCCGCTGACGGTCTGACTGTTGTACTGCTACACTAGGCGCTAGGAGGCCCTTACAGGACGACACAGCTCTGTGACCAGAGCTCTCAGAATCAGCCTCAGGCACCTTCCTGTTTCGTTTCTCATCTCCCCCGCCTCGCACCCCCTGCGTAACCACACACTCTCACCAGCCTGGCCGTCTGCACCTCGGACTTGGACTCAGACTCGCCCCGTCTCAGTCTGCCCCTTGCACAGCAGCCGGGCCTCCGGCCTGCAGGGCTCTCCCCACCCTGCCTCCTGGCAAGTCCCTTCACCTATGACCACGAGGCAGAAGGCCATTTTCTGGATGCCTGTTTGTACTCGCCCAGCCCAGCAGGTCAGAGCTCCATCCTCATGGTACTGCGCTGTATCTGTCCTCCCCCCTCCCTTAGCCAGGCTGCCCGAGGCAGCAGCCCAATCCTCCTCCTCCGTCCATCCTCACATCCATCCCCAGGCTAGACCAGGGGTCGCACTCAGGGACTTAGCACCGTTTACAGATGACATCAACCACATACAGCTTCGCCTGGGAACAGGAAACCTGCCGTCTGGCCTTAGTCTTGCTGCTGCTGCTGCTTCTTCTTCTTCTTCTTTTTTTTTTTTTTTTTTAAATATATTGTATTGATATTTTACAGAGAGGAAGGGAGAGGGAGAGAGAGCTAGAAACGTCGATGAGAGAGAAACATCGACCAGCTGCCTCTTGCACACCCCCTACCGAGGATGTGCCCGCAACCAATGTACATGCCTGTGACCGGAATCGAACCTGGGACCTTTCAGTCTGCAGACCAACGCTTTACCACTGAGCCAAACCGGTTTCGGCAGTCTTGCTTCTTCCACAATAAAGTAATGTTATCTTGCTAATGGGCATACCCCACAGAGTAAGTGCTGTATAGCAGGCGGTTTGATTTATAAATTAAGAAAGAAAAAAACCCCCACCTCTGGAACTTTAAAGGAAAAACCTTCCTTGTTCTTAGCAAACACATTGATTAAAGATTTGACAGAGAACCAAAGTGCACCACAGCTAGATCTCAGAGGCAATCACAAACAACACCTCCCTCACCTACAGACGCAGCAAGGTCCGGAGCTCTCCTCCCTCTGCCGCCCCCTCTCCCCCGCAAGCCCACCTGCATTCCTGAAGGAAGAAGCGGCATCTCCAAAGGCACTAAGGGAGAACCCCCTCCCTGCACATCTTTCTCAACAAGAAAGATCCCTTTATTTTAGGAAACTCCATGAAACACGTAGAAATATATGATGTAAGAGGGAGAGACCTAATGGAATTATTGTCCCATCTCTCAGCAATGTAATCTAGAAAACAATGTGAGTCTCCCACTCAGAGAGGAGTTAGAAGCCATGCAGCTTTAAAGCAGAGTAAACAGCCTTTAGAACACACGGCACTAGTTAATTCCTCACTGCCCCCCCCCCTTCGTGCTCTCCCACAGGAGTCCCAGGCAGCCACACTCGCCCCGCTCCTGCTCTGTCCCGTTCTTTCCATCGGGAATACTTTGCAAATGTTCCGTGCATCCTCCAATAGCGAACTCAGACACCACTTTCTGTCCAACTCTCCCCCCTCTGGCTGCACGTCGGTCTTCCTTCTGTGTCTCGCACAGCACACGCCTGCACCCTGAGAGTAACAGGAGCCCGGTCTCCTCTCTCTGTATCTCAGCGCAACACAAACCCAACCCGGAGAGCGGACAGTGCGGCTGCTGAGTGTGCATCGAACAGACAAACTGAGAGGCTCAGCACCAAAGGAATTGTTTTGTTTAAAATAATACATAAAAAGAGACTTTTTTTTATCCTTACCCGAAGATATTTTTCCATTATTATTATTATTATTTTAGAGAGAGGAGGGCAGGGAGGATAGTGGGGAGAGGGAGAGAAACATCGATGCAAGAGTGACACATCCCTGGTTACCTCCCACACGTGCCCTGACTGGGGCTGGGGGTCTAACTGCAACCCAGGTCCGTGCCCCTACAAGGAATGGAACCCATGCCCCTTAGTTGTGAGGGCCGGCGCCCTAACCGCTGGGCACACCGGCCAGGGCAGAAGAGAAACACTTTTCTCTGGCACAGGCAGTATCTGAATGCTCTCTTATTGCAATTAACCCTCACAGGGACGTCTGGAAGGTCAGAGGCGAGGCTGTGTCCCTGGTGGGACTGGGGTGGGCGTGGGAGACAGGCATTGTTACATTACTCCGACCAGGTGTACACCAGGAGCTTGTCACGTGCTAAGTGTGTGGCGTTCTTGGCAGAGCCAGTGCAAGGATAATGGAAATGGAGTCCGGGCGTGGGGATAGGAAGCTCAGTCACTCTGCCACCGTGCAGCTCCTGCTCACCATGTCAACACTGCCGAGGCCATGCCTCCCAGCTGGGGGACCGCCGTCTCTGGGTGGCAGGGAGGAAGGGGGCTATGGGGACGGCCGTCTCTGGGTGGCAGGGAGGAAGGGGGGCTAAGAAAGTTAGCGAGAAAGAGCGAACAGGGTGACAGAGAGCGTGACCTTCCTAGAACTACGCCTGGCCTGCGGCTTCACGCCCCGTGGCTTGTGGGCAGGGGATTTGCATGCGGGCAGCACAGGGCGGGCAGACCAGAGCCTCGGGGTAGGAAAGCTCAGTGATGAGGCAGATGGCACAGCGCTGGCTGGCTTCCAGACAGAGACTGGAGGTGGGTGACTCAGCTGCGATCCCAGAACCAGCCGCAGGAGAGCCTGCTGCACACGAAGGGAAGAATGCTCCACAAGGCAAGGCTTTCTCTGCATAATTAAATAACCGAACCTCCAGCTGAAGACAGTGAACCATCCAAATTAATGGTCCGCTTAAGCTACACGTTTCAATCTCGGCCACGGGCCTGAACAGAACCACCTTTCCCACGTTCACGCCACAAGCACGTGCTCAGCGCTCAGCGCTCAGCGCTCCCAGTCCAGCGCCCACCCGCTGGCAGGAGGCGGCACCCCAGCGGCCACACGCACAGGAGCGGTCTGGACGAGCTGGGTGGAGTGCCCAGACTGCCACCGCCTCCCGGAGAACCTCTGCAAAGGGGCCTCTCGCTGCGGCTGAGGAACTGCCGGGGCGAGCGGATGCGAAGAGGAGGCACAGGGGCTCGGGCGGTGGGCACACAGCCTCCGCCCAGCCATCCCATCCCGGGCAGCCCACCCACCAGCAAGGTGGGCGCATGGGTGTCACACCCGCGCCGTTCCTAACAGGACAGACGCCGGAAGAGCCACACACGGACCACCACACGGCAACGGAAGTTAACACGCTACTGTCACAGGCTGCCACGTGGGCCGCTGAAAGGACGGAGCGGACACAACAGAAGACAGAGTGGATGGCCATTTCTGTGCAGCTCAAAGCCAGGAACCCCCTTCGAGGGTCAGGGGGAGGTCACTGGGAAGGGACCTAGGGGCTCTCAGGAGAGCCCACAATGCCCCACTTCTCCACCTGGGGGCGGTAACGTGCGAGTGTCACCATACATCAAGCTGTGCGCTGAGGACTCATGCACTCTTCCACACGTGGAAGGACATTTATTTTTAAAGTAAAGTGTTGAGCAGAGAGGACAGCCTGTGTAAAGACCCGGGACCAGACGGCACGCGGCACAGCCAGCACCAGAGGGTCAGTGTGGCTGGAACACAGAAACCCAGGAGCGCTGGGTTCTCAGTCCAGTGCCAACCGCTGAGGGGTCTTACGCGAGGGAATAATATGTTTTTAGAGACGGAGCGTTCGGGGCGGGAAGGGTGTGGGAGCAGAAGACCAGGCAAGAAGGCGAGCACAATGGCTCACAAGAGGGCCCCCCTGGGCCGGCGGGGACAGAGCAGCAGGGGTGCGCTCAGCCAGGAGGCGGAGCTGCCTGGCCCGGCTGGAGTGAGGGCGATGCGGGAGGAAGTGTGCAGAGTGGAGCTCAGGCTGTTGAGGCGGGTGGAGTGCAATCCAGGAGGTAAGGACGAGGGACGAAGAGCAGGTCTGAGCGAGGAGCTGGCACGACCCCAAGGCTCTCCAAGGCCCACCTCGCTTGCCCCCCTTCTCCTGGGAGCAGCGTCTGCTCGTGCGGGCAGTTGTTTCATACACTGGGTTTGTTCGTCTGTTGTTTTCCTGGTGGGAAGGTAAATCCAGTTACTGTGACACCATGGTCAGAAGCCAGCATCCGGTTATGGTCCCGGGTGGTTATATTTCACAGGGCAATTTAGAACATCTGCTAGACCTTAAACCATGTAATAAAGTCTCCTGACGTTTTCACTGCTCAGGGAGAGAAACGGCGCAGTTGGGGTGAGAAGTGGAAGCACTTGGGGAGCATTGGCTGGCCGACTCTGGTTGGCTGACCCTGCCCCCCAGACGGGACGGGAGAGTGAATGTTTGCAGCTCCATCATACAGTGACACACCATCTCCGTGTCATCCTTTCTGGGCAGAAAAGTCACCTCTACAGTCATGGCTTCTCTCAGCTTGAACGTTTTTCTTACCAAGTCAGAACACTCCCACTTATCTAACGGGCGATCGTGAAGGCGGGCAGCATGTGGCAATCAAACAGAAGGAGCAGCTATGCACACTGCTGGCACCGCCCACTCTGTCACAGGCAAGTCTAGAAGCCGCACTGAACTTGGCCACCAGAGGAACTCGGTCTTTAACGGCCTCCGCTCCTGCATTCCTAGTCCACACCTCTGCCTTTGCAGGCCCAACTTCCGTCTTCCACTAGCACCCCTTTCTTTCCCCCATCCACCCCCAACGCCCCAATCACCACCGCCACCCTCGCAACAGCACAAACGACGGTCACGGTGGAGAAAACCAAACGGAAAGACTATGCCATCGGAGCCATTATTTCACTTCTCCAATCCTCAGGGTCCACGTCTGTGGTGTGGGGTAAAGCACAGCCCACAGAATTAAATGAACTAACACATGTCTCATGCCACATCGCCACATGTATGCCGAGATGCTCAGGGACACTTCAACCAATTCCCAGAGGAGCTGCTGGCACTTTATTTTATAACCCTCACCCAAGGATATATGGAAAGAAAGGAAAGAAAGAGAGAGAGAGAGAGAGAGAGAGAGAGAGAGAGAGAGAGAGAGAGACAGACACTGATGAGTCTCCCGTAAGTGCCCCAACTGGAGATTGAACCTACAACCTTTTCACAAATGGGGATAATGCTCTCACCAGCGGACCTGCTGGGCCAGGATGCTGCGGGTGTTTTAGAGGACTGAGCAAGACAGGCCAGAAACGACCTGGAGCCCTCACCAGTCTCCCCGGGCTGGCCAACCTCCCGTGTCCCTCCCCGGCACCAGTGGGGTCCCCTGGTCTGGCCTGCACCCCCTCACAATCCAGGACCCCTCAGGGGATGTTGGAGAGCTGGTTTCGGCCCAACAGCGGAATGCCCGGTTGCTATGATGCACACTGACCACCAGGGGGAGCACCACTTGGCCAGAAGTCAGGCTCATGGCTGGCAAGCGCAGCGCAGGTGGCAGGAGCCTCCCCCGCCTCCATGGCAGCTCTAGGGATGTCTGACTGCCGGTCATCCCCGAGGGCTCCTGGACCATGAGAGGGCGCAGGCTGGGCTGAGGAATTTTGTGCACCGGGCCTCTCGTTTATTATTAATTTCAGAGAGGAAGAGAGGGAGAGAGAAAAACATCAATGATGAGAGATAATAATTGATTGCTTGCCATCTGCACACCCCACACTGAGGTTGAGCCTGCAACCCAGGCCTCTGTCCTAACTAGGAATTGAATGGTGACCACCTGGTTCAAAGGGCGATGCTCAACCACTGAGCCACACCAACTGGGCAAAGAATAGAGAGAATGTTGCATGCCTGTCAACTTTGTTGTCTAGTTTAGGTTCGTCTTTTATATATATATATTATTTATTTTTTACAGAGAGGAAGGGAGAGGGATAGAGTTAGAAATATCGATGAGAGAGAAACATCGATCAGCTGCCTCCTGCACACCCCCCACCGGGGATGTGCCCGCAACCAAGATACATGCCCTTGACCGGAATTGAACCTGGGACGTCTCAGTCCGAAGGCTGACGCTCTATCCACGGAGCCAAACCGGTTTCGGCTAGTTTAGATTCGTCTTGTTCCCTTTGCCACTTCTTGACTAACCATGTATTCTGCAAGTATGAGTGAAACTGTACTAACGCCAGGGGGACAAGATTTCCCAGACACAGCCTTTCCTCCGAGCGGCACCCACACAGACGCCCACGCTCCATGTGGCTGCCGGCGCCCGCTGAGAGCACTGTGGGAGCGGCAGCCTCTGTTTAAGCTGTGGCTCCAGAAAGCTCCCTACTGGCCCCGTAACAACAAAACGCACTGTAATTCCGGAAACGTGATTATTTTCATAAAAATTGCAAGCTAAAGTTGTCTGTCCTGTTATCTATCATAGAAAGGCCTGTGTAAACTATGCTCAGAAATTGCCATCCCACCCTCCCTGGCCCGTGTGGCTCAGTGGGTGAGTGTGGGCCCATGAACCAGGAGTTCACGGTTCCACTCCCAGTCAGGGCACACGCCAGGCTTTCAGGTTCAATCTCCAGTAGGGCGTGGACAGGGGGCCACCAACGGATGTTTCTCCCTCTCCCTACGTCAATACAATACATTTTAAAATAATTACCATCCCAACCCGATTCTATCGGGATTGGGGGGTGGGCTGGAGTCCAGGTCCCATCCTTGGGAAGCCGGCCCAGGTGAGTGTAATGCACACCCAGGCCACTGATACGGTCTGAGCTGCAGGACTCACTCTCGCGCTCACGCTGGGGCCGGCCGATACAGACAGAGGCCAGGCTGCGATAGGGACACCTGGCCCAGAGGATCCCGGTCTGAGAGGAGCTCAGTGTGTCTCCCGACAGCCATCTCTGACATGTGCTCGTAACGTGGAAGACAGCATTTCATGCGGGTGTCTCTGGCATGACCACTGCTGCCATAACCCAAGAGAAGGCAGTGACTGCCAATAGCCATTGCCACGGTAATTAGTTTCCTCAGCTTCGCTCAGAAAAGCAGGGCAACTAGAGCCTCCGGAACACACCAGCTTTGGGTACATGAAGCCCGATTCCTGCTGGCGGCCATCCCCGTCTACTTTCAAGAAGAATACCTCACCCAAGTATGCAGAGACCAGCAACACCAGCATGTACCAGTAAAAAGCGGTCATCCCGGGGTACAGGCCGAGTTCTACAAAACGAAGGGAAGGAAGACAGAGCAGTGAGTGGCAGGGGTGAGGGCAGAGCCTGGGGAAGGCGGAAGAGCCGGCACTGGAAGGAGGAGAGGGCATCCTCGCAGTCAGGAGAGCGGGCGGAGCCAGGAACGGCAGGATGGTGCTGGCGGCAGCCTGGCACCGGGGAAGCACGAGGAAATGCCAGCGTTTCCTTAACGGAGATCGACAGGGCCAGACGGGAGGGAGGGCCAATGGCGGGAGCCTGGTCTGGCGTGAGGGAAGAGGGGAACCCTCCTGTTTAATATTAAAAGGTGTTAGGAGTCTCCGGGCGGGTGGGTGGGCGGGCGGGCGCACTGAGCTTCGGGCCGGGCACCGCGGCTCTTTAACGCGGTGGCTTGTGAAGGGAGCTCCGAGGCGCAGCACTGACCTCGGCAGCACTCCACACTCAATGTCAACTTAACTTTCTAAGTCAAGTGACTTACAAAGAGGTCTGTTAGCTCTTCAACATCAAAAGCTTATAATAGGAAAACAGAGCATACCCAAGAGATTATACATCCATTACAGAGAGGCAATATTCAAGCTTTATTTTTTTCTCCTGGAAGAATTACTTACGTAGTCTAAATCTAATACAAGAAGTAGAATTGATAAATAATTAAGATAGTATTTCTATATCCTTCCTCCTTAGAATATCAATGCCAAATGGATGGTTGGGGATTTTTTAAAAATAGTTTTTTGGCAAAAGGAGAGCTGGAGGTTTGGTCACCCTCAGAGGTCCCTGACCTGGGAGGAAAGGACAGCGTAACTGATAGCCACAGGTAATGCGTGCTGGGAGCTGAATGTCTGGATTCATTACCAGCACAATTAAAGAAACGTTTGAATTTAGATAAATTAGAAAAATCAGGTAATGCCATCAAAAACACAAACCGCTAAAAAATGTTTCACATGCTAAGCCAAACATTTCCCCCAAATATTTTAAATTAAGAACTCATAAAAAAAAAAACCCTCATCAGTATAATTATACTTGTAGTAGGAAACAATATGCTATGCAAATTAATATTATAGCAAGTTAAGTTTGGTGTGTCTAAGTATAAAAAGCAATCTGAGTAACGTAAGCCCATACTGAGTATAACCCATATTGTTACTTGTTTCTTAGAACACATAGTCCCTTCCTGCTATATGTCTCTACGTAGCAAAAACATAATAAAGGATAACCAGTTATCACTAGAGCATTCTTAAAAACACAATCACATTTCAAATAACCCCAAACTGAACTTATTTGCCCAAATCTTATATTAAGACAATATTCAAATTAATTTTTATTTTTAATTTCACAAATTTGCCCACAAAACAACCCAAAACATATTAATCTACTTAAAAAAAAAATCCTCACACAAGAATATTTTTAATTGATTTTTAGAGAGGAGGGGGGAGGGAGGAAGAGAGAGAGAGAGAGAGAGAGAGAGAAAGAGAAACATCCATGTAAGAGAAGTATCAACTGGCTGCCTCCTGTACGCCCCCCAGTGGGGATCAAACCTGCCCCCTAGTTATGTTCTCTGACTGGGAATAGATCCTGAAAGAAATGCTTAGGGGTAGGGACCAGGCTCCAACCAACGGAACCACCGGGCCAGAGCAGAACCTAATATTGTTTATGTGGGATATGGTAGTCCTTTTCTTTAAAAGAGCCCATCAAAATAACTTTCAAATAACATGAAACCAATCGTTTATTCCACATGAAATTTTAAAAAGTGCTTACAATTCTCTAAATGAAAATACAGTAAGGTCCTCTCCATAAGACACTCCAAAACTACTAAATAAATAGTCCTAACAGTCCACGACTACAATTGAGCTGTAAGAACGTCTGTCCATCACAGAAAAAAATGGGAAGCAAGCCATTCACGTCGTGGGATGTGGGCTGTGGTACTCACGCAGCAATATTTCCCTGAAGGAAGGATTCACTTTTCAAAGCAGCAGGAACCGCCACTAAAGCAAAACCTGTACCCGAGGTCTCATCAGCCCCCCCAAGCCCTGCCGCAGGGAGGAAAAGCCTGGGGAGAAGGGGGGGGGGGCCGAGACCGCTGGGCCTGAGGATCCCCGCAGCCCAGCCGGCAGCCCGGACTCACAGAGCACGGCCACCGCCCCGGACTCGAACAGCAGGCACTCCTCCCGGTGCCGGGTCTCCACCATGAGGCTGAAGGGCAGGGGGTCCAGCTTGTGGTAGACCCGGAACCCCTTGCTGAACGCCATCCTGTCCGAGGGCAGCCTGTGGGGGAGCAGAGCAGAGGTGGCGCCGGTCCCTCCCGCCGCTGGTGTCTCCCCCCCCCCCCCCCCGGAGCCGTCCCCTTCCCGGAGCCCGTCCCCCTCCCACGGAGCCCGTCCCCACCACCGGAGCCCGTCCCCCCCCCCCGGAGCCCGTCCCCCCCCCGGAGCCGCCCCCCCCCCGGAGCCCGTCCCCCCCCCCGGAGCCGTCCCCTTCCCGGAGCCCGTCCCCTCCCCCCGGAGCCGTCCCCTCCCCCCGGAGCCGTCCCCCCCCCGGAGCCCGTCCCCCTCCCCCGGAGCCGTCCCCTTCCCCGGAGCCGGTCCCCCCCCCCCGAGCCGGTCCCCCCCCCCCCGGAGCCGGTCCCAGTCCCCCCGGAGCCGGTCCCCCTCCCCCGGAGCCGTCCCCTTCCCCGGAGCCGGTCCCCCTCCCCCGGAGCCGGTCCCAGTCCCCCCGGAGCCGGTCCCCCCCCCCCGGAGCCGGTCCCCCCCCCCCCCGGAGCCGGTCCCAGTCCCCCCGGAGCCGGTCCCAGTCCCCCTCCCCCGCAGCAGGTTCCCCGGAGCCGGTCTCCTCCCCCGCAGCCTGTCCCTCTTCCCCCGCAGCCCGCCCCCCGTCAGTCCGCTCCCCGCAGCCCGCACCACCCCCGCCGGTCCCCCTCTCCTCCCCGGCGGCCGGCGCCCAGAGGCCTCCGCGGGCGGGCGGAGGGGCTCGGGCCGCGGGGGGGCTCCCAGCGCCTCGCTCCGGGGCCGCCGCGGGGAGGCCGGCTCGGAAGCTGGAACCAGCCCGGCCGGGCGGGAGGCCGGACGGAGGGCGCACCCCCGCGGCGGGGAGGGGACCCCGCGGGGCTCCAGCCCCGGCCCCGGCCCCCGGCTGCGGGCTGCGGGCTGCGGGCTGCGGGGAGCCAGGACGCGGGCGCAGACCTGCCGGCTCCTCCCGGTCCTGTGCGGCCGCGGCCCGGGCGCCGAGCAGCCGGCGCGTCCACCGCCTCAACCCGGTCCGCCCGCGGCGCTGACAGCGCTGTCAGCACAGCCGCGCCGCCCCCGCCCTCAGCCCCGCCGTGGGCGCCGCGGACACCGCCCGGGAAGGCCGCCCGCGTCAGGACGTGCCTCAGCCGCCGCCGCCTCACCTCCGCCCGGATCCCCGCCGCCGCCGCCTCCGCCCGCCGCCGCCGCCGGAAGCGTCACTTCCGCCCAGCAGCCCCGCGCTTCCGCATTGCACCGCGGGGGCGGGGCCAGGGGCGGGCGTCCGGAGGCCACGCCCACTCAGCGCGCCCAGCTACGGGGCGCCGGGCGCGGGGTGGGGCCAGGCGGGGCGGGGCGTCCACAGGCCACGCCCACTCGGGCGCCTGCTGCGGGCGCGGGGCGGGCCTGGGGGGCTGGGAGCCGCCCCGCGCGCAGCGGGCGTTGCTCGGCGGGCTCCGCGGCCGCAGCGCAGGTCCCGCAGCCCGGGTGCCGGGGTGCCGGGCAGTCGGCCTCCCCAGCCCCGAGGGGCGCCCCCGGGTGCCGGGGCTCGGGAAGGGCCTGCGGGCTGGGTGCGGACACGTGCGCCGAGGTGCCAGCACCGCCCCTGTCCCCCGCGCCCCGGCGAGGGGACAACGAGGGGCCGGCCGCAGGCGGCGCCTGGGAGCTGTCCATGGTGTCGCTGAGCGTCCGGAGGCGGAAGGAAGAAGCCCCTTTGTAACTGGGGGGCTCGGGCGGTCAGCTGCGCCCCTGGAAAGCCGTCCCCGGTGACCCGGCTATCGCCCCGGATGGCACTGAGGCCCGGCGGCTGTCATGGTCACCGAGTGGGTGGCCAGCAGCTTCTGGCTGTGGAACCCCGGACCTAAGGCCCCTTTCCCAGCAAACCCTGCTCCCGGCCAAGGGCGGTGTCCTAGGGCTCTCCGTTGCTTCCTCCTCAGAGATCTAAATACGGAAATGAAGTCAACACCAGCACCCCGAACGGAATTGAAAACCTCAAACCAGCACCCTGGGGAAGTCTTCCCTGGCCGTTGCTCTTTCTCCCCCTTCCTGCTTCCCTGGGGGCAGCACCAGCAGAATCAGATCCGCAGAGCACACAGAATCACTTCCCGCCAGGCCTGCCAGGCTGCACTTACCCTTTCCCATCCATTTTGGAGAAGCTGACCCACCCAGGTCCCAGGATCTGAGTGGCCGTCACTCACTAGAAAAGAGGCCACTTCTTTCCCAGGAGATGCAAACACACACACACACGCGCACACACACGCACACACACACTCACACACGCAGGGACTTAGTCCTGAGAAGGAAGGGCATGGCTCAGTGCTGTCTGAGAGGACTGAACAGGCCCCTCGCCTTCCTGTTTATCAGAAGCACCTGGTGATCTCCCCGAGCTTGCTGGCGCCTCTGACTCAAACAGCCCCTCTGTTCAAAGCGCAGGACCAGAGCAGCTGCTCTCAAGACTGCGTTCTCGCACCCACCACTTCCCCGCTAAGGGACAATTTTCACAACTCGGGGGATTTCACACCAGAGTCTCCGGTTAAAGTTCCCTTCCCTCCTCTTCAAACAAGCCTCTTTGAACTCGTTACAGCTGTCACTGCAAGCAGGTCGCATAGGCCAGGAGCAGATACTGATAAGACACCTCCCAAGTCCCCCTCCCATCCTTATCACCTAGAAACTGCAGCCTGCGCCCTTAGGGCGGGCCAGTGTTTATTCCCCTCCCCCCCCCCCCCCCCTGGTATTAATCAGCAACGCACCAGCCCTTTCCCTTTCGGGAAAGTAAAACAAACTTTCTCTGCCTCGCTCTCCTCTCTCAGTCATGCATTCTTTTTTTTTTTTTTTTATTAAATTATTATCTGTGTACATATTTTAAGAATGCCCCCCTCCCATTCATATCCTCCCTCCCCAGAGTTTTGTGTCCATTGGTTGTACTTATATAGTCATGCATTCTTTCACAGCTCCACTCACCGTCAAAACCCTAACACGATTTCCTTAGAAAAATGATTTGCTCTTTGTAGTGGCTGCTGACAGCAGCCTCAGCTAACTAGATCTGCCGAAACCGGTTTGGCTCAATGAATAGAGCGTCGGCTTGGGGACTGAGAGGTCCCGGGTTCGATTCCGGTCAAGGGCATGTACCTTGGTTGTGGGCATATCCCCGGTAGGGGGTGTGCAAGAGGCAGCTGATCGATGACTCTCTCTCATTGATGTTTCTAGCTTTCTATCTCTCTCCCTTCCTCTCTGTACAAAATCAATAAAAACATATTAAAAAAAAAAAAAAAAAAAAAGAGAATCTACTGATCCGTGAGAGGTGTTCTTTCCAGGAGAATCCTTTACAGTCAGAGATTGCATTTTCTAGAGAAAACTACATGGGAGTGGGTGAGGACGGAATTTTACTTGTTCAAATTAAAATATGTGTGTGTGGTATGTGTGTGTCCTACAATGGACAGAAGCTCAGTTTTTCCAGACCCTTTCAAAACTGATCAATCTAGTCATGAAATAAGCGCATGCCCAAGGTTTGAAAACACAAGGGCCACTTTTACTGGTGAATTTCACAAACTGTCATTTCTTCTCTTTTCTCGTGCCCTTTCCCTGTTCATACTTCCTTGTTCTTGTCACGCTGGCAAACAGGACAAATGTTCGCCCAATCTGGGGAATGCCTTTGGGGTGGGCTGGCAGATGCAGTGAAGCGGCCCTGGGAGCCTGCGGTGGGCTGGTACTTCCTGACGCTTGAAGCACCCCAGGCAGGTGGTACCGACACCAGCTTCAACAGCCTCAAGGAATTGAAAGCAAACACCTGACTTACAGATGTTGAGTTTTGACCAAGTTATTTCTCCACTGGGCAAATTCTATCGCGTTGAAAGATGAAATTGCCATTTCTGTAAGTCAAAAATAGCCCAATCTAATAGTCTGACCCCAGTAAACTACAGCTAGGATTAATAATTTAGGAATTACTAATGATTATCCAAACAATGACACAAAAACTATGTCACAAGATTGTGAATTTTGGCAGGTGTTTGCTGTTTACCTTTTCCTTACAGCCTGCATTTTCTCATCTAAAATGCTAGAGCCGTGGTTGGCAAACTGCAGCTCATGAGCCACATGTGGCTCTTCCACAAAATACCACGGCCTGGGTGAGTCTCTTTTGAAGAAGTGGGGTTAAAAGTTTAAGTTTAAAAAATTCGGCTCTCAAAAGAAATTCCAATCGTTGTACTGTTGGTATTTGGCTCTGCCGACTACTGAGTTTGCCGACCACTGGCTAGAGGATGTTTGGCAAATTGAACATTAACAGTCTGATTCGATGACCGCTGCCAGCTTTAGTCACAGGTGGGAGCTGACGTTGATGTGGGCTCTGCGGACCATCAGCGCACAGAGGGAGGCTCCTCGTTAGAAGTGCAGGATGCGGCCCTTCGCCCGGCGGGCGCCTCTGGAGTTTGGAATCTAAAGTCACAGGCATAGGGAAGCTCCTGTGGTCAGTGTTTCTATAAGCAGCCTAAAATAGCTTCTATAGGCTGTCATGTGCTTTGAATCACCAAGTAGAGGATACAAGGTATATTTTCCAACAGATCTTTTTCACTGGACCACAGTGAGTCCTCTGAGCAAGGCTGTGCTAGCCATCGTGGTGCTGGATGATTCTATTTTTTTTTTAAATATGTTTTTATTGATTTTGTACAGAGGGGAAGGGAGAGAGATAGAGAGCTAGAAACATCAATGAGAGAGAGTCATCGATCAGCTGCCTCTTGCACACCCCCTACCGGGGATATGCCCACAACCAAGGTACATGCCCTTGACCGGAATCGAACCCGGGACCTTTCAGTCCCCAAGCCGACGCTCTATTCATTGAGCCAAACCGGTTTCGGCTGGATGATTCTATTTTTTAAAAACAGCCGGGACCGGTTTGGCTCAGTGGATAGAGCGTCAGCTTGGGGACTGAAGGGTCCCGGGTTCGATTCCGGTCAAGGGCATGTACCTTGGTTGTGGGCACATCTCCGGCAGGGGGTGTGCAAGAGGCAGCTGATCGATGACTCTCTCTCATCGATGTTTCTAACTCTCTATCTCTCTCCCTTCTTCTCTGTACAAAATCAATAAAATATATTTTAAAAAAATAAATAAAAACATATATTGCGCTGGCAGGTTTGGCTCAGTGGATAGAGCACCGGCCTGCAGACTGAAAGGTCCCAGATTTGATTCCAGTCAAGGGCACATGCCCAGGATTGTGGGCTCAATCCCTAGTGGGTGGCATGCAGGAGGCAGCTAATCAATGATTCCCTCTCATCATTGATGTTTCTGTCTCTCCCTCTCCCTTCCTCTCTGAACTCATTATCATATATATATATTTGGCATTCAAGTTAGAAACATCAATAATGAAAATCATTGATCAGCTGCCTCCTGCATATCCTGCACTGAGGACTGAGCCTGCAACCCGGGCATGTGCCTCAACCCAGGCTGTGGGTGAGAGACAGACGCAAGGATCATGATGCGCCATCATCTAAGACATCCTCTGCATCGCATTCCACGGATGCTACACACACATGTTCTCATTGTCCTGCTTTTCAGTATGCCGCTAGGGCAGAGCAAAAAACATGCAGGTGTCAGCCGTGTTCCCGCAGGAAACACAAACGTCACCGAGCAGTTAGCAGGTGGCACTGTCCTACATGCTATCCGAGCAGACCTGGCACACACGCCAACAGTCTTCCTACCGGAACTCACCTGACATGCTCCAACTGAAGTTAGTCCCCAGCAAATACGACAAAGGACATAAGTGAAAATTAATTTAATGCTTGGCTAAAGCTTAATTACATAGATCATTATCAAACAATAGTCCTTAATTTCTAAAAAGTTCCTCTTTTGAAAACCACAGGATCAGAAAGCATAAACTTTAACAAGTCCCTGGGTATTTACTCTGCGTATAAACAGTATAGAAGACCATGGGTATTCAGTTGCCTGGGTGTGTGGCCAACCAGCAAGGCATATTATTTATTGCATATATAACTCACATATGTGGGATTTAAAATGACAGATACCAAATTCAAATGCATGTATTTGTAAGCCGGTTAAAGAGTAAAATCATGAATGAGCCAGGATAGTCAGCCCCAAACCATGCAGGTAGGTTGTGGGTTTATTCTTTTAAGAATTAAACTTCCATGTTCTTTTGAAAACCCTAAGTTGCATGTTGAGTTCTATGAAGCCCAAGTTGGACACAGAGCCGACGTGGGAGGAGCTCACCGCAGCCCCGGATCAGGCCACACCGACCTCACAGAGGCAGCCGGCAGCCACCGCGCCGCTACCCAACGGGAGGACCCTGAGCACTGCCAGCCCTTTGCTGCGACAGCGACTTCCCAAGACCATTTGCTGCGAAGTAACTTCCTGCCGTTAAAAGGCTTACTCTGTAGAAAAACACCACAATTTCCAGTGTGAAAGGACCTCCATGGTGGTATAAATATCTATATGCATTAATTACACAATTTACACCGCACACATTGTTTACAGAGAATAGTTAGCTGAGATGGTTAATTGGAATAACCATATAAAATACTTCTGTAAACAAAGTATGACAGGCAACAAGGAAAACATTCATAAAACTTCCTAGAAATAATCGCAACTCCTTTCATTCTGAAGAAATCGCATTTAAGGACACAGTATTGGATATTAATAATGTTCTTTGTATTAAAACCAGAGTCGCTATTTTACAGTAAGAAACTTTACATATATACAGTCTGTACAGGAGGAATGGAATACAGCACGGGGAGCATCCGGGGTCAGGCTGGCTTCCCCTCCACCAGGGACTTGAACTCCTTCACATTGTGTTCGCCGGCGACAGCAGCCGCGTGGTCCAGTGCGTGGACACTCGCAAGGAGCTTGATTATCTGTTTGATGTTTTCCCTAAAAGAGGAGAAAATGTGGTAGCATCCCATTAATTAGTGCAAAAGCCCTGAAGGGAAAACTGGTTAACTGCATGACCTTTTTTTTAGGTTTTACAATCAGTTTTTCCAAGAATACATTTTTTAAAGCAAAATAAATAAGAAGCTACAGCATATTTAAATTACCCATAAAAAAACCCCAAACCCTAAAATTTCATGTAGATCAGGGATTTTCATTCCTGCCCAGAATGAAAAAGCAGCCATCTACTTCCCAATTGCTCAGGGCCGCGCCCTGTTCCTCCACCAGCTGCTCTCAGAACACTGGAACCCGGGCTATTTGCCCACTCATCACTGTCATGAGACCAGCACCATCCCCAGGCTCCGGGACCGCTGGCTCCTCAGCATCCTGGCTGGAAGCCATCCTGCCTTCTCGCACATTTTGGCCAACGCAGAAACACTTGTGATGGGGAACAGTCCTGGCCCCTCCCGGAGCTGACTCAGCAGGTGGGCGGCCCAAGACCCTGCATTTCTGACTCGGCTCCGGAGGGCAGCTGGTGCTGCTGGCCCAGGGACTGCACTCTGACATGGCTGTTTTAACAGTCAGAACCACTTCTGAGTGGGTCACACAAGTGACACTAGCGCTGTCTCTTCTTTACAGAATTGTAGGAAGAACCTTCCAGCAGAGGACGGACATTTGTGAAACGCCACCAGGTGGAGCGCATTGTATGTGCACTGTGCCCGGCAGGTGCAGAGACTGTTCTGTGCATAAGCCAACGCGATGATGTTTCACTCCAGACAAACACAGTGTCAACAAGTGGACCCAGCTCAACCAGCTGGCTCAGTGGTTGGATGTCGACTCATGAACCAGGTCACGGTTCGATTCCCAGTCAAGGCACAGGCCTGGGTTTTGAGCTTGATCTCCAGAGGGGGGTGTGCAGGAGGCAGCCAATCCACGATTCTTTCTTCTCCCTGATGTTTTTATCACTCTCCTCCCACTCCCTTCCTCTCTGAAATCAATTTAAGTAGACAATTCACTAAGAAAATGGAACGCCGTGAGAAGAAATATTAGTGCTAATAACCACCAACACACAAAATGGAATTAAGATATAAAGCAAAATTACCTGCCAGTGAATTTTAACGTGAAAATCTTTACTACCTACTTTGCCTTAAAATCTTATTTTTATTTTTATTGATTTTTAGAGAGAGGAAGGAAGAGAAACATTGATTGATTGCCTCCTGCACGCCCCCTAACTGGGGATTGAGCCCAAAACCTGGGACAACACTGAACCAGCTGAGCCACACCTACTTTGCTTTTAATTTTATCTTAAAATATAGCAAAAGTTCTCTTTGGAAAATAAGGTTCTTTTTTTCCTTTTACAACCTTTGATAAAATTAACGTGTCAGCTGCTCCCCAAAACTCTCGAGTGATGATGACCTTGTGTTAGGGGTATAGAAGCCTTTTCTTTCTTTCTTCTTCTTCTTTTTTTAAATATCATTTATTGAGTTTTTACAGAGAGGAAGAAAGATAGAAAGCTAGAAACATCGATGAGAGAGAAACATCGATCAGCTGCCTCTTGCACACCCTCTGCTGGGGATGTGCCCGCAACCAAGGTACATGCCTGTGACCGGAATCGAACCTGGGACCTTTTATTTTATTTTATTCTTTATTTTATTTTTAAAAATATATATATTTTATTGTTTTTTTACAGAGAGGGAGAGGGATAGAGAGTCAGAAACATTGATGAGAGAGAATCATCGATCAGCTGCCTCCTGCACACCCACCCCTGAGGATGTGCCCGCAACCAAGGCACATGCCCTTGACTGGAATGGGACCCTTGAGTCCGCAAGCCGACGCTCTATCCACTGAGCCAAACCAGTTTCGGCCGAACCTGGGACCTTTTAGACCCAGGCTGACGCTCTATGCACTGAGCCAAACCGGTTTTGGCTAGAAGCCTTTTCTTTATGCCTTCATAAAACATCCTGTTGAAAAAGATTAGGTAAAACCACAGAAATAGAAAAAAAATGTGTACTTTTGGAATGTTTACTAAGACCAAGTCAATGTACAGTTTAAAGTAAAATATAAGCATGTCTTAAACCATTTTCTAATACTGAATCTAACAATTTAGTAAAAATGAGGTCACCATTTCATTAAATAATCACAACTAATTACCTTGCATTTCTTTTTTCCACATCAGAGCATCCGATGCTGTTTCTATAAACTGTATCTGCCAAGTGTACGAGGTATCGACAGAAGTTTTCTAACTGAGAAATAGTTCTTTCTCCTTTCAGGTTCACGAACCATTGCTTGGGGAAACAATTGATTACCTACGGAGAAGATGCAAAAGGAAACAGAGTCTAAAGAACTAGAAGACTTGCTATGGGCTCAGGTACACATCAGTTACATAACTAATAACCTTGAAGGGATATTCTTTCAATCTACAGTAACTATTATCATTGTCCTTAATGTACCTGAGTTTTTTTTACTTCAACACATAGCAAAAGGTACTCAAAGCCAAAGGCAAATGACTGGCCAATAGTTAATACGTTAGGGATATAACATTGATAACCAAAGGTTTTATTTACTCTCTCCAGTCTTCCGGAAGCCCTGACTGGCTGGAATGCTCCTTTAGCCGCAGCTTTTGGTTTAAAACCAGTGCAGCATAAAAACACCGCAGGGAGTTCGAAAGAGCCTTCGCGAGGTGAGGACACTGCAGCAGCACACACCCAGGCGAGGGCAGCCGAGTCCCGCGTGGAAGGACAGCCCTCCCAGGGAGTCAGGCGTGCAGACAGGAGGCCGAGCCCCAGAGAAGCAGGGGTGCTTGGGGAGATGACCCCAGGGCTGGCCTGGGCCTGGCCCAGATGGGCCCGAGCAGCATGGGCCAGAAGGCAAGACCGTGTCCTCCAAAGTGAGAGGACGTGTCCCAAGGCCACGGAAGCCCACCTGCAGGGACTGTCTCTGGTGCAATCTGGGAGAGTTGTTGGCAAGGAGGCAGAACCTGGATCTCATGGGAAATTATCCAACAGAAGAACCGGCCTGTCATCTCAAAAAATGTCCAGGTGACGAAGGCCAGGACGAGACTGAGGACTCCCCAGGTTAAAGGAGACGGAGAGACGGTCAATGCCTCCCCTCACCTCTGGCCCTGGGGCAGAGGGTGTCCGGCAGGCACGCCGCTCCTGGTGCGGAGGCTGCGGCAGCCCGGGGCAGAGCACCCACGCTCACAGGAGACAGAGCACACGAGCACAGCCTCAGACAGACCCTGACGCTGTCCCGGAAAAACTCCCTTAGCAAAGCTGCCTTAATTTTGTGATTGTTTCAAAAAATATTTTTTAAAAGAACAAATTAGGGAACTCCGTATAAAGTAGGAAACAAAACAGTATTTCTAAAAAATCATATCTTAAGTTAGAAAATGAATATTTCTTTAGTAACATTCAAAATAGCATTCATTCAACTGTTAAAAAATTACCCTGACATTAAAACTTCTATTAATAGCTGCAAATTTAGTGATATACATAGATGAGGAGATAGAAATACAAATGTACAATAATACACATTTTGTGCAAAAAATGCAGTGTTAGTTTGTTTGAAACTACCTAGGTCAGACCTCACACTAAGTCCAAAAATCAAAGGGCTTTTTGTAAAATCTCAAATTTCTCTTCAAACAAAGAAAGCAATTCATGTTAATGTATGTGCCTTGGAAACAACAATATGTGTCATTTAACTCACGTTTTGGGCTTTTTTTATGCTGTCATCTCCATATTCTGAGTTCTGAAAAGCCATGAGAATATACCTATTTAATAAGCCATCTATCGATAACTCCTGGAGAGTTTTATTGGAGAAAATGCCATACCATTGGAGAAAATTCCCTAAGAGCTAGAAAGAAGAAAAAAACAGTGAGGGCAATATCAAGAGATTCAATTAAGTACAAATAAGTTAATTACTAGTCAAATAAGACACCATACTTACAAGAGTACTGACAAGCACTTTTATAGGCCCAAATACTTCCCAGTACAACCCAACATTTCAATTTTTATTTTTAATTAATTGAGGCGTCACCCTTTCTGACTGCTACACTTGTGTTTGCCGGATCTCGGCAGGCTGGCCTGAGCGAGGTCACCGGGCAGCTCCAGCCCCTCCAGCTCCGCACGTGTGACCCAGCGCAGCCCTGCCATCCTGTGCCATCCCCGGTCATGTCTGGTTGCCAGCGTCTCTCACTCCGTGAGCAGTAACATATCCAACCAGCCGGTGTAGCAGCAGCCAGGATGTCGTTCTTGAGCTCTCCCCCAAGGTGGTGTGACCCAGCTGTACCGTCTACCTGTCTCTCAGCTCCCTCTGTGCCTCCCATGCTGGGCCCTCCCTCCTATCACTCCGGAGGGCAGGAGCCCGGTCAGCCTGGCTCAGCAGGGCACTCAGCGGCGGGCTGATGACTTTCCCGGGATGGTGCCCGGCTAGTGCCATTCCAGATGTGAACGGAAGGAGGCCGGAGGGCAGCGGGATTCCTTCCCCCGGCCGCTGAGAAAGCTGCTGGCAGAGCAGCAGGGCCGCAGCTGGACCCTCATCCACCGGACCCAGCTCACTGCCCGCAGCATCGCCGTCACGGGCCATGAGGACCAGCAGGATAACCTACATAAGAGTGGCCCAGCCAAAACTGCTGTGGCTCAGTGGATAGAGCATGGCCCTGAGGACTGAAAGGTCCCAGGTTCGGTTCCGGTCAAGGCCATGTACCTTGGTTGCGGGCACATCCCCAATAGGGGGTGCGCAGGAGGCAGCTGATCGATGATTTCTCTCATTGATGTTTCTAACTCTCTATCCCTCTCTGTAAAAAATCATTAAAAAAAAAGAAAAGAGTGGCCCATTGGCTCACAGTGAACACCCAGTCAACACTCTTTTTCTATTTCCATAATTATTATCCTTCCTGCTCAACCCGTGTCTCCAAAAATCTGTTCATGTCACTCACTTCTCGCTATAAAAACCCTTCTATGACCCCCAGCCCCCACGGTCAATTCCTTTCCACAAAGGTGAAAAGCAATTCAGTAAAGACCAGTTTTTTCAAAACAGTGCTACAACAGATGAACTTCAGACAGGCCTCACACTCTGCATAAGAAGTAATATGTAAATGCAAAACCTAACGCGCGGAACTTTTGGAAGTTCCAGAGAAAAAACGTGGTGGCCTTGGTGGCAAATTCTTCGTGGAACACTGAAAGCACAAACCGCAACAGGAAAAACCAATAAACTGGACTTCGTCAAAACCAAGAATTTCTGCACATTTACACAGCGTTAAGAGAATGAAGACAGTCCTGGCTGAAATGCTCGGTGGTTAGAACATCAGGTTTGATTCCCAGTCAAGAGCATGTGCCTGGGTTGCACTTTAATTCTCCCACCCAGTCTGGGCATGTTTGGGAAGCAACCAATCGATGATTCTCTCTCTCTCCTCTTCCCACTTCCCTTCCACTTTATCTAAAAAGCAACAGAAAAATGTCTTCAAGTGAGGATTAAACAAACAAACAAACAAACAAAATAAAACAATAAAAAAAGACAGATTACAAAAAAAAAGAAAAACCCTTTGCAAATCCTTTATTCGATAAAGGACTTACTTTATACCTTACTATATAAGGTATATCTAGAATATAGAATCAAAGCTCAATAATAAAACCCAATTTTAAAAAAATGGGCGGAAGGTGTGAACAGATACTTCAGCAAACTACACAGAGATGGCCATTACGCACTTCACATGCTCAGCACCTCCAGTCATTAGGGAGGTGCAAACGAAACCGTAGGAGATGCACTATCCCCCAACAGGACTTGGAACACAGCCGGCCAAACCGCTGGCAGTGGCCAGTGCACTGTGTGGTGAGTGAGAATGGAGTGCCTGGACCGCTAACACAGTGCTGGTCTGGAGAACAACTGTGCCTGCATTTACCCAGTGAAATGAAACTGATGCCCGGGAAAATCTTACTCTATTATAACCACAAGCCGGAAACAACCCAATCCCCTCCACTGAGGCGCGGATAAAAAACAAAGAAACTGGTGTGTCCACGGAGCAATGGCTACCACTTAGCAGTAAGAAGCAATGACCCACGATAACACGTGACACTGAAAGACTTCAGATGCATGTTAAGCGAATGGAGCCAGACTCAAAGGCTGCTGACTATGTCTGTAATTCCATTCATAAGACATTCCCGCAAAATAAACCATCTCTATATATAAAAGCTTAAGTGACTGTTAGACGGTTAGCTATGATGCGTATGACCACCGTGGGGCAGACGCTCAACGCACAGGCATGGAAACATGGAACTGACTGATGGATCTCAAAGGGAAGTGGGGAGAGGGAAGGCAGGAAGAGATTAACTACAGATTTTATCTGCACACCAGAGGCCTCAGGCACGGATTGGTGCACCGGTGGGGTCCCTCGGCCTGGCCTGCGGGGATCGGGCCAAAGCCAGCAGTCTGACACCCCCCAAGGGGCCCCTATTGTGTGGGGTGCAGGCCAGGCTGAGGGACCGCTCCAGTGGACGAATCGGGCACAGGGCCTCTCGCAGGACCATGAAAGGGAGTGGCCGGGTGCAGGGCGGCTTGATCACAAAGGGCGGGCGTGGGGAATTTCGCGGGACAATGGAGTGTTCTATGTCCTGATCTGGGTAGTGAGCATCTGACTGAATTCATGCATCAGAACCAACAGGACTCTACACGAAGGAGTCAGTGTGACTGTGTGTAGACCAGTTTCCCAGGACTGGGTGCTCCTGCCTCATCCTCCCTCCCTCGAGCTACCCCGACTTCTGTTCTTCCAGTGAGCTTGCCCCTCCCCTTTTCTCCCCTCCCCTCCCCTCCTCTCGGGCCCCCCTCCTGATGCCTCTGGGCTAATAACCCGCCTGTGGCCTCCTCAGGGTGAGAGGGTCTCCGTGCACTGGACCTTCTCCACACCGGAGATGCCTGGTCTCTTTCTCCCCGCTCACCGCCTCCTGGCACCTGATCCCCACGCGCAGTGCCCAGTGCTGCTTTCTGAATAAACTGTGGCTAGCACGGTGTTTTGCTGACTAGCTTGCATCTTACTTCATTGTCTCCTATGGAAACCTGAGTAAACTTTGGGAAGAAAATAATCTTGCAAAATGGAAACTTCGTGTATGTGCACAGATCTAAGCCTGTGGAGCTAACCAAACATAAACATAATTTTCAAGATATAATATACAGTCAGGCAAATCTGAAATCTCTTGGATACCCCATACATACCTTAACTGAAGACCAAAACTGTCGTTGGAAAAACAAGTAAGGCCCCGAGTTTTTATTTTCTAAGACACTGAAAGAGAAACACAGCATGCTCAGTGTTTTACAGACAGCACCGCGATTCCCAGAGAATACTTCTACAGTAAGATGAGTGAGCAAAAGAAGTAACTGAAAACTTTCCAACTACAATAATTTTGAGAAGTAATGGGAATATATTTTGGATTCCAGTTAAGGGACAATGTTCCTCTGAGCTTGTCTCCTTGGCGACAGGCTCCCATCACAGAGGTCAATCGTATTTTAAGCGCCCACTCATCTTTCCAAGTTCCAGAGCCTTCTCAGGAAGGTGACGGAGACTGTCACCATCCTTGACATCCTTAGGAGTTCCTTGTTACTTACTTTTTGGGATATAAGGGCATGAATACATCATCATCCAAAGTTCTCCTCATTCTCAGCAAGAGTGCCTTCAGATACACCTACAGAGGAGCAGACAGATCACACACCGCAGTGAGGGCGGCGATAAGACTCATCAGCCATATTCCAAAACAGAAAAGTACCAACTCAGAGTGGACTCTCTCCTCCATCTCCCCTTTCCTAGCTGAAAGCCCTGAGGCCCCAGCACCCACCCTCCTCTCAGTCGCGCCTCTGCAGCGACAGACAGCAAAGCCCCTCAGGACCCTCCAAGCCTCAGCCTGTGAGCAAAGACTGCGACAGGCACAGGCCCCGCTCGCACTGACGGCCCAGAAGCAGAGCCACGGCCAGAGCGCCTTTTCTGAGCGGACGGCACACCCTGCCGCGGGGACAGCAGCCGCGTGACGTTTGGAAACTGGTTATGAAACAGTGCCGGTGGCTTCACACACTACCGAACATTTTACCACTTAGGTAACCAATTACTACCTATTCCAGCAGTCTTACATTTTTATCTCCCTAAGAATACGCTCTTACAGGGCTGTGTGAATAGTCCCCTGGGAGTTAGGGCGGGGTGGCAAGATGGTGAAAACGGTAAAACTAAGGGTATCTGGACCCATTACCGCACCTTCCAATGCAGATTCTTTAGACTGCGAACTACGATCTCCAAGTTTGTTATTTCAGGCTTTACAGGACCAGATGGCCCAAGCAAACCCTTTCCAGCTGCCTTAGAACATAACCCCATCCTCTCAACTCCCGCTCATCTTCAAGAAGAAAACCAACAAAAACAAAACCAAACCCCTTTCCTTCAGAGAGAGCAGTGAGAGTACCTGTGTGTTTTTGTTTTCTGCGTTCGCTACGGAAGGATATCCATTCACTAACTTTAACGTGATCCCCACCATCCTGGACGTCTGTGTCGTGGAGAAGGGGTCCCACATGCTCTCGGCGATCACTGTGGGGGAGGAGAAGGTGCTCAGACACTAACGCCACTGCAGCGACGGGACCTGATGCTGAGCTCGCCGAGCAGTCCGCTCACACAGGCGGCCCCTCCTCTAGAGCTAAGCTGTCCCTGTCACACACCCGGGGAATGAGGGTGAGGAGGAGCGGAGAGGGGACAGACTCCTCCATTCTCTGCTCACCAGTGAAAATAAATTCGGGGGGAAGATTTCAATACCCTAAAAACACTGTCCCAGCACCAAGAATTTCTAACTAAAAAAGCTGAAACTTACATTTAATACTTTCAATCAGTTCCTGCATCAATTATTTCTAATCTCGTGAGAAACGGCTGAAAGTAGTGAAATTGCTCTCCAGAGGACTGTCAGGCAGTCTCCATCAGCCTCTCACGCTTGGCACTGGATCAGTTACCACCCCAGCTCCCGGCCCCTCCACTCCAACAGAGGCGGGATCTCCGGGAGCGGGCGGCCCGGGGAGCGGGCCCTGCACGGGCGCCGTGAGGAGCGCGAGGCCAGAGCTCACCTGTGAGCTTGGGGAGGATCGCCTTCTCCACGATGGTGGGCAGCAGCGCGATGTCCACGTCCTCTCTCTCCTGCTCGCGCTCTTCACAGCCGTAGAACAGCAGCGACTCAAACCACAGCATGCTCTCAAAGTCCCGGCACTTGGCCTACGGAAGGTTAACACGGTCACCGACACTGCAATGGAGGCTCGTTACAGGAGCAAGACCGGACTTCACGTCAGCCCCAGTGTAACCGGACGGAAGACAGGAAACACGGCTTTCAGACAGCGCGCTCAGGCGGCTGAGGACTAGGCCGGGAAGACGGGCATCGGGTGAGGGGGCTGCAGGCCGGGCAAGGACTCGCTGAGCTCAGGGACAGGGACTGGGTGCAGCGAGGCGGAGCGTGGGGGCTGCGGGCAGAGGAGGGCGCTCCTCTGGGAACTCAATGCCACGGCCGTGCACTGCGGACTCTCACACGTGCCCGTGCGCACAGGGCCTTACAGGCTGTGCTGCGTACTAACGCTCTCACGCATGGGGACACGCCTTAGTCTGGCAAAGAGCGACGGGGCTGTGAGCTGGATCGTTCTGGAGCTCCCCTTTTCCCCCTAATCGTTTATTCTTTTTCACTCCAGTTTAAACGTTCAACCCAACCAATCCCATTCATGCCCATCCGTATTTGGTAACTTCCAAAACCCTATCTTAAACACAACCACCAGACACATGTAGTCAGTCCTCGCCTCCTCTCAGATCCGAGGCCAGCAGCCTACTGCCTCCACCACTGGGTTACCACGGCGCTCAGAGCGCCCTCGAGGAGCGGGGCTGGCAGAGAGGTCCCCGAGGAAGGCCAGCTGCAGCCGGCGCCACCACAGCGTCACGGCGCCCGTCTCCAGCTCTGAGATGAGCATTCCCAGGCCCGGGCACTGGCTTTCAGGCAGTGACGGAGCCACCCACCTCCAGAGGCGTCCAGGTGAGGAGCTGCAGCCGTATGAGGGGGTTGAACAGCTTGGGCAGACAGAGGCCGATGTACGCATCCTTGTAGGACGTGTAGTATCTCGAACGCCAGGCTTCGAACTGGGCTTTGATGCAGTCGATCGAGCAGAAGCTCTCCAGGACATCTTCGAACACCTTGCCGGCCTCCTTTGAGATGCGATCTGACAACCCACCCCCCAGAGAACATGGTGAGTGACAGAGAGCCCAGGCCAATGCCGGCTCATTACCAAGCCTTACTTAGGGAGGGGTCCACAGGGAAGTGTACGTTCACCCCACAGAGCAGGAAGCCTTTCTTTGCCCGGCTCAGTCCGCACCATTTGCTATTACTCGGTTTAATTAAATATCACCTGTCCCCCAACAATTCAGTTCACACTTCAGTCACCACCATAGCGAGTACGTAACCACATAAAGTACCAACTCTGCTGACAGCTCTGCAGTCCACAGATCACTGTCAGACATGCACATCCCACCAGTGACCACCGTGCCGCTTCCTCCAAGTCAGCTGGCGCCTGCCATGCCCACAGACCAGCCGGTGACAGCGCGGAGGCCCTTCCAGGAAAGGCCACATGGCGCTCAGATGGCTTGGGAAAGGACAGTCTTCCCAACGGGCCTCAGTGTGACAACCTACTTCTCAAAACCCACCCAGCACGCCAAGAAGGGGCTCCCTGACACCGGTATGTTATCATGCAACAACAAACAGCACTGTGCATGAAGTATTCTTACCCCGAAAATAATAGTAACTTCTCTAGTCAAGGGCTCAGAACTAAATTCCAGTTTACAAGAAATACAGTGAGGAGAGGAACACGCTAACTCCACGAGCAAACAGACAAATCTAGACGGAGGACATTCTGCTAGACAAGCAGCCTGCTCTTTTCAAAAAGTGAAAGTCTTAGACAAGCACATGGATGACAGGAGTGTGTGTGTGTGTGTGTGTGTGTGTGTGTCAAGTACGGGTGGATATTCATTAATTCTAGAAAAAAGAGCGCTAACCATCAAATGCTGGGCAGGAACCTCGTGTAGATCCTGGTTTGGAAAACACAGAATAACTCACAAAAAAGCTATCAAAATGTTGTGGGTGCTGCTGAGGAGGAAACAGATGCGGGTAGGAAATGCCGGTTCAGTGTCCAGGTGTGAATGGCCTCGTGACTCGGGAACACACACACTTGTTTCTAGGAGACGCACACTGAAGCTTTCAGAGTGTCGGTCAGGATGTCTGTGGGTCACTCAAATGGCTTGGCAAACACCATGCACAGAGCACACCACCCAGGAAGGGTCAGAGCAAACCTGGCGGCCGAGTGGCACGGGACAGGGGTGCAGTAACCACTGTGCTGTCCGCTGAGTTTTCTCTGATGGAAAAGTTCACTACAAACAGTCCCCATGGAGGACTGCAGCTGACATCCACATCATGGCCCACGGGCGGAAGGAACTTCCACTCGGGCCCCTCTGGAAACGCCTGGCGGGCTAACCTCCCTCTTGGTGGGAAATACTCGGGGCTCCCGGGCCCGGGGGTCCCCAGGGCTGCGAGCTCCACTGCCGGGCTCACCTCCATGACAGGCGCCCTTGGACCTGACACTCGGCTGTCACTTAGGCCCTATGGTTCTCAAGTTCAGGTACACTCGCTCTGCAACCCGACAAGGCCCCTGCCCGGGGCTTTGAGGAGCAGGCTGTCATCTTAGACCCCACGAGGGCCCCGCCGGCTGGAGACCTCCCCACGACGCTCACTGCACACACGGGTCACGTGTGCAGTCGGCTCTCAGAGGCCGCGAACCTTCACACTGTCACCCCCAGTGGAAGCCACACCCCAGGACCAAACGACAGGTCTCATTCCCAAACAGACCCACCTTTCTCCAGGTTGAAGTTGGTGATGTCGGTAGACGTCTCCTCGTCGTCACTGGAAAGGCCTTCCAGGTGGTCTGCCATCTTCCCCGTTTGCTCTCTGGCTTGTCGCCGCCGAGTCCTAAACAGCAAACACGGAGTTCAAACCCGAGCAGACCAGAGCGCCGCCTCCCTGCCCGCGCCAGCAGCAGTGCCCGCTGCGGTACCTCCTGGCCTCGCGCTCGGCGATCCGCCGTTTGGCGTGCTCCTGAGACAGGGCCCGATCCCGCCCAAAGGAATCGAGATTTGGTGCCATCAGAGCCTTATCTGCAAAACAGCAATGGCCACAATGAGAACCTTCTCCGACCCCCTGAGGAAAGAGTTTGCACAGAATCAGCCACATGACAGACACTTGCTAATCTCAACAGCAGGATCTGCCGGGCCTGAGGGTCCCCAGATCGCTGCCCAGCCCCCAAACCTCCTATGGCCGTCCTCGCCAAAGGAGCAGCGCGCTAGTTCCACCACCTGCATGAGTGCGCCTGATCCAATCCCTGTTTTTATCCCTAAGTCACAGGAGCTGATGCAATCGTGACGACCACATAAAACATCTACGTTGCCTCTGCAAAGGGCAAACAGACATGTGGAGTGACATGAAATGACAGAAAGAAACACGTGTGGGAGGAGAAAACAGCTTGCTGCAGTTCGATCATGTATTCTGGCTTTGTTGTGCAGCCATGTCTTCTCTGTCACCACTGTCAGAACCAGGGCGAATCAGCGTGTAGACTGGAAACTATCTACCAGGACAACTGCTTCTCACACTCCTCTTTCAAAGCAGTTCCCTTCTTCCCTTCCTTTCCCTATTTTTCACCTCTTTTCTTAACTTCCTAGAGCAACTTTTTAGTGTTAGCTTCCAACCTGCCTGTTTAAATGTATTTCCAGGTACCGTATTTTTAGTTTCCATGAGGCGGTTCTTGTTCTCACAGCTCTTTCCTCAGCACCCTGCCTGCTGTGGGGGAGGCCTTTCCCTGTCCCCCGAGGACACTGCACTGCCTGGGCTCTGTCAGCCACCTCACACAAAGACGGGGTCTGTGGACACGGGGAGCCGACACAGCCATCTCCGCCACATCGCTGGGAGAAACAACCATTTTGTGGGGCCCAAGACAGTCTCAGGGTATTCTCTCCAAACCCAGTCTTTCTCCAGAAAAGAGCCCTCCATCTCTGAGCATCTGGCTGCAATCCCTCCTCCTCTACACTTGAGCTCCGCCTAAGACGACGTCAGCCCTCACACCCCGTCCACTTTACCGCAGGCTGATGCTGTGGACACTCGGCCTGCTACAATAGCAACGGGGAGGGGAGATCACGTGCTCAATGACAGCAAGCTAGCCGCTGGCCCCACCGGGTGTCACCAACAGGAGCAATAAAAACAAGGACTAGTTCTCTAACCATTCTAGACCATTCATTATGTCTTTAAAGCTGACTTGCTTACTGAGTCTTTTATTCATATTTCAAAACAGCTCAGAGAGCAGGAAGGATGCTCCAGCTCTCACAAAGGACAAAGGGGTGAGTCTGGGACACAGAGGCTCAGCCTTCCCTGCGTGTGAGTTCCCACCCACAGATGAACCAGCTAAGGAGTCCCAACCCACAAAACAATCCTGCCTCTTTAAGAGGGAGCCTTCATTGGAGAAATATTCATTACTATGATATGTATTTTAAACGTTGCCGTATTTATGGGCTGTATGAAATACTCATGTTGAGGGGATGAGTCGGCAGCTCACGTGACAGCTCTGGCATTTCTGTGGGAACCACATGCAGTCACCGTGACAAGTGTTTGCAAACAGAAAGAGATGAACTCTGGCTTGTTTATAAAGGGTAAGAAAGGGAATGAGTAATTTCCCTCAAATCTCTGGCAATTAATGAATACTTCCTCTAGGGCAGTGTTTTTTTCACTCTCATTACCTTTCAATTTCCAACTCTCAGTCTGATTAACATATCATCATTCAAGCCTCCTTCCGACTCCGTGTATGTAAGGAGCTCCAACTGATCAAGAACAGCCTTGAGGCGGAAATGGCCCGAGGAAGTGCAGCTCACACCGGGAGGGAGGGAGGTGTGACAGCGCCCTGGGATCTGCCCCGGGAGCTGCTTCCTCTGGACCAACGGGGACTGGGAGGGGTGCACCTGTCACTTAGGCGCCCGACACAGAAACACAGTGTGAACTTAGGTGGCAAAATACAAGGTCCCGACATGCCCAGGCTTCACCGAGTATGACAGTGAGGGCCGCGTCAGCGCCTGTGTCACACCTGTCACAGGACAAAGCCTGGGCCTCGGGAGGAGGCACCAGGCCCGGAGCGCGCAGGACCTGGCCGGGGGCCGAACACGCAGGCCTCTGGGAAGGACGGGAAACCTGCGTTTAAGTGAAGCCGGGCAATTCCCTGCACGTTCCATCCGAGACCCGCTAGCTCGGAACAGAGACGACAAAAAGCCCGCCCACAACCTAACCCTAACCCTAACCCTAACCCTAACCCTAACCCAGCCTGGGAGAGCTCCTGTCCCAGCACCCAGCAACGTGAGGGCCATGGGAAAACGGAATGCAAACTCTTAAAGTGTCTGGCCAAAGAACCTCACTAAGCTAGTTAATAAGAGGTTTCCTATTAATTTTGGTTTTACAAAAACACTTATCACAGTGCAAGAGGAGAAATTCAATTTCTAATTTTTACACCAATATTTCAAGAAATATAGGTACCAACTGACTTACTAAAAATCCCAGTGTAGTATACGACAGACTGCAAAATACAAATGCTTTTTAAATACCAAAACTTGCTTTATCCAAGAAATAAAGCTTCGAACTCATTTATGTGATAAACCCTCTGCCCCCCAATTCCAGCCCCTAATGCAGACTCTCTCACTGTGAGCAGCCATGGCGTTTGCACTAAGCCACTGGCAGGACGAAAATGGGGGCAAAAACCATTCGGAGCCAGACAGTGGCTTTAGGATAAATGCTGGGATGTCTCTGCGAACTCCAGAGAATAAAAATATGCCCGGGGAAGAGTAAGATGGCGGAGACAGAGTAAGTTCTTAAGCTCCTTTGAGAAGCAGTGTTTTTTAAACACAACGCAATGCTGTTGTAATTTTTAGATCTAACATAAGAGCAAGGGAATTAATTTATTAAAAAAAAGGGGGGGGAGATGCTCTGAGATCTAATTTTCAATTAGGCTGCGCTAAGTAAACAAGGTTGTTTAATGAATAATAAAAACCTTCAAGATGGACTGACTTGAATGGCTTGAAAACTCCGAAGATTCATCTTTAATATCATCTTGTCGTCTTTGGACAAGGCGGGAGGCTCGCTGTTTGTACAGCTGATGTATTGCTGATTCAAGTTCATTAATCAGAGGCACCTGTGAAAATACAACACACTCCGTAACACCCAATCCCAGCTGCTCGCATCCTTGAGGGTTCCTGCAACAGTCCCCTCTATGGACAGAACGTCATCAATCCCAATGGGCACCTAGCAATGCAGTGAGCTCTGTGCTGGTTAGGAAACATCGCTTCTTTAATCCACACAGAGCACTACCAGGGCCGGTGCCTAGCTACTGGAGCAAAAGTTTGGTTAGGACACGTGACACTTCATATCAGTGAAGAAATGTAAACGTTCGATTGCCTTTCTTAAAATAAAGTCCTTGGCGGTCTTTTCACATCCAGCTGTGACTCCCAGCAGCACGTCTGCCCCGCAGTCTCCTGGTTTAAAATAACCACCGTCCCTGACCCCAGCCTGCGTGGTGCTGCAGGTGAGCAGGGCTCACTGCCCCTCAGGCACTAAGCGCTCCTCCGCTCAGGGGCCTGCCTGAGCTTTCTCACCGTCTTCACTGGGAACGCACTTGCTCACGTTAACACGGCCAACACTGGCTCTCACTAACATGTGTTCCCATCCTTCATAACCAAGTGAGTCTCACATGAACTGTCACTTACAGAGCCATGTAGTTTTCCCAGTTACTGTCCATGGTAAACACCCACATGGCTCACAGAGTACAAAAGCTGACAGAACGAAGACGTAACTGGAAAAGGAAGTGCAGCCCCGGCCGGGTGGCCATTAGCTGGGCGCTATCCTGTGCACGGAAAGGCGGCCGGTTCGATTCCCGCTCAGGGCACAGGCCGGGGTGGGGGCTCCATCCTCGGTTGGGAGGCATGCAGGGGGCAGTCAATCGATGTTTCTCTCTCTCTAAAAATCAATTTAAAAAATCTTAATAAGAAAAGGTCTCTTTATAGCCTTATAACCAAATGTTGCAAAACTTTCACAAAACACTGAGGACCACTGCACATACCGGAGGAAACCAGAAACTCTAGCTTCCCGGTGGTTAGTGCAAATGGAAAACATTGTTTATGTTCAGCCTGGGTCACTGGCTCGTGTATGACAGCAGCTTCCTGAACGGAACGATGCAAATGGAAATAAAGGCAGAGGGACACACGGACGTCTAAGCAATGGCACCCGCTGGCACCACTCTATGCAAAAGCGGCTACGGGCCGGAAAGGTCCCAGAGTCTCCTCTGACATGCCTCCCTATGGGAGCGTGTCCCCACATCGGCACTGACTGCCGCTGACGGCTGAGACAACCGTTACAGTGGACCGTTACAGTGGAGCCATCGCTGCAGCGGCAGAGACTCCCTCCCGCCCGCCGTTCTGCCAAGGGCACTCCTCAGTCTGGCCAGGAACGCTCCCCTACCTGACGTAGCAGGGGACAGGATTTAATTGTTCAACTTAGTGAAAATGCCATGATGGGATTTTCCTGCTCAGGTAACTGGCATGTCTTTAACCACGCCCAGAGAATTACTGAGAACCACAGACTGAGACACATTTCCAGCTCTCACTCATGGTTCTTAACAGTACTGACTGATTGAGAGTAAGCACCATGAACAATCTTCAGCCTCTCCAAGCTCAAAACTGTTATTATTGACTATTATTATTCAAGACCAAATATAAGGTGAAAACACAGGTGATAGAGAAACAAAACAGTGGAAAATTAAAATGATCTGCAGATAGTTAAAAATTAAGATCAAAATCACTTAAAACTTTTATAACAGAAGAAAAAACTAAGGAATGTTTATCTTTTTATGGTCTTACACAAAACAATGTTACAGTATTACTAAAATCAATACTCAGATCTACCCAAATGTCCCTAAATATTTCCCAAATGACAACTTATGACATTATTCACTCAGCAGGGATCTCTTAAAATGGAACGTGTATGAAAATGTCAAAATGAATAAATGCTCGTCTTTAAGGGGAATGATCTGCGTCTTCCTGTGAACCGTCACAGTGTCACACGCGGACTAGGATCTGCTCCCAAACCAGCCCTCGGGCCTCTGGCCTCGCACGGCTGAAGCAGGCTCTCTGGCTCAGGGACCGCATCGGGAAGCACACGACGTTCCAGAGAAAAGCCCAACGACCCCAGCTCCTCAGGGACCACCTCCCTCCGGGCAGGTTCAGGAAGGCCCTTTCTCCAGCCTCACCGCTGGAGACTGCCCGCCACGCCCCAGGGCCAAAGGGCTGTCCTGGCAGGAAAGACACCACCAGCTCTGACACTCATGGCGGCCCCTGCACCCCGCACCCCAGCCTCCAATCTGCCACGAGGGACGCGGCATAGCTCGGCTGTGGCTGTTCTCCAGAAGCCAGGGGGCAAACCTAGGGCCCGGCGATGCTGCCTCAGCCGCGTCTGACCTCGGCCTGGCTGGAGCCGAGACCCACCAAGAAGAGTGTGGCCGGGCTCTCCTGCCAGCCGTGGCTCCAGAGCTGACGTAATCAGGAGAGAGCACAACAGGCTGATACTCTCTAAACACACCGAATGCTCAGCCTGCGCCAGGCCACACACCAAGAGCTGGGGAAAGGGGCCTCTACCCTGCACCGCTGAGAGCTCAGAGGCTCCCAAGATGTTCAAAGCACCAACCTCAGCTCACTTTACAGAACGAGCTGCAAATCCACAAATGCTTACGACCCAAGTCACCAGACAACAGCTCTTATCTTAAAGAGGAAATGTCAATTAAGAAGTTATTTGAGAAAAGGGGTTTTTCTATACAGCTAATTATAAAAACATAAATCATACTAAAAAACTGAACTCCACAGTCAAAGCAAAGGACCGGGAGACGTGAAACCTTAAAGGAAACTGCCATGAGTGGTTTCTGAAATGGAGGAAGCACAGGCTGGTTTGGATAAAAGCCATGAGCAGCCAAGGTGAGCAACTTTAGGAAAAATACTATCGAATTGTAGCTCTGTGCGTATTTGGAACTGCCTGTACAGGAGCTTCAAGACGAGCTGAAACCGGACCCCGGAGATCAGCCCCATCGGATGATCCCTTCCTTCCTGACAGCCGGGAGGCCATCACTGTATCACAGTAGGCCGGCCGGCCAGGGGCTGTGGTCAATGCGCTGTTAGGTTTTTGTTTACAACAAAGGCAGCACGTCTGCCCCGACACAAAGCCCTAACGAAGTGAAGCAAACGGGCACGACACTCATTACATCACGTCTCAAGTCGAATTCAGCGAAACTCTCTGAGCAACACAGAAATGATCTACAAAGGCGCCTACACCTCCCTAATGGGCCTATTCAAAGAGATTAATATTTTTGCATTCTTACCTTTTCACTGAAACACTCAAGCAAGTCTTGGACATACCCTCGCATTTCTTGCAAAAACTTATACCGTTCACCAATGCCCCCGGCAGACCCTTCCAGCCTCCCAATGGCCCTGGTGGAGTCCACGCGGCTCTGCAGGTGCTTCTCGTGCTGCTGGCGGTTGGCTTTGTGCTCGTCTTTCATGGAGTCCAACCTTGGGAACACAAACGACACATACAACACGCTTACACCCAAATCTGTGCTGGCAGGAAGCTTACAACATGATAATGCATCAGTTCCACTCTTAGTTTTACAAAAAAAAAATACTTGGAGTGGCATCTTTTCATCGGCACTGCTTTCTTCTCAAAAAACAAAAACAAAAAACAAAAGCACCAAAAAACAACCACCCCCCGAAAAACAAAGGCAGCGTTTACAGACTTCACAGTGCGTGGTGGGCTGACCAAATGTCAGCTCTGCGCTCCCCCCATCTCTTGACTACACTTTTCAGAGTCCAAGAGGCGCAAACTCAAAGCGTTTCCAATAAGATCATTTGACGTGTCTCCAGGCTCCCACCAGTCATCCGAGGAGGCAGAGCAGCGACGTCACGTTCGGGGGCGCTGCCCCGACTACACAGCGCTGAGGACAAAGCTAGGACAGGCCTTAGGACGCCGATCTGCCCTACCTGTCTTTAAGCTGTTTCTTTACCAGATCAATAGTAACGGGAGTCATCTCATTACTGGGAGTTTTGAAAGGGGCTGAATTATCTGTTTTTTGAGATTTGCCGTCGGAAGACCCATAGGCCGTGTAACTGTACGGAATGCCGTAGGACGAGCCGTAAGGCATTGTCGGGTAAGCGCTCGGGTAGTACATGTTCACTTCTGCGGGCTGGCTGGCTTGGACCTAGAAAAGAAATGGATGTCCATAAAAACTAGTGACAAAAGCCATGGAAAGAATAATTTCACATCGTTAGGGTTAAACACCATAACCATCACCACCACTACCAGCTAATAGCAAAAATTATACCCATTTCCCAAACAGCATGAATTAAAATAAATAGAGCTCTTCAAAATCAAATAAAAGTAGGGCTGAATGACTGCTCCAACTCTTATGGGATTATTGAATTCATTTCTCAGAATTCTCAGGAAAATACATCAGAGAAGCTAAGAGTTGAAGGGGACATTAAAAATAACCCACGGCCACCATTTATCGATGGAAGAAGATAAGTGACTTGCAACGGCCACAGAGGAAGCAGACAAGCAGAGGAGCCTGCAGCCCACACCGGACCCAGGACTCCCCACTGGCCACACAGGGTCACGTTCACGCTCCCTTCCCTGCACGCTCCCTGTGTGAGACAAACGTGGTGGCTGCCTAGGAAGGGTTTTTCGTCCACAGTAAGAGAACCATCTTCCACCCAACAATCTCCGAAGTCAGAGAAGTAAAGGCTGCGGGAGAGCAGCACGTGGCCCGGACTCCGTCGGACAGCGTGCTCAGCAGCACCCGCGGGCGGATGGACGGGTGCCGGGCCGCCCGTAGCTCCGTTCTCTGGCCTCGGGAGGGAGAACTGGCCTTTCCCACAACCCCCGAGAGCGATGCTGCTGGCTGAAGAACCACTTTGAGGAACGAGAAATTCTTCCGTCATTGATAAAAGAACCAACTAGAATACAGTTTCTTCTGAAAGCTCCTTGGATACATACCTTTTTGCAATTTTCTTAATGATGTGACTTGAGCAAATGACAAAGATTCAAATTCAATATGCAATATGTTTCAACTTTAACAAAGCAGGTAAAATTGCTTTGTAACTTTTGCAGCTGCTTCAGTCTCACCTGAGGGATGTTTTTTTTTTTTTTTTTTTTTTAATATATTTTATTGATTTTTTACAGAGAGGAAGGGAGAGAGATAGAGAGCTAGAAACGTTGATGAGAGAGAAACATTGACCAGCTGCCTCCTGCACCCCCCCACACCGGGGATGTGCCCACAACTGATGTACATGCCCCTGACCGGAATCAAACCCGGGACCCTTCAGTCCGCAGACAGACGCTCTACCACTGAGCCAAACAGGCTTCGGCTCACCTGAGGGATGTTGATGCCTTTCCGAATCTGCTCCTGCTCCCACCGGCTGAGCTCCTCGTCCTGCTCCCCGGCGGCCAGCGCCTCGTCGTCGCTGCCCTCGATGCCTGCGGGAGAGGGGCGTCATGGCCGAGGGCGGGGAGGGGGGCTACCTGAGCCGTCACAAAGCTGGGCAGCGCTCTGGTGCTGGCTCCGCCCACAGCAGCGTGAGCGGAACGGGTAGCCGCGGCGGTTCCTCACCGGGCACCGGAGAACCCCTACCGCCTCCCAACGCCGGGCCAGGCGCGGTGCCAGGCGCGGTGTGTGCGGGGAGCGCTCAGTGCTGTGCGGCCACAGCAGGTGCTCACTGAGACACATGCTCGCGTTTCAACAAACCCCAGTGAGGCACTGTGCCTAAGCAGGAAAGTCCTCTAACACTACCCAAAGCTAAGAAATGTGGACACTCTGGCTTTACTTTCACTATCAAATCACATTTTAACGGCATGAGTCTTACTGCCCTGAGTCAATCAAATTACCTATTTCCTCGGCAATTTTCTGTCGCTGTGACTTCTCTTTCACGGAAAACACTATCCGGCGTTTCTCGTCGTCGTCCTCGTCGTCGCTGGCGTCGTTCTCGTCCTCCCGGGCGAGGCGGCCTTTCCCGGGCTCGCTGTCGTGCGGCGTGAAGTCGCCCAGCTCCCGGGCCATCTGCCGCTTCTTCCTCGCGGCGTGGATGAACGCTGCGTCCGGGATTTCTCCTGCACACAGACGGGAGGATCACACGCATGACGGGCATGACGGTTCTGTTTTCCTGAGCACAGGCAGAGTAAGCCATCTGCCCGATAGCCTGCCGCAGTGGTGCTGCTCTAAGCCAGCTGCTGCACCCTTCCCACGCGGTGCCTGCAGCCCACCGACTTCCACTTAATTTAGTTCAAATGGAAACTCAGAGTCACTAAGAAAGTGGAAATGAGAACATAATGGCCACATGGGAAGATATGTGTCGGGGGCAATAGAGGACCCAACAAAAGCAGCTTTCACTGTTTTTATCTTTAAGTAAATCAAGGGTGATAAAAATTATATTAAGAAACTAGAACAGATAAAAATTTAAAAGATGCCCACATCTCATGATCCCCAAAAACCACTATTTCATTCATAGTATATTTCTCTTGCAAATTCAGTTTACCGGTAAGCATATCTATCCTATATAATAAAAGCCTAATATGCTAAGTGTCCGGTTGGCCGTTCAAAATCAAAGCATAATATGCTAATGACATGCTAAGACTGCTCAACTGCTCGCTATGACGCACACTGACCACCAGGGGGCATATGCTCAACGCAGGAGCTGCCCTCTGGTGGTCAGTGTGCTCCTACAGGGGGAGCGCTGCCCAGCCAGAGCCGGGTTCACTGCTGGCCTCCCCTGCCTCTGCGGCAGCGCTAAGAATGCCTGACTGACAGCTCAGGCCGGCTCCCTGGGGAGAGCAGGCCCGAGCCATCAGTCAGACATCCCCCAGAGGGCTTTGGACCGCAAGAGGGTGCAGGCTGGGCTGAGGACCCCCCCCCCCCCGCCCCGAGTGCACTAATTGCATGTACTGGGCCTCTAGTGTATATATAAAAGTCTAAGTGATTAGCTGACCAGCTGGTAGATATGACGTGCGCTGACCACCAGGGGGCAACACTCAACGCAGGAGCTGCCGCTCAACAGCAACTTTGTCGAGTGCCCTCTCGGGATGCCGGGCTGCCGGTTTCAGCTTGATCCCCGCAGGCCAGGCCGAGGGACTCCACAGACCCCCTTCGGGCCCCGGCACCGCCCCAGGTGCAGCGGCTGGGAAAGGACCGAGGAAGGCGAGTCCCAGGGTGTCCAGCCCGTCACCCAGTCCAGCCCTACTGGCCATCTTCTAATTAATTTCCTTTCAGTGTTCACGAATCTGGGTGTTCCCTTGGCTTGGCCGGTGATCAGGGCCAATCAGGGCTGTCTCTCACCCAGTTCCTATTAGGGCTGGCTAGCTGGGGGAGCGGGGGTGGATGACAAGGGACTGAGGGAGGATGGTGGCCAGGGAAATTGTTGTGGGAGCGCATTGACCACCAGGGGGCAGCTCCTGCATTGTCTACCTGCTCGCTGGTGGTCAGTGTATATCATAGCGACCGGTCGTTCGGTCATAACAGTCCTTTAGGCTTTTATATATATACTAGGCACGTGTAGCATGAATATTCCTGCAACACTTCCAGTGGGCCTCCTGCCCGCCACTGCCATCTCCGTGGCAGTGTGCGCCACCACTGTGCACCTCGCCCCGCTCCACCCCACCTGCACACACTGCCAGTGCTTTTCAGCAGCCACAGCCGCCTTGCTTTCCACTTTCCCTCCCTCTTCCGTCTATGCTGTCTTCAGTCTTCACTCCTCCCTCCCTCTGTGTAGACAAATTAACCACCATCTTTGTTGGGCTAATTTGCATACTTGCTCTGATTGACTGGTGGGTGTGGCTTCTGTAGCAGAGTGATGGTTAATTTGCATATTACTCTATATTAAGTTAGATAGCTCAACAACTTAACAAATAAAGCATAATCTACAAAAGTAACTGACCTTTTTGCCTACAGTAACAACTGCCTTGCTACTTTTCAGATTGTTATCTTAATAGCTATGTAATATCCCTTCATGTAAATGTATCTTCATTACTAAGCTGTGCCTCTCTGGCTACATATTGTTTCCAAATATTGTTCACTGCGATGTTGCAATGCAAACATTGCTTCCTTGGGATATTCTTCTAGATATGGGATTGCAGGGTCAAGAACATTTAAAATCACTGCCAATAGCTAAAAGACTGTGTCCATTAGAGCACTACTAGATCTCTATACATATGTTTTACAGCTTTACCAGCCCAGAGTATGCATTTCAAATTTTAAAAACGTTAATGAGTTAAAAACCTTTTCATAACTTAAACTCAGCTAAGCACTTAATTATTCAAGAGCTGATTCAACAGTAAAGAGATGTGTAAATTATTCCTATAGCCGTACAGGATGAAGGCAGTGTGGACAGAGAAGTGACAGTGGCTAGTTTTGCTCTAGCAGCAGTTCTAGAGGAGTTTACACCTTAACCGGAAACACAGCAAACTGCAGTGCCATTTGTCCGTCTCCCTGAGACCCCACTTTGGCTTTGACAACACAGCTCCTGTCTGAGGACCTTGCAGTTTCTAGTTCTCCCCCTTTTCAGACGTGCAGGAGGCGGCCCCGGCTCCCCAGAGGATGACCTAAGAACCATCGGGTGGCTAACGCCCTCCTCACCGGCCTCACAGGCCACTCCCGCGGCGTGGGCACGCACCTGGACGGAGGACATTCAGAGACGACAGAGTGTTTGAAAAGGCGCCGCCGCCGGCCTTGGGCTTCTCCTCCTCCTTCTCGCTCTCCATGTCCATCTCGTCCTCCCCGTGCTCCCCGCCAGCAGCTCCGTCCTCCTGGCTGGGGTCCTTCACGTGTCCCGTTTTGTCCAAAGGCGGTTCATCTAGTTTCGAAAAAATTAAAATGATTTTTAAAAATCCATGTTAAGGAGAGACTTTTTATTTGATTATGGGCTCAATTCATTAAAACTTGGACTATTTTAATTGCTGCTAAAAACCTCAAACCACTGATGTATGAAATGAAAAATCACAAGATGTAACTGGGAGATAGAAACAATATAGCGGACAGAGCTGCATCCAGTGCTGCTCCACCCCCTCTCTAGTTAACTCATCAAAATCAGCTGTCTCCCTCTAACTCCAGAGTAACTGTGTGCACCTTGGAAACATTATTTCATTTCCCTTGGCAGCGTTTCATTAAACCTGGGGCTCACTTCAGGCAGCTTTAACCAGAATAGAGGTTATGGACCAGAGACCTCTCTCTGGGAGACCTTAATTCATAACCATCTGCCACCCATCATCTGAAAGGGGACCCCAAAGTCACGTTTGCCCTGTGGAACCTGACCTCATTGCCACCTCTAAATACTTGAGACCGACTTTGTGACCCAAGCAGAGACAACCTGATTCTCCCTCTGGGAATCTGGAACTGGGGCAGAGACAGCCCAAGCCCAGGTGGCACAGGACTGACTGTGTGCCAGGCAGGGAGCTGCGGAGTGGCTGGACGCTGCCAATGGACGGGGGAGAGGAGAGTTCTCCTTTCCCGGTTCCAATTCTCAGGTCATTCCCAAGGCTAGGTTCAAGACTGCTCTCCTGCCATTGGGTTTTGAAAGCTTACAGTTGTTCACTGTACACCAAGTGTTGACTTTACTTATAACTAAATAGTCCTATTACATCCTCCATTCCAAGCAAAAATTTAAAAAATCAAAAATTTCCACCCGGAAGCATTTGAACCTGGCAATGCACATAATAGGCACGATGAATATAAGGAGTAAAACAAAATTTTTCTAAATATGAAAGATACCATCTCTCTGTTGTTTCCCCAGCCCATTCCCTGCCCAAAAAATTGCTTCAAAAGTCTTCTCTTCTGCCCTGACCAGTGTGGCTCAGTGGATAGAGCACTGGCCTGCAGACTGAAAGGTCCCAGGTTCGATTCTGGTCAAGAGCATGTACCTTGGATGCGGGCACATCCCCAGTGGAGGATGTGCAGGAGGCAGCTGATGGATGTTTCTCTCTCACCAATGTTTCTCTCTATCCCTCTTTCTCCTCTCTGTAATAAAGTCAATAAATTTTTAAAAAAGTCCTCTCTTCTTCTCAAACCACATCCTTTCCCTAAGAGTCCAGGATAATCCCCACCCCACCGCCCCTGAACTTCCCCAAGAAGAGGTCCATCATTCTGTCTCAGGCGCTCTGATTTCCCGTGACCATCCTAGCTCCTTCTGCAGGGGACTGAGGCCCGAGGTCTTAAGAGTCGCTTGACCAGAGGTATATGGTTAGACGTAGTAACAATACCCATCTCCTCCGGCTCTCAGCCAAGGTGAAACCAATGGCCTTTAAGAGACAAAACAGAACTGTGGGCCAGCGGAGCAGACCGCTGCGGTAACGGCTTCAGCGGGCTCTGAGGGTGCAGGGTCTGTAAGTTCAGTCTGCGTGTGATGGAGCAGGACCAGCCTCCAGCCCGGCGGCCACGGCTCTGTCCGCGGCCACGGTCAGACATGCTTCAGGACAGCTTCCTAACAGGCTCCTGTGCCGTGTCCCAGCAAGCACTGCTCCCGCCAACGCGCCCACCGCACGCTCCCCCTCTCGTCTTCAGACACACGCTTTGGTCCAATGGTCCCTCCCTCTGCCAAACCCCAAAGGAAGCAGCGGGGCCTCTGCCTCTCCTTCGCCTCCTCACCCTGCGCGCCCCACCCGGCACGGCCTTTGCGCTCTCCCCCCGCACCAGCCGCCCGCACACACGGCTGGGGGCTCAGCCACGCGGCTTTATCCAGGACCCCGAGCACGTGCACAGTGCCCCTCCCACGGGCAGAGTGGCTGGTGGACAGTCTCCTGCAGACCTGGCCGCCTGCCCACAGCCCTCCCTCTGCGGGCACTGCGTCATACAACCCACCACCCCATCTTGAAATCGTCCGTCCCTTCTTCCGCCTTTCCGATTCCTGCCTCTCCTCGGGAACCTTGTGTGTGTGCACGCTTTTCACACGTAGCAGTCCCTGGTCCTCAGGCCTATTTTCTTCCTGCCGTGCCCTCATCAACTCCATTTCCTTCTGGACTTTTCATTTCACTAACACCAAACCTGACCTGCCTCTCCCCTTCACCAGCCACTCCACTCGTTTACAGTGGGTTATCATCTTAGGGTGCCATCTTAGGAGTGCCGCCAGAGGGTTCACGCTGGTGCTGCCTGTGCTGAGGCAACGCGCCTCGGCCTCACGGGGAGGGCGGGGGAGGACTGTGAGCAGGTGCGTGACAGCCCAGGCTCCGCCGTTCGGGGTAACGAAGACAATCGGGTGGGAGCTCCGTGGAAGTGGAGACAGAGGTGTCCCAGGTGATGGCTCTATCACCCTCCCACCTACTCAGATTCTGAAACCAAGCAGCACAGGGTCTTTTCCCGCCTCCCTCTTCCTGACCTTCCTCTATTTCTCCGCATGCACGTGAGGAAAAAATGAAGCCGTTTCTGGACTTCAAACCTGGCCAGAAATCAAACCCACCGCCTTTCGGTGCACGGGACAATGCTCCAAACAACTGAGCCACACCAGCCAGGGCTTCCCTGTTTTTTTTTTTTTTTTTTTTTTTTTTAATTTTTTAATTGATTTTAGAGAGAGGAGAGGAGAAAACGATAGAAATGTCCATCGATTGGCTGCCTCTGGCATGTCCCTCACCAGGGATCAGCCTGCAACCCAGGCATCTGCCCTGACCAAAAATTGAACTGGCGGCCTCTTGGTGCATGGGTCGCCGCTCTACCACTGAGCCACACCAGCCAGGCGTGACAATTTATTTCCAATCCAAAGGATAAGCATACATCAAACCTGCCAATTCTTCCCTTGGAATGTTTCTCAAATAATGCTTTCTTTCCATGTCTTCTCTTCCACCCACAGCAGACATTTACGCGCACCCACATTCCCCAGCGAGACAGGAAAAGCCTGGTTCTGCTCAGCTGAGATTCCTGACCCAGCAGTAACGGATCAAAGCTGACCCTGGCATTTAAATCCCTCCTGCTGCTAATCCGTGATGCACGCAGACACAGGCTAAGGTTCCGCAGGCATTTATCATGTCAGCACCTTGGCAAGCCAGTGCAGCACTCAACCCTGACACGAAGCATCCTCGCACCGGTCAGCAGCACCCCTCCTCTGCCAGGGCCTCTCCTTCCACACAGCCGCCACCTCTACCTTTGCCAACAGCACCTGCCGCTTCGATGCTGAAATCTAAGCTGTCAAAGTCCCAGCTGCAAACCCCCTTCACCTGCTACATTCCTTCTCCCGCCTCTTAAAACAAGAGGGTAATTACCCTTAACCAATTCACTGGACGTTTGCCAACAGTGGGTCCAATGATACATTTAAGCGAAAATTACATTTATCCAAAATTAGACAGAAAATGTGAGATACAGTGATATATACCCTTTCACATGAAGACCATTGCGGAGAAACTGGGAAAATATAATTTTATCGTTAATGCCTTAAAATGAAGGGCACTGACATGAGACGAACAGCCCACAGCACAGTGTGATGGAGCAGGGGCTGCGAGTCCTCAGCCTCCTATGCTGGGCGGTGGAGTGGGCGTCAGCACTACACGCGTGACCTCCTGCGCCTCCTCTCAGAATCGGACCCGCGGCACAGGTACGAGATCAGGAAGCTGTCTGCGTACACACACACACACACACACATACCCACAGGAGCCTGCGGGCCTCGGGACCAGGACAGGAAGCCTTACTCTGCTCCCCGCAGGCTGAACCCGGACAGGAGGCAGCCGGTGCAGTGGAAACACATTTATGTTGCAACTGCGTTAGTAAGTAGAGAACTGTATCAGGGACAGAGACAACCAGACCGGACATCGGGCTCACCCGGTCCAGCCCGCGGGAAGGCTGCGGGCGACATTCCCAACGATTCCGGTTAGCTTGGTACTTACTGTCGGCTGACGAGTTGAGTTCTGTCTTAATCTTCGATTTTTCAAGATCTTCTTTGTATTCTTTCTTAAGTAATTTTACTATCTTTTTGCTATAACTTGATTTCTTCACTTTGAAAACTTCTTCAGTTTCTTAAAAAAGAAATGAAACAAAGTCTGTAGCAACTGTTTTTTAGACACACTCTCCCCTTCCAGCTTTTACACGAGCTTATGTGCTTTTCAAATTCTTTCAAAGACACACTTTCACATGCAAGTCAACTTCATAAACTAATCTGGAGTAATGTGCACCCGAGGCTGTTTAAAAGGCATCAAACATGCAAACTGCCCTTTCTGAGGTCCCACTGTCTTCCTCCAACCACCGCTGGCAGGAGGAAAACCACTGGAAAGCCCTTCATGGACGAATGACCGGGTGCTTGAAACAAAATATCCAAACCAAAGGTGCCGGCGGACACACTGTTATTTCAGGACCGAGCTGACAAAACACTTTGCAGAAATAAGTTCTGATGATGTCTCCCTCCTCTTGAAGAGTTTAAAGTCAAACACAAACACTGCCAAACAGTCCTTACATCTTCAAATCGAGAACCGGGCTGTCCTCTCACACGAATTAAAAAGGGAAGGAAGGCCGCAGAGAAACGGCCTGTCTTATGGGAAACGCGAAAGCATCGCACACCCAGGTGCAACGGGATTTCCCAAAGTCCTGACTCCTGATCCTATAACGTGGACCCGAGGGGTCCTACAAGCACCCAAGACACCGAAGGCTCATGGGCGGCCAGAACCCTGCTGTGACCCCGTCTCTCTCCACTGGCTGAAGGTCGGCGCGCCCGCTACTTCTAACGGGGAAACTGAGGCTCGGCCACTGCCAGGGCCGGGCCCGCGGCCGCTCAGGCCCACAGCTCCCGCGCCGGGCTTCGGGCCCCGGAGCCAGGCCCGCGGCTGGGTTTACAGACCGGCCTCCGGGCCCAGAGGCGCGGGCGGCCTGCGGGGCTCGGCGGACCGCCCGCCGCTGTCCCGGGGCACGCGGCCGGAGGGAGGCGGGCGGGGCGGCGGGCCCCACCGGGAACCTCCGGGAGGGCCGGCCCCGGGCGGAGGCGCCGGCGGGCGGCGAGGAGGCGGCGCTGCTGGGAGAGCAGAGGGGGAGGCGGCGCGGGAACGCGTCCCAGCCGGCGCGGAGGCCGCGGGCGGGGAGAGGGGCCGCGGGCGGGGAGAGGGGTGGGCCGGGCGGTGCGGGGAGAGGGGTGGGCCGGGCGGAGCGGGGAGAGGGGTGGGCCGGGCGATGCGGGGCCGGGGTGGGCCGGGCGGTGCGGGGCCGGGGTGGGCCGGGCGATGCGGGGCCGGGGTGGGCCGGGCGGTGCGGGGAGAGGGGTGGGCCGGGCGGTGCGGGGCCGGGGTGGGCCGGGCGGTGCGGGGAGAGGGGTGGGCCGGGCGGTGCGGGGAGAGGGGTGGGCCGGGCGGTGCGGGGAGAGGGGTGGGCCGGGCGATGCGGGGCCGGGGTGGGCCGGGCGGTGCGGGGAGAGGGGTGGGCCGGGCGGTGCGGGGCCGGGGTGGGCCGGGCGGTGCGGGGAGAGGGGTGGGCCGGGCGGTGCGGGGCCGGGGTGGGCCGGGCGGTGCGGGGCCGGGGTGGGCCGGGCGGAGCGGGGTCCCGGCCCACGTGCGGCCGTTACCTTCCTCCTCGTCCTGGAAGCTCAGCAGGCTGGCCCGCGGCGCCTCTTTGTTCTCCCGCGGCCTCTTGCGCGGCTTCAGCCCGTTGCCGGGGTCGGCGCCGCCCGGGAAGCAGCCCCCGGCCTCGGCCCCGTGGCCCGCGGTCAGCGCGGACGGCGGCCCCGGGCCCAGCGGCGCCTCCCCCGCGGGGGCCCTGTCGCCCGGCTCCTCGCCGGCGCCCGGCGGCGGCAGCAGCGGCGGCGGCTCCTGCTCCTCATCGCGCTCCCGCTCCTCCTCCTCCGAGTCGTTCCGCTTGCGCACGTTCACCCGCCGGGCCTTGCGGAACATCCCCGCGGCCCGCGGCGCCCTCGCACCCGCTCCCGCCCGGCGGCCCCGGCAGCGCCGCGCTCGCCACGCGCACGCGCACTGCCAGCCCCGGCGCGGCCCCGGCCGCCCTAGCCGGCCTCGCACCCCCAGCGCGCATGCGCCCGCGCCTCTCGCGAGAACCTCTTGCCGCCTGCACTGGCCCCTGGCGGCCGGGAGGACTACGCGGGCACGGAACGCTGGGACTCGGGTGCAATTCGACGGGTCACAAAGAGGATCATAGAGAGCGGAGGAGAGAGCGGCCTCCGGGGGAAGGGGCTGCGGAGCATCTTCCGGTCTTTCGCGGGCAGTCCCGCGAGAAGACCTCCCGCCGGGAGGAGAGGGCGGAGGCGGGGCCGGGGGCGGCGCGGGGGCGGAGAGGGCCCGGGGCGGGGAGGGGGCTGCGGTCCCCGGCGGGCCTCGGGCCTGTGAGTGGGTGTGAGGTGGTGATCCGCACGCTCAGCACCGTTGCGTTTCACCTGTGATGGACGACCCCGGCCTGATGTTAGCCCCGTTCTCGCCATTGCGGCGTCGGCAACGCGTGCCGGTGCCGGGAAGGACGCCAGCCGTCCGGTTGCAGAAACGCGGCCGGAAAACCGCCGGGGCGGAGGTGGTTAGGCACCCACTTGCCACAGCCCTAAGCGGCGAGGCCGGGCTCACCGCCGTCCCGCTGGATCCCCAGACCTGGGCCTTTTCCTTCCCGGTGCCCGCCCCCGTGAGTGCACGTCCAGGTGTCAAAACCCGGCGGTGACCCCGCGATCACACAGGCCGGAAGCCGTGGTCACTGAGCCACCAGCTCCTGGCGAGGTCAGGACTCGGGCTCCTCCAGGGACACTCATGAGCGTCAAAGCAAATGTTCTTATCTTTAAAAATATATATATATTTTATTGATTTTTACAGAGAGGAAGGGAGAGGGATAGAGAGCTAGAAACATCGATGAGAGAGAAACATCAACCAGCTTCCTCCTGCACTCCCCCTACCGAGGATGTGCCTGCAACCAAGGGACATGCCCTTTTCCGGAATCGAACCCGGGACCTTTCAGTTCGCAGGCCGAGGCTCTATCCACTGAGCCACACCGGTTTTGGCCAAACCTAATTTTTTATAAGGTGCCTACCTCACACCCTGCGTACACATCGACTTTTTGTTTAATGAAACAAAGAGAGGAGATCGTGTCTGTACACAAATAGTGTCATTTCGTTGTTAATCCTCACCCGAGGATATCTTTTCCCGCTAATTGTCAGAGAGAGTGGGAGGGAGGGGAAGAGCCGGAGAGAGAGAGACCTCCACGTGAAAGACACAGCCATTGGTTGCCTCCTGCGTTTGCGCCCTTCCCACGTCCTGGTCGGGCTTGGAGCCTGCAATGGAGGTTCACTTCCTTGTCAGGAATCAACCCCGAACCCTTCAGTCTCCCAGGCGATGTCCTAACCATTGAGCAAACCGGCTAAGGCAAAAGGTGTCTTTTCTTTACCAGCTGCATAGTGACCCTTTGTGTTCATAGATGTACGAAACCCACCCCATAACAATTGATGTTGAGGTTATTTCCAGTCTTGGTATAACAACGCTGCAATAAAAGCTTCAAAAAAAAAAAAAAAATGTGGTCACACCTGAGCTGGAATTGGAATCGCTAGGCCAAAGGTGTGCGTTTGTGAGTTCACTAATTCTCAGTTGCTCCTTACAGAGGCTGGGCCAGTTTGTACTTGTACCAGCAAATCTGGTGCCTGCTGAAACCGGTTTGGCTCAATGGATAGAGCGTCAGCTTGGGGACTTGAAGGGTCCCGGGTTTGATTTTTTAAAAAAAAATCTGGTGCCTATCTGCCTACACCATCCTGTCAAAGCTTCACTTCAGATTCCAGCTCCAAGGTGAAGCCGATGACTCCAAGCCCAGGAAGAACTTGTATCACCCACGCCTGCCTCTTTGGTTTTCTTTGATTGGATTTGAGACCTGCCTCCAGGACTCACTTTGGGAAACTATAAGATGATGTAGGCCAGTGGTCGGTAAACCCATCAGTCGACAGAGCCAAATATCAACAGGACAACGACTGAAATTTCTTTTGAGAGCCAAGTTTTTTAAACTTAAACTTCCTCTAACGCCCAGGCCGTGGTGTTTTGTGGAAGAGCCACACTCAAGGGGCCAAAGAGCCGTATGTGGCTCTCGAGCCACAGTTTGCCGACCACGGGTCTAGGCGAAGAGCATCCTCTGGAAGTTTCTTCCAGTTAATAGGAAATGGCTTCCATTCTATTCAAGCTCCTCTAAGTTCTTATGTTCTGGCTGTTCAGCACCGATTTAAGTTCCGATTCCAAGAGTGTTTCATTGGTGAAATTGAACTCCGGTTCCCATCACAAAAGATTCAGATTGTGCCTGCTCAGCCTGCAGACACCCGGCCTTAGCGGAAAGGTAACAAAGATAATGAAGCCAGAGCAGAATATGTGAATATCTTGGCCTAAAACTTCAAAAAATACCTCCCACTGAGAAAATGTTGATTTAATATGGATAGAGGGAGAGCACTTGCGTTTTTTTAAAGTGAGCCAAGATAGTAAAAGACAACAATGTATTTATAACTCCCACAGTCTACATAGTAATTAAAGGGCAAAGTGAAACACTCAAACGTTATCTTGCTGCCCAAGCAGGTCACGGTCCGCCCAGCAGCTAGAGACCTTGTGGAAATTAACCCCCTGGAGCCGAACAGCTGCTCTAACCGCCTGTCAGCAGTATTTTTTTTTTTATCAGACATTAATTGTTTTATAAGATTATGTGCTCTGTGTTAACTGGTTTGTTTGTGGAATATAGTCTGTCGTCACCATTTCATCAACATTGGAGTGTTTTTAGTATTCTAGGAAGTCAAAGATGGCTTACATAAAATGGTTACATCCACCATTGTGTTTGAGTCATAAGTTAGTTCAATTATTTAAAAAATATATATATTTTATTGATTTTTCACAGAGAGGAAGGGAGAGGGATAGAAAGCTAGAAACATCGATGAGAGAGAAACATCGACCAGCTGCCTCCTGCACACCTTCTACCGGGGATGTGCCCACAACCAGGGTACACGCCCTTGACCGGAATCGAACCCGGGACCCCCCAGTCCTCAGGCCGACGCTCTATCCACTGAACCAAACCGTTTTCGGCTCTTGTTGTCTTTTTAGATATGTTTTCATTGACTTCAGAGAGGAAGGCAGAGGGAGAGAGAGAAACATCTGTGATGAGAAATAATCATGGATCAGCTGCCTTCTGTTTGTTTTTGTTTTTTAAAAATATATTTTATTGATTTTTCACAGAGAGGAAGAGAGAGATAGAGAGTTAGAAACATCGATGAGAGAGAATCATCGATCAGCTGCCTCTTGCACACCCCCTACTGGGGATGTGCCCGCAACCAAGGTACATGCCCTTGCCCGGAATCGAACCCGGGTCCTTTCAGTCCGCAGGCCGACGCTCTATCTACTGAGCCAAACCGGTCCCGGCGGATCAGCTGCCTTCTGCACGCCCCTCACTGGGGATGGAACCTGACACCCGGGCCTGTGCCCTGACGGGAATCGAACTGTGACCTCCTGGTTCATAGGTGGACGCTCAACCATGAGCCACGCCGGCCGGGCACATCTTTGTTTTGTTGTTGCTGATGATGCTTCATTGTTTGCTTAAAGGAATTCATGTTCATTTCCCTTAGAACCTGAGGACATGAGGACCAAAGAATCCTAACAGAATAACAAGAGTTATTTAAATTTTGTAGTAATGTTAATATCTGTGTAAATTATATGGCTGTTTAAGTTTACTAGTTAATAATAGTCTTCAGCTAGAGCTTTTGTTCGGAGAGGAGCTTTTACTCACTTCATTCCTTTTTTAAAGAGCCATGCATATATGCTCCCTGGCACTGAGGTGGTGGGCCGGAGAGAGGAGAGCTCCTTACCTGACAGCATATAGTGATTTTGAGTAATGAGAGGCAGGTACCTTTGTCCAGAGCATCTGAGTGGTCGGTTCAAAGGGTTAGAAAATGGCCCTGGCCGGTGTGGCCCAGTGGATAGAGTGTGGGCCTGAGGGCAAAGGGTCCCAGGTTCAAGTCCAGTCAAAGGCATGTACCTGGGTGGCAGGCTTCTCCCCTGCCCAAGGCCTGGTCGGGATGCATGTGGGTGGCAACTAATGGATGTGACTCTCACATCGATGTTTCTCTCAGTCTCTCCCTCTCTCTTCCACTCCCCCTAAAAAACCATCGAAAAATATCCTCGGGTGAGGATTAGCCACAAAACAAAAGAGAGAAAATGTGTACATTCTTTCCAACTCTTTTAGCTGCTATCTCTAATTCAGTAAGACCATCTTTTCTATCTAACTGTGATTATTAATGGAATCTAGATTTAACAGACTCGGGTTTTAAAATAGGAACATCACAGTCCCTCCTCCGGTTTTTTTCTGTTCTTCACCTCGTCAGGGCACCCGGAACCGCAGTTCAGCCCAGACATCTGGCGGCCTCAGGCTTGGTTTCTAACAGGAACTGCCTCTTCCATTGACTTAAGTCCCATTGACCCGAAATTATTTCCTATAAGAACCACTTCACTCACGTGAGAAATGGCTTTGAAACAATTAAGAGTCACCAAATGGAAGATAAGCACATTAAAATGTCGAATTTCTAACATCATTCAACTTCATGCTTTATCAGTAAAAACTCATTAAAATTTAATTTCCCGAATTTTCAGGAAGCGAGGGCAGTTCACGTGTTTATCATTAATCTTTTCACTGGTGTCCTCCTGGCCTCTCTCTGCTCATCTCTTCCTGTCTTCCCCATGACTTGAATCTCATTCATTTCTCAAGGAGAATGTCAGGAATGAGGTCATTGCATTTTTCTATTAAAATCCACACTTTGGTCTTGGCTGTGGCCTGATTGAAACGCGGACACTGTGGATTCCTGCTAATTAGCCCGGACGGCCAACTCCCCTGCCAATTATAATAAGCAAACGGAGACGTTTCAGGCTATTTCTGTTCCATTCGGAGAAAACTA